AACCATCAATTATTATGGGCGTTATAACATAGGTGTGCAGCTGAACGAAACATACACGTCGAACCCCCCCAGACGATTTAAATCCCTGACGAAACTTACACGACGAACCACGGCAACGGGTTAAATACAAACAGATTAAAACAAAGAATTTAAATTATCAGTAACATGAATCTTCTGTATACAATTCCACCCAAAATATATTAAGTACAAAAGATTATTATGCGCTTTAGTTTCAAGATAAATATAAGCAATAAATATAACACCTCACATACCAGTTAAATATCATATATACCTGTCACAGTCATACAAATAGTCTGAAATCATTTACATAATTTAATGTAATCGTGTGTTAAAAAATAAATTATTAATAAAGTATTATAAAAATATTCATCGTGAAGTAGTTTGGTAAAATTCATCAATTTTCTTTGTTTCATCTGTGGTGGCATACAGTAGCATAGTTGGTTGAGGCACTATGCTACAAAATGGAAGGTTGCAGGTTCGATTCCTGATGAGGTCATTGGATTTTGCAGTTGATCTAATCCTTCCAGCCTCACTGTGGCCTTGGGATTAACTCAATCTCTAACAAATGAGTACCAGGAATCTTCCTGGGGATAAAGGGGAGTAAGTAAGTCTGGCAACTGAACCTGAAGTTTTATAACCTGCTAATAGCGAAGTTCATATGATGACCCTAACAATTCTGTCAGCTGTCTGCATCAAGCAGTTCTTTGATTCATGCTCTTAGGTCTAAATTTTGGGAATTGGACATGCAGTGAATCCATTGAAAGGAAGATGGTTCTGTTGTTTTTCTGGAACATCTCTGAGGGAATATCATGCCTCAAAAATTGCATATGTATAGCAGGATCTCCAGTAAGCCAACTTTGGTTCCAATTGTTTGTTGAAAACAGTCTAGCAACTTCCCAGTGATGATATAAGGATCCATGACACACTTTCAGCTATATTTTAAGTACACTTTATGATGCATCATAACAATTATAATGATGTGAAATGTACCATGCCAGTTTCAGTTTCTCTGTTTGAATAAATCTTGTCATCTCATTCAGAGCAAATTAATTTCTAAGAGGAATAATTTCATTATGTAGCATTCTCATTGTCAGCTCTCCCCTTCAGCAAAATGTAAGAGGTTGGACGTGTGTTGCAGGCATTGCAACTGTGAGCGGTTTGAATGACATGGACTACCCAAGTGTAAATGGCCTGGTGTCTGGGATGTCTACTGTGAAGCATGTCACGACCACTAACAGGGTACCTCTGCCTCCAGAGGTGATGGAGCACTTTGGTCGTATCCTTTTCTGGAGAGTATATTTGTTACGACTTCCCTCAGTTCCATCATCCTCCAACTGTACATGGGGTTCTGTTCAGGGGAGTGCAGACATCAAGAGGTCATCCCGTAGCTCAGGCAGAGATGGTCACCAGTGGTCTGCTGTGACAACCCAGGGTAGCCCATGTGGGATTTGTGGTGAACAAAGTAGCACTAGGGCAGGATTTCCCGAAACACTTGGATTTGCTGCAGCCAGTTATCTATACTATTCTGTCATGAGGCTTGTTAAGGCTGCAGTCTCACCCAACCCCTACTGCCAGCAGGAGAAGGAAGCCAACCACTCACCTGCAGATATTATGGATATTAATGTCTGGAGCTTTGCCTCTGTGGCAACATATACCTTTTATTTTAGGTTACATAGGCTCATTGATACAGCAGCATATGAGCCTCTTACTTTTAATATTGTCATGTTTGGGGCGCGGCATGCGTGACAAAAATAACAGGTTCTAGATCTGGTGATTGGGTTTATTGAACACTTCCTCAAAATTACAATCAGTCATAGCATTATCACTAATCTTCACAATTCACTAAGACATGCTCCATTCTTGTCCTAGTACTCTCAACTACTGAACCCTGAACAACCTTAATTGTCCCCTATAAACCTTCGGCATGGACCACACACAGAAAACACATCAATTTCTTGGCAATGGATATTGTGTATTGTTGTCAGGCTTGGCCACTCATGCATTGCCTATCAGTGGACATCCTGTTGTTGCATATTTGTGGCTGTATGATGTGTTTAGCAGTCTGTTGCCTAGCAATGGATGTCCTATTGTTGGATGCATGTTGGTTGGGCTGTGTTTACATATTCATTTCCTAGATACAGCCCAAAATGTCACAACATCAACAGGACACTGGAGAGGTGCACGTAGTTTCAACATTTCTTGTGTTCCGGCATTTATTTACTGTGGATGAATCACACTGTTCACTAGCGTAAATTACTCTCTGTTAACATGTGTCATTGAGATGCATGCTGTGAAGAATTATATAGCTTTGTCATGTACAGTTCACTTCAGTCACTATGCTTTCCATAACTGGACACAGACATGCAGTGCCATTGTATGATGGGGCTGTTTACGGAAATCAACAGAGCCTGGCTCACTATAGATAGTGACATCTATGTGTGGACCTATGAGCATGGGTAAGGCTTGATGTTGAGCTGTTGAACAAAAGTGGTGAGAACCATAAGCTCAGAGGTGTACCACTGAATCCACTCCAGTCGACATTAGCATAACCTGTTTCCGTTATATGCATTTTAATGTTATCAACCATCCATATTTCAGTCATAAAGTGGCCTCATACTGAGATATTCCCTTAATCAAACTTCTGAATGTGTATGTTGTCACTCCTATCCAAGCTACATGACTTACCCACTATAACTTCCTTGATAAGGACAGACTAAATCATACAGTTTCTCTATCTGATATTTTCTGTTCAACGTTACATATTTCCTGGAGATCGTAAAGCATAAGTCAGTAAGTAACAAATAAGTCCTTAGATAAAGAAGTGATGGCCTGAGGATGAATCAGTTCAAAATCTTGAATGTTGTTTGTCTGCTATAAAACTGAATATCTTGTACATATGATTTTCCATGTCTCCATTTTCATTCGCTTGTCTCTCTGTGTATTCTGGTTGCTAGGGGACCATGTTATGTTTCCCTGTTTCATTTGATTGATAACTGGTTAATGCATAAAGCAATCACTACTCAGTGCCACAGCTGTAAATTGTATAGAAGATGTGATGCTGTGATGGGATTTTGTGGGGATATTGTTGATCAGATTGGAGTCTATGTGCTTTCAGGACTGACGTGGCCTACTTTGATGGTCTGGGAGAAACGATTGTGAGCGTGGGGCTGGCGAAACCCAAACCAGGAGTGTTCCACAAATTTGTGAAGCACTTGCTGGTCCTGACGACCACTGTCGAGATTGTAATCCTGGGAGTTACGTTCTCAGCAACGAAAGATGGTATGTGACTGTTAGTGCTGAGGCACGAGTTTGTGAACAGCAGCTTACACAGTTTGTAGCGCAGAGACTGAATCATGGTACCATTAACTAGATTATGGTAATTGTAGGAGTGGGTTGAGACTGTGGTCCTGATGAGAGGTGAGTATGGAGCATTGATAGAATGACAATTGGTATGGAAAAAACCAACCAAAATGCTTGGAGAGAAGCCTGCACCAGCGCCACACCATAAATCCCACATGGAATGCTGTTGAACATGATTCTTATCCATTTCTGTCTTCCTCCTGTCCCAGATAGATCGATGGGTATACGTGCTGCAGTCCTCATGTAGCATCAAACTATAACAGAGGAGAAGTTGGGGACGAAACACTTTGGCCTGTTTTCATGTATTATCCCAGCATTTTCTCCCAAGGACCAAGGAGGAATATAAAAAAATCCTCAGGCAGGATAGTTGATGTCCTGGCTGAGATTCAAACCAGACACTTCATAAACATAGGTCAGAAATTTTATGAATATGAGCCAACCAGTTATATCTGACTGACCTCACAGCCTAAGATCCATCTTAATGTTATCCTCACAGCTATTGAGAGGTCTAAGAAGTTTCGCATTTAAAAAAAGCCTGTTAATCATTTCTATACATCTGTTGTCTCACTGATCCAAGCTACGTGTCTATCCCATTGTAATGTCCGTCTCATTACCCTAGCAATACCATGCAGCCTCTTCAAATTGTGGACATCAAGAAATGTATGTCATGTGACTTCTGATTTTCTTCTTCAGTCCGACAGCTTGTTGTCTCTTGGCCAGTTGGATTCTTCTGTAGTGCCCAGAGCCAACATGCAGTATTTCCCCCTCCTGTGGCCCAGGTTGGATCATGAGGGACAACACAGCTGTGCAAGTTCTGTACCCTTCAGAACATCTGCCCTCTTCACTTTGCTGTGAATGCAGATTTTTTAAAACTCATAGCTATAGCAGTGTAATGGAAGAGATTACACTTGAATACAAAGTCGACAGCTTGTCAGAAAGGAAAGATGGTTCAACTTTCACAGTGTTTACAATATTGAAGGAGATAAGCTATGAGTATTAATGAAATTCGTTTGGTAGTCTAATTTTGTGTAGGTATGACGTCTGTGCGACCAGTGGAACACCACAGGCACAGGAGCTTAACAGATGTCACAGCCTATACACACATGTTATGAAGAGGGTTACTTTCATTATGAATGTGGTAATGTAAACATTTTCATTTGATTAGGTGAGAAAATTAAACAGTAATGGGTTAATGTACAGTTTACATGCCACTAGTGTAGCGTGTGTTTTACATTTAAGTACTTTTACAAAAGTATAGTTGCTTATTTTGTTTCATACTAGGCAAATAACCTTGGAATTGCAGCCAATATGTGCAGATAAACCTCCCCTATGTGTCATGTGTTTTATCATGGCATCTGGAGCTTAGTTAGATTTCCAACACATGTCACTTAGAGGCAGGGAAGATACACAAATGTTTTCAAGTCCTGAGGCCAAGAATGCCAACTTACCTGTGTTAATACTTGGAACAGTGCTGGTATTCAACTGTTTCAGGTCCGTTGGGTCAGTTGGAGGAAATGCATCTGCTGCCTGAACCCGTGTTTGTGTTGCCAACTGATGGAGTTGCCATTAATACAATTGCCAGCACCAGTTCAGGGCGGATCTTCCTGGGAGGGCGCGATGGGAGTTTATATGAAGTGGTTTACCAGGTAAGATTCCTTGTTTCAGCAAGGGGCTATATTCTTTCCGGAGGAACATCATAAGTTTGTGAGAGATAATGCAGATACCAACACTACATGAATGTATGACATAGGTTTTTGGCAATTTACCACACAAAACTGTGAAAGCTTTCCAACTTTTGGAAAACCTTCAACATTCTATGAAATGTATTTCTGAATGCCAAAGTCATGCATTGAACTGCAGCCACAAAAGAAATTAACTGCAAGAGGTGGGTGCACATTTGTTCAAGTTAAGTATGGTATATGTCAACTTTTATTTTTGGCTATATGTTCCAGTTTTGTCTTCTCATTATCAGACATACTGAGACAGGCTTCAGTTGCGAGAATTCATTTCAACTCTCAGCTTTCATGTAAGGTGTGTCATAAAATATTATAGTTGAATGATAACAGTTACTGCTTCTTCATATCTCAAAGTCCTGGGCTCAGATCTCACTACGGAGACCACTTCTCCTTACTGATGTTTCTGGTTTTCCTCAGTCCCCTCAGACAGATGCTGAGGTCACTACTGCTGCATCCCTGCAGTGTTTACTGAACTTTGTGGTTGAGTGTACAGCAGTCCAGCTTTATGTTCAGAATATCTGGGGTTCGGATGTCAACTGAAGACTGGTTATCCTGAGGTTCTCTCATGATTTTATTATTATTAGTATCATTGTTGTATAAACTGTGATTGGGGTTATTACCCAGTGGCAGTGGCACTACAGTAAGACACACACAAATAACACACCATGCTCAAACAAAACATAGCACACAAAACTACACAAACAGGAATATAATGCAAATAAATTACAACTGAAATTATATAAATTAATATTAATAAAACGATGATCATACTATACACTAAACAGTAACATTAATGGAATATGTAATGTCATGAACTGATGCACTCACAGTTTGTAATGTTATGAACTGATGCACTCACAGTTTGTAATGTCATGAACTGATTCACTCACAGTTTGTAATGTCATGAACTGATGCACTCACAGTTCAGCCTGACCTTTCCTTCACCTCACTTCACTGCATATTTTGATGATTTCCCCCACACATTCTCTTTGCCTTATTTATCACTTTCCTAACTAACCATTTTCCTAAAATTACTTGGTTTGCAGGGGGAGTCCCTAAAGCATCTGCCAGTGGTTAGTTCCAGAGCTGGATGGTCCTATTTACAAAGGAATATTTTCCATTACCTGTATTTTGCTTTCTGCACCTAATTTTCCTCTCATGGTCAACCCTGCCCAGATCTTTGTAATCTATCACCTATAGCCTTCCAAGCCCGTACTCTTTTGTACGCTTTGAAGAGAGCGCATATGGAAGCTATCTTTCTGTGCTGTGTCAAGGTTTCCTAGTTCAAATCATTTCTATGATATGCAAATTTTGCCGTGCTGCTTTGCGCCCAGTCTGGCACATTTATCTGTCCCTTTCTGTAAGGATTCCAGCACACTGCCCCATATTGAAGAATCAGATGCAGTAGTGATGTGTAGGCTAAATTTTTAATGCTACCAGTTTGCTTTTCAAGAATAAGCATTGTAAAATGAAGTACCTTCCAGGCTTTTTTCACCATGTAATTAACTTGATCAACCCAACTTAAATCGCTGCTTAAAATTATTCCCAAGTATTTATAGCTGCTCACTTCAGGAATTACTGTGTCCCATAATGAATAATTTAGTGGTTCCATCACTCGGACTTTCACGAAACAAACTGCCCTGCTTTTAGGTGGATTAATTATCATCTCATTTTCAACCACCTACTTCCCCAGCCTGTTGAAATCTATTTGCAACTTTTCCGTGTCTTTATTATTTATAATTTTCCTATATATTGTACAGTCATATGTGAAAAGCCTAATAGTTGACTCAGTGCTTCCCTGAAAATGCTGGGAATGCCTCAGATTCGGCCGTAATCAACTCATTCCACATTCTTTTCAAATTCATTATTCTATAATGTCCTTTCCTTCAGTGCTGTATAGCAGTTGTCACCAAACTGTGGGTCATGAGCAGCGTGTGGCTTTCTTGAGCTGTGAGTGTGACATGCATACAGAAATGTTGATCATGGATTAAATACACAAAATCCTCTGTTAACCATATACCTAAACCCATACACCATCCATTCCATGCCTATCTGCACAGTTTCCAAACTTCTGACAATTATAATATGCAGTTCCAGTGTCGAGTAGGTCTACTCACCGCTGTTGTACAGTGTGGGCTATAGACAGCATTGTTAAACAGACTCTAAATAAATTAAATCATAATGGGTCAGTAAGGTCCAGACATTACATCCAACATCTGCAATCAGCTGAACCCTGGGTCTGTATGGACTCAACTGTCACTTTATAATTGTTACCAGGCAGCAGGCAGTTGGTTCGGGAGGCGCTGCAAGAAGGTGAATCACTCGACAGGGACGCTGTCATTCCTTGTGCCATCGTTCCTGAATCTGGCATTTGGCGAGGAGGATCCTATAGCACAGATCAGCATAGACAACAGTCGCAACATCTTGTTCACACTAACAGAGAAGGGTCGCATTGAGGTGTTCGACCTGGGAGGGGGAGGCATGTCCACCAGCAAAGTGACAAGCATGAACCAGATCACCATTGTCCAGTATGCTGTAAGCATAGTGAAGTAAGTTGCATGAACATTCTCAAGCAAAGTGATAGCCGTGTATATGTACTGCCTGCTATATAACATTAACATTAAAATTCTCACAGTAAACAGCAATTATTTAGTAAACAGCCTTTAACAGGCTGGTCTCTAGTGGAGGTATTGTATTTCCGTTGTGGTTGAAACTGGAATTTCGGATGTTATTTGGATGAATTTCAGACTTCCAGGAATTAATACAGGGTATCATTTTATGTATTAGGATGCACATATCTTGTTTCACTGATCCAAGCTACATGTTCTCCCATTTGGATTGTTTTTGAGTGGTCTGTCTAACTGCTGGATAAATTGTTTGCTCTCACAGTGCAGTCATGTAACATCCTTTCCCACATCTTTTCATGCATTTGTCTGAATAGTCTTAATTCTTCAGCGTCTGATTTCAGAGAGATATCAATCATCATTGTGTGTAAGCCATGGATTTGTCTCTCACAGGACACTGGATGGCAGTAACTTCCGCCCACTGGCGAGCGTGTGTGCCATAGAGGCGGATGAGTCCTCACATCTGAACCTGGTGGCAGTGACTCAGACTGGCGTTCGACTCTACTTCACAACAGGATCAATTACAAATGTCAATGTAAGACCATACACACTGCAGCTGATGCATGTACGTCTTCCCCCTGGGTTTGCTGCAAACGCTCCATCATCGCGTCCCAACAGAGTGCGCATGGCTCATTATAAGTGTGGTGAGTTAGATTTCACGGGATGTCTGGAGATAGTTTGCATAAACATTGGACTTCAGTCATTAATTGTTTGCGAAGCAGTCTGGATGCTAAAATGTTCTCAACTGATGAGTAATTGTGTCTCCTGAATAGGATTTATTCTTCATAGTGTTTGTGTACTACTGAGTCCATTATTTCATGCCATTTCCATCACTATATACAGTGAATTGTAAGATATGCCCATGCCCAATCGCAAGGCCTCTGTCTAATCTGGAATGCTGTGTGCTTAGGGAACCTGCTACTGGTGACGGCACCAGGCAGTGAACGTGACGTCTTGTGGTGCCTATCAAGTGACCCGTACCCGTTCCATCCATACCTGGTGGAGGCGCAGACTCTGATACCTCTTGAAGGCATTGTCTGGGCAATGGCGGAGGTGCAGGGTGGTGATGTGAAGGCCATACTACCCAGTGTGAACTTCCGTGAATCCAGAGCCGAGGACCCTGTCATGATGCCCGATCCTCCGTTGGTGGTCAGGCAGCACATGGAGTCGCCAAGGAAGTACATCATACTCACACAGCAGGTTTGCGGTAGTACTTTGATTTTCCGGTGTTTTGGGAACATAAGGAACGTGACCTCACCTGCAGATCATGGCTTCTCATTGTGGGGCCTTGGGTTCAGTCCTGGGGGACTTCACATGCGATTCACGGTGCAGAAAGTGGCACTGGAATGGGTTTATTTCTGAGTTCTTACAGTTTCCCCTGCTACTCATGATCCAACCATTGATCCATACTCATTAATCTGTGCCCTTTGAGGTGTGTGATAGCCCTGTCAGGCAGCGCATTATCACATCCTCGGTCTTTAAGCTGGAAACTCATCTCAGACCCAACATTTTGCAGATCACACAGTATGGCCATTAAGTTCTTTATTAGTTTTAAATATGCATCATGTCAAAAGTGTGTCAAAGAAGTTTGTTTTTAATGACATCCGTGCTTGTCATGTAGCATAGAACACATTTTCTGTCAACTGCTGGCAGTGTTTGAACCATTGTTGTGGATTGCAGGGGGCAGAGATCTTGCAGAAGCTGCGGCCAGTGGACCTGCTACGCCAGCTGCTGGTTGAGAACCGGGGACCTGAAGCTGAAGCAGTGAAGTTATTCTTTCAGGCCCAGAAGGAGGAACAGGCTTGTGCCACAAGCCTGATACTGGCCTGCTTGCAAAGCGCACAGAACCTGCAGGTGGCAGAGTGGGCCACTCGTGCCTTCTTCATGTACGGAGGTGAACCCAAGATCAGAGCTGTTGTCTCCCCCGCTGCATCCCCTTCTTTCCAGTACTCCATGGCGAGTGGAGGTGAGTGAGATGGTAAGGTTATTGGCTTCAGGGATGGGGCGCTTTGCTGCAGCTGTGCCTGATGGCAACCTGAAAGTCTAAATGGATAGATGTTCATTGTACATGCATACAAACACTGGCTGTGTAAAATGGTACAGTACAGCGAAGCCTACATTTGAGGTTTCTTCAAGGAGTACTGAACTGAGGAAAATCTTAAGTGACTGAAAACATTTACGAGGGATCATTGAAATTGGATATTAACCTTTAACATGTGGACTTTTAAATTGCCGGGAGCCCTCTGCAGCCAGAATTTAAATGGCCCTAAGTCTTTAACATTGCAAACTTTAAAAAAAAACTACAAATTTTCTGTTCCATGCAACATAGAAATATGAACTAAAAACTACCTGAAAGGCAATAAAATTTTCTATATATGCACAAAAGAGAAATTTTTACAAATGAAAATTAACTGTGATTATTTTGCCATGAAATGCAAAATAAATTCTTTATTATATATATTATGAAATTCCAAAGGACTTACCCATAGTTTTTTGTTCGACCTTGAGACATGGTGATACTGCAGATTTGATCACACTATATACAACAATATTTTGTTCAGACTCTAGGCGAGTTTGAACTGCGTCACTTCACAGTTTATGATACCTCACACTCTGACACGCATGTGCCACTTCTCAAAGCAGCCCATGTTGCACAGCCCAACATCACACTTATTTTACAATAGAAAATGGTGCTCCTGCTTTTCTTATTTAGCAAACACACACAACAATGTCTTTGTTTCCCTTTTGTTTGCCAGTGTCGTGAAAGTTTCAGCTCCAGTTGACTCAGTTGGGCCCCAGATGAACTTTGACTCCCCCAAGAAATGCCATCTTGGGGGAAGGGGGTTTCCAGCTAAATTGAATAAATTATGTTGATTGACAAAGCAATACACTCAGCTGTTGGTAATACTCACAAAATAGTGATGCAAAGTAATTATAATACTAGTCGAAAAGAGTGCCAGCCCGACACTGATACCAAAAGTCGCAGTGGCGAAGATGCCTTTTACTTACAAAGTAATACTGGCTCAGTAGGTTTATACCTCTTCCAAGACACAAAATAAAAATAATATATAAAGAAATATATAACAGTCTGACACTGACTTTCTAACTGATAATTTGTTACTGGAAACCAATCCTTGAATACATCACACTTCCTTGAAAGCTCTAGCAGCAATAACATGCGAGCACAGATGAATGTTTCCTCCTCAATTCTTAAAACAAAGCTGGGTTCTATTTGGCTGACCAGGTTATAAACAGTCATATCTAAACGTAAATAGTATCGAAACCAATACCATGATAAACAATTCCATTGTTCAGAGTTAACGAATGAACCACTGAAATGACCTTGCATGGGTTTTGGTTTCAAACACAGATCAAACTGTCAGCACTCCCAAAGGGAGCACATGTCCTGTGTTAGATAAATCTAACATTCAGACACCCTGGTGTGTTACTTGCTGTAGATATATATAACATTCGTTCGTTAAAGGTTAAATGAGGGAAACCTTACATTTACGAGCATTAAATGAGGTACCACTATATTTACACACTCACACACACACACACAAGCAAACAAACAAACAAATGTGATGCTGCAATATAATAGGGCATATTGTTGTGTTTTTCCTTGTAGGACTTTCTCAGGCCTCTGTCAGTATTGATCTGTCCATTCTGTTTCAATAAAATAGTATTTTCTTTTCCTTTATCTCTCTGTCGTCTACTTTATAGTTCGTTGAGTCCATTCTACGGGGTGCATCACTAACCCTGTCAGTTTTACACTTCACTGTGAGATGCATGAGACCCAGCTCTGTTTCATATACCAGGTCATGTCTGTGTCTTTCAGCATTTAGCCCCACAGTCGTATCGACTCCATACGCACAATCCCACGTCACTGGAAGCCCACAGCAGAATATCTCCCTAAGTACCAGTGAACCCAGCATTGGCACGGGTAGCATACAGTATTCTCACCGCCACAATGGACTGTACCTGTATGTTGGACGCATTGTTCGGCCACTGTGGAATGTTAAAATTGTCAGCAAGGCAACTCTGGACAAGATGCAGTTTGTAAGTAAACAGCAGATGTGGGAGTCAGTCAAGTTATTTTTCTACTTATATGTTTCTTTTTAAGGAGTAATTTACTGGTCCTGTCAGTACTGAGAGTATGGAGCACTTGTGCTGTAGAGCGACAGCTCACTACTACAGGCTAAAGCTCACCATGGAAGCCTGTTTCTCCACAATTGCAAGATCCTGACCTAGTTCACATATTTTCCATAATATTGTAGCTGAACAGTATGTAGTGCTTGATAATCCTGCTTCCTCTTCTGGGAGTCTGAGTCATATATGTCAGGTGGGTGATAACAGTTCTCTGGTTCTACACTGGGGACCTCAGTGGCATGATCTTCATACCCAGTACAAAGAAACTGACAAATTTGTTCCTGTAACTGGTGATCATAATTGAATGAGGATAGTTGGCAGAATTAGCACATTGTGTAGTGATAACGGAGGCCGCAGGACAAAGTCACATGGAAGTTGGGGGTGACAGTACTCAGGGCCTGCCTTCAATCCACTTTGGCCTATGTCAACCAACCCAAAGTACTTGTTACAAATGAGGCTATCAGTGCCAACATTCATGTGAACAGAGTGGCAGGATGACTGGAGGGACAGGTGTGACAGCTTGAGGGAGATTTGGTGGGGGGTGGACCCTTGAGACTTCTTTGTATCAATCTCAGTGTAAGCAGAGTAGTTTGAACAGCAAAGGGAGCCAACTGACAGTTGTCCTGTGTGTTGCAGCTGTGCAGTTCTGTGTCAAGAGAGGACTGTGTTTGGATCCTGGGCCACCTGCAGGCCCTGCGGAACTTCCTGGAGAAGAACACACAGCTCTCAGTCTCTGGAGTCATGTAAGTAAAGTGCCAACTCCTCCTGTACCACTGCACCACATGCAGGCTAACAGTTCAGCCAGGGCACCAGTGACTGTATAAGGGGACTAGTTACATAATGCAACTGCTGAACATGTGTATTGTTATCTTGTGGCGTGTAATATTGTCTCGCTGTAGCTGCCGCTCTCTGCCTTGTCATACCCTTCATCCCTGAAGATTGAGACGGTTGATTCCTCTGAAATGTTGGCAGACTTCTACCAAATTACATGGTGTCACATCCCATTTGATGCTGCTTGTTGTTTTGAAGTGCTACATGTTTTGACCCCTTCAGGAGTCAGAACAACAAATATACCTGACAGTACATTTGGTCACTGCTTGCATTTGACAGCGTTGCTGTTGTTTGCTTCAAGGTGAACTCCTGTGACACAGAAGTAATTCTGGAACCCTTCAGTTCAGTTCCCATAGAGCTGTACATCTCCCGAAGGCAGAATGTGGTAAGAATGGAGTATTGCAGCGGGGATGTGTCCCCAAGTTTGGAGAGCCCTGTGATCCATTTTTTTATTCTGTGAACAGGAATATCCACCTGCAGAACACAATGCTGCGGCATGCAGGCCACGACTCGTTTGAAACATCATTACATCACCGCACACCCCAGAGGAACCGGGAGCAGGAGGCCCAGTTAGAAGAGAAGCATTCGCTTGATGCTTTGAAAGCATTTGTGGCACATACATGTGAAGTACTGGGCATGTGGCGCATACTGTGTGAGCATCAGTTCCACGTCATAGCAGACACCCTTAGTAAGGTGAGGCAACTGAGTAGGAGCGTGTACAGTCATATCCAAAATGCCTTTCTTGAAGTAAAGTGAGATTGCAGTACTGCTGTCCATCATCATTCTGCGTATATTAGTGATTAAATAATTTGACTGAAGATGAAGTATGTTACAATATTTGTTACAACTCATTACAGGAGGCCGTGAATGTTTTCTTTCCCCACACTTGTCCTTCTGTTTCATTCAGTGCTACATAGCTTCACTGCCTGAAACACAAGTATGAAATAAGCCATCAGTCAAACTCTGGTCTGTTGCAGGACCTGCAGAATCAGCTGCAACAGATGAATTTCAGAAATCTTGTACTGGAAGGTCAGGATGTCTGCTCTGTCCTCATCAGCAGCCTCATCAACAGGTCAGGAACTAGAACCTTGTGCTGCCAAATTTCCCACTCTGCTTTGTAAGGATGGCACGATTAAGTGTATGCAGTCACATTTTTTGCATGGTTTTGTCAACACTTAATTTAAAGGTAAATTGTCCCTGTGCCTAATTAAGCACCAAACAGTGAAGATGGAGGTGAGTGATCAGCTTCATGCCCCACTGCTTTACCATCAGGAGAAGTGCCCTTGATTCCCATTGGATAGGCTGGATGCTGCAGAGAAGAGAAAAATGTATTGCCCTTGCTAGGAATTTGAACCCCTGTTCCTTAGCAATCTGGCCCATTGCTATGCTGACTGAGCTGTCCCTGCCCTTGTAACTCACTTAATGGCAACTCATAAAGACACCAGAAAGTTTTCCATTGATTCCCAAAGCTGTGAAAAAGCATGCCACCATGTAACTACAATCCAAGTGCTAAAAGAATGAAGTTTACCAAGAAACAGAGATGTTTCATAAATGTAAGGCATTTTGACTGTATTTTATGTTCAGTTCATTGATTCATTCATTTTTTCAGTATTCTTATCAAAGACCAATTGTACACAACAAGTAGAGGGAGAATGAAAAGTCTTCACTGCTAAGTTGTATGCTTAATGCCATTTTGAGGCTCTGTGATGTTTTAAATGTATGGAAAATTAGCACTTTCATAGTGACTTACTTTTGAGCCCTCATAACTTGGCAGTGTGGTACCAAAATCAAAGTTCCTGGGGGGAAAAACCTTAAAAAGGTGCAAACTACACAAAAAATGGTCATGGTTCAAGGACCATTTAGTGCCAACCCCTGTATTGTGTTTTGCTCCAGTCCTGATGCATGCATAGTTTTTGTAGGAAATCCCAAAAGAAAGATTCTACTTGGACAACCAGGATAACATTAAAATGAACTGTAAAGAAATGGGATGATGTATTGCAGTGTCGGGTGCTTGTGATCACAGTAATGAAATTCAGGTTCCATAAAACTAGAACTTGTTGACCAGCAGAGCAACTTTAAGCTTTTCAAGCAGGACTAGTTCCATTTTTGAGGAATCTCATGTTCAATGCTAGGGGCTGACCACATAGCGCAGGGCATGCCCATTAATGAGCATATTCATGCTGATGTGTACAGATATCTGGATGATAATGCTTCAGTGGATGCAATCAGCTGTAAGCTGCGTGAGGTCTGCCCGAGTCTGTACAGGAGGGAAGATGCTGCATGCTCCAAGGTAACAGACTACGTATCCTTGTTTGAGTCACTTCTAGAGCATTCCAGTGAGCAAGCAGAACAGAGTGTTATACTTCAGAAACACGACCTATGTCTATACTCATGTGCAAGGATTGGGAGACACCTGCTCAATTGTGTCTACTAGAGGGAATTAATCTCCACATGAATGACTGAGGTAGCTTTTTGTTAGTGACCCAACTGACGGCCTCTCCACCTCCCTGCCTGTGGACAAGAACAGATCCTGTTTCTGAGTCGTCATGTTCACTTTAGAGCACTTGATGATGGGCAAATTCTTGGTAATCATTGTTCAAGGCTAAATTACACCAACTTGAGTTCTTATATGTCAAGTATAAAAGTAAAGCTAAAGTCATCCCTGTGCTTAATTAACTACACACTGTACCACGAAGATGTAGGGTGTGGAGGTATCCATATATTCTTAACCTTGTCTGTGCATGGAAATGAGCAGTCAGTTTCATGCCCAAACCACTTTAGTTGGGGGGGGGGATATCCCAATGGCCATTGCATAGGAAACTGCGTGTTCTCCAAAGCCCTGCCAGAAATCAACTCCCAGTTCCTCAGCCATTTGGCTTGCAGCCTGTTGCTATACCGACTGAGCAGTGGAAGTTGTTTTTGTATGGAGCCACTGGGCCAGTCACAGCAGACCCTACACGTCTCTCTTGTTTAATTTCCAGTAAGTTCCTTGAGCTTCCTTGTTGCAGGCAAGCGAGATGCTCCTGAGTGCAAAAACAATTAAGAACCCAGAGGAACGAGAGGCAAAGCTACGGGAGGCTCTGCAGGTTTGCAAACTCTTTGAATTTTGATGTGTCTTCAGGGCCATTTAGCAAGTCCTGAGTTTAGATTTCAGGCTCAGGACCTCATCTGCATATCCTGGCAGTGTGAGTCTCAAATGTTTGAGTTCAGATCAAGAAAAATATCTTGATATTGATTTAGACGTTGACTTCCCATTCTTGAACTTCGAGGATCTTCAGATAACTCTTCTTGCTTTGTCCAGTAGCGTGCAAACTGCGTGACCCATCAGAATCACAACAGTTGGCAACTCCAGCAGGAATCACCTTGACAAAATCTGTCTCTGTCTCCTGCTTTCTGCCTCTGGAGAAAAAGGACATGGCCCTAGAATTGAATATCTTTTTTCTTCAAATACAATGATTATGAACATTTTTTACTAAAAGGGATCTAATATCAAAAGTATCACATTTGTAATATTTTCAAAATATGGCCATTATACATTTTTACAGTAAACCTTTTTTTTAATAGAAAAATTTCTTGTCTCATTTATCAAAATTTTTCCAAATTTGTTTCTCGGTCTTATCATGAACTGAGAAAATAATCCTGCCTAGTTTTCAACTGTTTCTACATTCCCTTCAGCAAAAGTCTGAGGTAATTCCCTAACATGCATTATGACAGCTTCCTGCTATACTGTTCCCAGTACAGGTGACATACTGATTTATTTACAGCTGTGCAAGAGCGTGGCTCCACAGGTGAACTTGCAGATGATGTGCCAATGGTTCTTCAGCAGCCAGTTCTATGAGGGAGTGCTGGAACTGGCACTTGTGTATGCATCCAAAGTCGACCCCAAGAATGTGGGATTTCACTTTTACAAGAACAAGGAGCCAGCTGAAGACACTGAGGGCTACCAGGCATATATCAAGAGGTGAGCATTACAGGTAACGCCCATGGTGGCCGTTGTTCCAACACGGATCAAAAATAGTGTAACAGAGAGAGAAAGACTAGAACTGCATACAGAATTTTAATTATGTTATATTTTAGCGATCTGTTGCACTGATTTATGTCCATGATTTATTCTGACCGTCTTACAGTGCATACATTTATTCACCTTACTCTTCTCTCTTGCACTACATGTTTCAGCACTAAAGTGCCATCTTCAGGTGCTTTTCAATGTACGTCGAACTACTGCATTGCATGCCCTGTTGTCTTTATACTAAAATAACTAAAATATTGTAACGCGTTTCCGTTCAAATCTGTGTTGGTCACGTGTGTAAGTCCAAATCCCACTTCTGACACCAATGTAACGTGTCTTGTTAATGAAGACGCCGTCTGAATTGTTAATTGGTTTATTCAACAACCTACAAGTAACGGCTACAATTGATTATAACACAGTTGCGCATTTTCACACTTTATAACCCTAATCGCAATAATCTGTTTGCACTGTTGCGGGGTTTCACGATTTGTAACCCTATTCGCAAATCAGCTCACTCTGTCTTCAGTAGTCTTCACGTATTAATAACGCGGGAGCTATACAAGTCTTTCTGAATTACACACTCCAAATATAACTGTACTACAGCACACACAAAGTCTCGAAAGCACACAATAAGTCTTCCGCTCGCTGACTTCTTAATTATCGCACACTGTCACATAAAATCTTGTAACCATGCGTTCGGGTCTTCTTATCGCGACTGCTGCTATATGTCAACTCGACTCGCAGGCTGCTACATTGAGAACTGTTGATAACACACTGGCTCGACTACTACTGAACTTGGCGATGGCCACATTACAACTAACTCACACTTACTGCTCAGCCGGCTTTTATTCTGTTTGCTGTTGCCTGTTGCATGCCACGTCACAGTAGGAAGCGGTGCCGCGTCACCGTGTTTGCGTATAGCCTAACAACGCTGTTACCTCGCGCCGTCTTACGTCACCGCGTGTTGTGCGTTACGTTACTGTGTGGAGGGGGGGAGGGGAGCTCTGACTCACCCACCGCTTCACTGCTGGTGGGGGGCGGTTCTCTGTTGCGCATCATGTCACAATATATATTCATCATATATATTGCTAAATTTTAAATATTAAAAATGTTAAAACTATTCAAGATTTGTCATCCTTATGTCATATTTCAGTATGCAAGTCACACCTATCTTCTTCTGTCAGAGTATTCTTCCTACTTTCATGTGTATCTGTAACGTGAAATTGTTATTTATTAATACCACATTCTGAATTTTATTTGTTACGTGTGGTATTATAATGTTTAATACTCACTGTGCTTTGTGTTGTGTCTTACTCCTGTGACTGCGTGTGTTATACTGCTGGGCCTGCTGGGTATGTGTGTGTGTGTGTATAAACAACATACTCATAAATAAGAAGTACAACACAGATATAATTACAAAACTAACTACAAATAACAGAAAACAAAACATTGCAAAAAAGCAGAACATTACAGAGAATTCAGAAGAACAAAAAACAAAAACGAAATGGGCAGCATTCACATATATAGGAAAAGAAACAAGAAATATCACAAAATTATTTCGAGACACAAAATTAAAAATAGCATTTAGAACTAAGAACAATTTACAACATATACTAAAATCAAGACCACAAATAAATAAATATAACAGNTAAATAAAGAAATATATAACCCAATATACCACGAATTAAACACTATCTACACAGAACAACATAACAACACCCCACCACCTACCCCCACCACATCTACCCCCACAACATCATAACTCAATCAAAACGAAGACAGCACACACACATACCCAGCAGGCCCAGCAGTATAACACACGCAGTCAGGAGTAAGACACAACACAAAGCACAGTGAGTATTAAACATTATAATACCACACGTAACAAATAAAATTCAGAATGCGGTATTAATGAATACAATTTCACGTTACAAATACACATGAAAGTAGGAAGAATACTCCAACAGAAGAAGATAGGTGTGACTCGCGTACTGAAATACGACATAAGGATGACAAATCCTGAATAGTTTTAACATTTTTAATATTTAAAATTTAGCAATATATATGACGAATATATATTTTAGTTATTTTAGTATAAAGACAACAGGGCATGCAATGCAGCAGTTCGACATACATTGAAAAGCACCTGAAGATGGCACTTTAGTGCTGAAACATGTAGTGCAAGAGAGAAGAGTAAGGTGAATAAATGTATGCACTGTAAGACGGTCAGAATAAATCATGAATTTTAATTGGAAAACCTCAAAGAAAGATACCTCTTGGAAGACAAGCTGAGTTGGAGGAGGATGGAATTAAAATTGATCTCGAAGAAATAGGGTATTGTGGTTTGGATGGTATCATCTGGCTCATGATAGGGTCCAGTTGCTTGCTGTTGTGAACATGGTAATGAATATACAGGTTCCATAAAATGCTGGAAATTTTATCAGTGGCTGAATAATATTACCTTGAGAAGCAAGCTCTGCTTGTTTGTTCACTTCATTGTGTCGAACTATGCTGTGTAGGATGGAGTGCTACAAGGAGGTGACCAGTCTGCTGGATCACCTGTATGACCAGAAGACTTCGAGCAGACACACACTGAGCGTGACGGTGTCTCCCGGCGTCCCCGTGGCACAGGACACTACACAGATCTCCCAGAGTGAAGCCAATGACCAGGTGAGGTTCTGATGGAAGTGAGTATTAAGATTGTGGTCTTCCAGGATGTGACTGCATATTTGGGGAGATAAATCAGCCTCCATCTTCGGGGTGAATTTCATAAGAGACAGCAGGTTCCTGTAGAACGCTGATACATGTCTGAGTACACAAGACTGTAATCTTGCTGCACTTCCCTCCCCTCTGCGTGTATTCACATGCCAGAAACCTTTTGGGCTAGTGGAAATCTGTACTGCTGAACAGAGAGACTAACATACAGTGGAACCCCAGTTTAAAGTGTCCCTGGATTTAGTGTTTGATTTCGCTGATCCCAAGTCAGTGACCTCGGTTAAGTGTTTCCATTCACTGGTCCCCAAATGCAGTAAAAACTTGCAGTTGACTTAGTTCACTGTTGCAGTCAAACCATAGCTGGAAATGTTAATTTGGTGTATCACTGTACCTGAATGAATACCTTCCCATGCTGTTGATGTCCCTTTCAGCCAAGTCTCTCACTGACCTCTTGTATTAATGCCTATAGGCTGGTTTTTCATATTCTGTAATTCCTGTGTTTGTGGCAAGATGGCACTATGATGCAAGTATTTGATTGTAAGGATCATGCTGCCTCCAGCACCCCTTTGTTGTAACATTCGCTGCCCACGCACACATTCCATTGTTCACAGTAATGACTCATATCAGTGAGTGTATGTCTGTCTTATCTGAGAACTTCCCACCCCCTTGTGTGGTACAGCTGCAGTACTAGCCTTCACATGTTTTGGGTACAGTTTAAATTCAAATTATTATTTTCAGCAGGTGGTGTTAATTCCCCCCACTTTGTCAAAGTGTAACTATATTTCCTGTTTGAATTTTGATGTTCTTACAACAATGAATTTTAAGGTCAAATTCTCCTGGGATGTGATATCCTATACAGAAACAGGGGCATAAGGTCTCCGATGACATTTCTAGGGAAGATGCAGTGTTTCAGGGGCCCTGGGTAGGAGGAAAATAGACATGAATTGTGGGAAACAAGCTTAATGTAAACATGAGTTGGTTTACAGGTAAACCGGCTGGTTCGATCGGCATTGCAGTCACAGGATGAGTTAATGCACGTGGCTGTGTTTGATTGGCTGGTGACAAAACAGCTGACAGGTGACCTGCTCACAGTACACCAGCCCAGCATGGAAATGTACCTTGTGCGCAAATCAGAGCAGAGCCCTGAAGTATGTGATCTGCTCTGGAAGTACTATGAGAAAAACATGAACCACGCAGCAGCTGCCAAGATACTGCACAACCTTGCCACTCGTCCTGGGTGAGACAACCATATACTTGTAGCTCCATTTCGTGTGCCTGTATTTTATTGTTCCTTCTTAACTTGTTTGTTTCTCATTCTTATGCCTTTTCCTCTGTCTTCCTGTCACCTCTTTCTGCCTCTCCAAACATCCTTTCTTTCTCATGAAACTCAGTAAGATACCTACACTGGTTCACTTAGCAGGTTGGTGTAGTGGTAATGCTCAAGCCTGGTGCCCAGGTGTTCACTTTGAATCCTGCCAGGATGCCATCTCTCCAATCTGAGCTTGTCTGTGGCTTTCCTCAGTCCCTCCCTTGATTGTGCCATGACCACTTCTTTCAAAATCTCCTTGAATTCATCATTCATCATAACCTTAACATTCAGTGTTATATATTTCTATAGTCATGCTCTTGCAGCATGGGAGAATAAGCTGTCCCTCCCAAATGCAATGACTCCTGTCAAGGAAGTTAGTAACTCGAGTCACATTGCTCTGTGACTATTGCCAACATACAAAAATGTGACTGATTGTGACATGTCAATCCTGTTATGCGTTCCTTGTCTGATGTTCATGAATTTAACATAGAACATATTTAGGGGATACTGTGTCCATCTGTCCACCTGGATGTTTCTGCTGAAGCACTGATCAGCAGCAGATTTTTATGAAATTTTACATTAGAGGTCCTTGGGAAAAGTTGTAGGGCCAAATGAATTTTTGTAAGGATTGGCATCATAGAAGTGCATTTGCATAAGGGAGTGTTGTACAAAGACTGCCATTAGCGACTTTATATAGTCTGGTACAGATCGTGGCATTTCAGTTTTATTGTTTTTACTGTTGTCTCAGACATCACATGTCTGTGCAATATCCATATTCATTTTATAAGCAAAGTGTCAAGACGTTGTGAATGAGATGTAAGGTAAAGTTCATGTACTTAATTAAGTACCAGTTTATGATGATGTTGGGTGGAGGTATAACTCCATACATTCTTAACTTCAACACTAGATGGAGGTGAGTGGTTAGCTGCGCACCCTGGCTCCAGTAATAGTGTGAGCCCTGTACAAAAGAGGGAAATCTCTTTCCCCTGCTTGGAAGTGAACCGCTGTTCCTCAGCTGTCTGTCCCGTGCCGCATTAACTGTACTGACAACTCTCCTGACTCCCATTATCAACCAAAACACATGTCAGTTCTCTGGTTGCAGCTCATCCATTACATTGCTTCAGCGCATAGAGTATTTGGCCCGTGCAGTCGTGTGTATGAGGAGTGATCAGGTGGGGTATGCCCCACAGCTGGGAGTGTTCTTGCGAGAACTTGAGGATAAGATTGATGTGGCACGTATCCAGCAGCAGGTGAGACTCTAGTATCGATAGTCCCTTTACTCTGAAAATGGAACCAAACAAGTATGTATGTTATCAGTCAAAAGTCTGTGATCTAATGACACAGTTCTCCCAATTGCAGGTGCTGGAGGCACTCACCAAGTTGAAGGGGCGAAACCGCTTGGCTGAAGATGCAATTCTGCGTCTCAACTCCAGCCTGCTAGAGATCACACAGGTGTGCCACAACTGCCACTATCTTTCCGATTTGTTTGCATTGCCTTGCAAGGAAATATTCACTCCACCTTATTCCCTATATTATCTTATGGTGTTTGCTGCTTGCCTTCTTTCATACTGAAAATGGAGGCAGTATGTGCCTCTGAAACATCGGTACATATCTGCCAGGCCGTGCAGTCTCACATGCCATAGGGCATATCTCATAACAACCTGATTGCTATTTTGCAGTACTGATGTGTGTGCTCAAGCAGGAGAACTTGTAACTTGTGTCCAGGAGGTGCCCACTTCAAGTCTTGGCTGGGTCACTGAGGTGTAATATGGCTCTTCTTAGTCCCTCCAGACATTTGTTGAAATAGTTCCTCTGATTAGACCACAATCACATATTTCAACACCCTTTTCAATTCATTACTTGCTCATCATCCTACCATTCTACACTGTGTAGTCTGAGCTACTGACAGTGTCATTAAGTAAGCCACAAATCAAGGAATTAATAAATATAAGTGATGATTGAGCCTAATCCTTTGGAACCATGTAGTGCACTCTAATTGGACTTGTCTTTGTGTCACCAGCTTTACGAGGAGTTCTGCGAGCCATTCAGTCTCTGGGAGTGCAAGCTAGCCATCATTCATTGCTCGGGTCACTATGACCTCGCCCTGGTCGAGACAATCTGGCTCAACATCATTGAGACTGAACTGCAGGCTTGTAGCTCTGTTGGGGCTGATGACAGGATGGCAGTGCTCATGAGCAAGATAAAGTCCCTTGGACAAGAGTATGGTGGCTCACCACGCTGCTTTCCAGTCCGTGAGTACCGCGATGCCCCTTAGGAGATGTGGAGTGGATATTGGCTGCCGGGTTTATACATATTTTGTTATTTTGCTTCCCTCACTGCATGTGATATTAACTCTTTCAAGCACGATATTCAGCTAAGTAATATTTATAAAAATTAAGTTCCTACTTCATAATAAACACAATGCCTCCACTACAAAGACCCACTGCTTGATATCTCTTATTTAAACAGTCGCTGTTTATTGTGAGAATCATGTGAGACACACACATACATTCTGTGGGTAAGATGCAGTTACTTTTAATGTTGTAGGGATGTTGTGCATGTAGTTACCATTTTGCTTTAAAGGATTAAATACTTTGCAAGTCCATGCATATTATTAGTGAAGCTAATCAAGTGCCACGTTTAAAGTTTGTAAGGTGTATGAAGTTTCTGCTTTGTATTTTTTGAAATTGTAACATCATCATGAAACATGTCGTAAAGTTTACAGGCGCCGACGTAACTTGTAACATGTCGTGCCTGTTCTTGGTATGTTGACCAAATGTCACATTCAAGTCACTGCTATTTCATTTATAAGGAGGTGCCACATTCAGACCTTAGCCCAGAGACCATCTGTTGTGACTGAGGCTTTCATGGTTGTCCTCAGTCCATCCAGGTTAGGGCCTCACATTAGGCCATTCTTGCTTCATTCCATTTGTTTTACAGTTCGTTATTTGCCAGTAATCATATCATTTGGTGGCTTTGAGCTGCTGTCTTCTGTGATGTGATGCAATAAAATCCAATGAAAGTTGACTGGCATTTTGGAAGAAAATACTGCTTCAATCTTCAGGGTCACAGAATACACTAAGCAAGCAACCAGCAAGAAACAAGCAGCTGGTTGCTTGATATTCAACCCTGAACATGGGGGCAGTATCTTCCTCCAAAATGCCAGTGAACTTCAATGGTACTGCAACTGGTCACTTCACAAAAGACGGTGCTCGTTGTACTATGATGTTACACTGTAGGCTGAGCTGCTGATTTTTTCAAATTTGATGAAGTATAATTTGAGCTTCGTGCAAAGCAGTTATCATGTCACCCAGCACCTTTTAATGTAGGATCCTTACCTTCTTCATTCAGATCTGAATTTCATTGAAGTGTGCTTAAGTGCTCAGGCAGACGTGACCTACTGCTTCAGCTGTGCTGTTTATGCCCATGGTTGGTGGTGAATGTTTCAGCATTCCTTGTGCGCCAGTTGGAGCTGAAGGCATGTAGGCTACATGCTGATACCATGCATGTACATAGTGCAATGGTTGCTCTTGGTGTTCCTCTGATGACGCTGATGGATGTGTATGAGAGGTAAACTTCTTGCTGTGAGAGCAAGTTGTGTTGTGTCCCCTCTACCGTAGCATCAGACTCTCAACAGGAGCGAACAGGCTCTCTTGGAGACTTAGATCGACAGTCAGGAATTCAGATTCCAGCTCAGTCTCAGACTGAGTGTGAATGTTATGAAATGAACAGAATTTAATGTGTTGACCTCAAGAAAGATGGTGTGCAGGGAAAGAGGAAATGTATATATACAGAAGGCTGACAATTTTCTGTTACCATGTATATTAACAATCAACACAAATACTCAGTTTTAATATTCTAGAGGCAAAAGTTTTATGTCAGTATATAATATGACGTGTTGCACTGATAGGGATCCATATCGGTATTTCAATGATTGTACGTATTCCTGTGTATAACTGCCTGATAATGGTCTTGTGCAACCAAAACATGTAGCAGCAATAAAGACTGAATATTAAAACTGAATATTTGTTGTGTTGACGGTTGACATGATTCCTATATAGGTGTATATAGTGGCAGATATGTTTGAATTGGTATTGCAGTTTCCACCTTTACTGATTAAATGACAGTATACCTGTGGAGAAAATCACTGCTTATTGCATATTGTTAACCTTGGGTTAAATGTATCTGGGTTTCTGGAAATTTTCAAGTTAGTGAGGTAGGTAAATCTATAGGCAAATGTTTCATATACACGTTTGCTTCTCAGTCGATTTTATGGTTCAGATTCAGTAATTATTTTGCTAACTGATGATTTTCCACTGAAATTTCAACACCCATAATGCTCATGCAAGTAATATTTTGGTTGGAGAATTGAGAGACAGAGGGCACTGCAGAATGTGTGCACAGGTGGGAGGTTAGTATAAGAATAACTGCTAGAGCCGTAAGTTACGAGCATGACATGTATGCTTCCTGCTTGCATGTTCCACTTTCCTCTTCCAGACTGGTTGCTGCAAATGAGCGTGTGTGGTTGACCGAGGGCAATGAATTCCATCTGGTGGAGGCGCTCGCTCAGTTAATAGAGAGTTTCACTGTCAGCCCACAGATGGTGAGCCTTGTTGACAGGTGTGTGGAACTTCATTCTTATTTAATCTTTATCATCAATGATAATAGTTTTAAATCTCCAGGCACTACAGGTCTCAAAGTGGCATTATGATTTAACCGTCATCCAATGCTATTTATACAACAGTGTGTGTTACGTGACACTGATTGGTAGTAGTACGGGTGACTTCATGTCTTGTTCATAATAAAAGTCTAAAACAATATAATCTTTTTAATTCAATAAATGTTATTAACATGAAAATAGACATGTTAGCTGAATCTAAAGGGTTCTGAGAATGCTATTGCAATTGAGATTACTGACATTTTGGACATTGTCCATCATCTGTATGGTCTCAAAAGACAATAATCACAGGACACTTTCAGCATTTTGCAAACTTGCTGGACTGTTGCTGCTTTGTTCATACAGACAGATACTTTTTATGTGCTTGCAAAATCGCTGGATTGCAGTTTGTGATGTTGCAAATTCTTGCTTTCAAACCATTTCAGGCGAGCCACACTTGCCAAGGCATCTGATGTGATATCAAATTGCCTGATGGTGCTGTACAGTAAACCAGACACTGCAGATTTGATCCACAGGCTGCGTGGCATTCAGGCCAAGTTGAACCGCCTGTCTGCCTGTTAGCAAATTGCGTAATATGTTCTTCTCAGCTGAACTGAATGTGTCTCATATATCAAGTTTATTTGTTTTGGCCAATTAAACATTGAAGTACAACATACAAACATTTGGTAATTTGTTACCACCCAGAGACTGAAACAGCACTGATGCTGAAGCATTCCTGAAGCTGGTTATTTGAATGTGGGAAGCATCGACTTGGACATTCAGCAGACTTTATAACAGTGAAATATTTTGAAATGCAGAGTAACTGCTAGCTGCTCGAGAAATTCTAGTACCATATGATTTTAAATTATTAGGTCATACAGTTTCCGAGGTCTGTTTTTGCACACTGTTAAAGAAGAAATTCAGCGCATTTTATTCTTTTAATGTGTTCACAATGTAAAGCTGCAAAAGTGTACCTATTAGCATCACTGTGGCTGTCCATCTGTGTGTATGCTGGGGTGCAATAACTGCTGAATGCATTTTCATGAAATTTGGTGTTGGAGAGTTTTACCAGAATCTGTCAACACATTCCACTTTTTGCTGAAGTAATCCACAGTTTGTACGAAGACCAACATGTGCTTGTGCACACATGTTGAATGTGACTCACTAAATATTTATAAGAATAAAAGATTTTTTGAACAGGAATGGTGGTGAACTATGAAATACATTTTATATCCAGTCTGCTTTCTGATTGTGTTTTTAAATAAATGCATAAAAGGAAATGAACAGTTTGCATACATTTACTTTTTTCTTTCTTTGAACAATTACTAGTTTCTTGGTATAGACCGGGGCACGTGGTTGTGTAGTTGGTTGAGGCACTATGCTACAGTTGGAAGGTCAGGAGTTTGATTCCCAGTGAGGTTATTGCATTTTTTAATTGACATAATCCTCCCAGCCGCACCATGGCCTTGGGGTCGACTCAGCCTCTAACAGAAATGAGTACCGAGAATCTTCCTGGGGGTAAAGGGCAGCTGGTGCATAAGGCTGACAGCCTCACCACCGTCTGTGAGCTGACTGTCTAGAAGATGTGGGAGCTTTGGCATCTCATAACCCTGTGGATCTCCATGGCTTGTTACAGGGGTAGCTTCACCTTAGCCCGGTCCAGATCACAATTGAAAAGCTTGACACTTCATTTCAAAACTTGTCATATCTCTGCTATGTCATGCAGATAGAAAACCTAATCATTTTAATTATGTATGACAATATGTATGGGAAGGAAATTAGTACTTCTGCATGATGTGTGCCATGGAAGAAGCACAGGAAACTGGTGATACAGTTATATCTGCTGAAAGTGCCAAGATTGCAACATAAAGACTCACTGTCACATTAAGGCTGCGCCATAGCTCAAGTGGTTAATTGCTGGCGTCCCACCATGGCGGCCCGGGTTTGATCCCAGGTCTGTTCAAGTGGGATTTGTGGTGGACAAAGTGATGCTGGGGCGGGTTTTCTCCGAGTACTTCGGTTTCCCCTGCCAATCTTCATTCCACCAAATTCTCCATCATCATAATCACCTGGGGCAGGTACTATAGGCCAATCAGTGGCCTCCATGCCAAATGGACCCAGCTGGACTCCAACCCACACTAAGAGAATTTAATTTTACTGTCACATCATCATCACTGTATTCATACTGCTCCTGCGACCCAGTTTGTTAGGTGCGCGCTAGTCTTCGAATTTTTGAGATGAGATCAAGAAAAAGGACATCTCAATCTTTACTCATGCATTGAGCTTTCAGTGTCGAAGTTCAAGAGTTGTTAGGTAACTGCTTTTGCTTTGTACTGTAGCATGCAAACTACCTGATCCATCAGGGCCACAGTTGTTGGCAACACTGACATGATCAAGTTGTTGGCAGAATTGTCTCCCCCCCATTCTTCCCATGGTGAAAAAGGACATGACATTAGAACTGAAATATTTTAAATACCATGGTGTATCGACATTTTTCACTGAAAAAGAATTTGATGTCGAAAGGAATGAGCAGCTCACCTCAGTTAACTGTGAAAAACTGGCTATTGTTATAAATTGCGATTATGGCAGACCATTTTCCTGGTGAAGGAAATTCTTATTCTTGTCTTGATTCTTGAATTCTTTTCAAATTGTCATTTTTTGCATGTGGCTTCAATTTGTTATTCATAATCATCCTTTCATTTCATGTATTATAATCTGTGTAGTTGAAAAAGAACATGATTAAATGACTGAATAAAGAAGGAAACTAAACCATGACTTCCTATCTTCCAGCAAACAACACAACTTTTGTTTCATTCCAAGCATTTCCCATCCTGTGCTTGCCCACTTCACTGCCATTGCAGAACTATACATCACTGAAAGGACTGCATACAGAAGGTATGGAAAACTGAAAATACCATGTATGAAAATGCTGGCTACAATGCACTTTGCATGAATGTATTCATTGATGTCCTCTTTTTTTTCGTTCCAAATTCTTTCCCCCATCATCTTTGCTGTTATGGTGCTTTTCTGCCTTGAGGAAAGAATCCCTTTCAGGGGCACTTGTTCCCATTAGTTCGCTCATAACCCCAGTCCTGACTCTCCCTTCCCTGTACTTACTTACTCATGGAACTGAGCCCTTCTGGAGGAGCCACCAATTCTGCAGCTACTCAAGAATTTCCCAGCATTTTATGGAACCCAAAGATTCATTTCCATGTTCACAAAAGCTCTCCGCTGGTCTCTATCCTGAGGCAGATCAATCTAATCCATACTATCCCATCCTATCTCTCTAAGATCTATTTTAATATTGTCCACCCACCTACGTCTTGGTCTTCCCAGTGGTCTCTTTCCTTCTGGCTTTCCCACCAATATCCTATACACATTCCTCATCTCCCACATTTGTGCTACATGCCCTGCCCACCTCATCCTCCTTTGCTTGATCATTCTGCCTTCCCAGTACGTAGTACAGTGAATCCCCACTTCTCTCACTTCTGCCCCAAAATGTACCAGATTACATGGTGTCATGTCTTAGAAGACTGTGTTTTGTAACAGGGAATCCTTATTTAATGAATCTCTAGAGTTAATTACTTTTGTTTCATTAAATGGCATTATGTAAACTTGTAATAAGACACTGCTTGTTTTCATGCAAGACACTACACAATAGTTTCTTTATGCAAGTATTTAAGAAAACTACTTAGTTTTTTAGGTTCTCACAGCAGTGCTTATGAAGGGCTCTTAACTCCTGGGATATAAAGCTCTGTATTTCATTGAAAGTCAGCTGATGTTTCAGAGGAACATGTCACCTCCGTCTTTATATTTGAAGAACTGGCCAAGCAAGAAACCAGCGTGAAGCATGAAGAAAGCAGAGCTCCAAAATAGTGGTGAATATATCCCAGGAGATAGAACTCTTCAGTTAGAGGAACTCTTTGTTCAGAAGTAATTACATGGTCAGTAATATCAAATTAATTTCTGAAATAATTAATGACACAATATATATGCATTGCAGGACTGTAAATGGGTGGATGTAATGTACTTAGTTCCACAGCATTTCATCTGAGAAAGCTATTTCCAGTCCCATTAAGATTTCATAACCATCATTCCCAACAATGATTCATATAGCAATGAATTCACAAACCATTTTTGTAATACTTTCCTTTTAATATGTGTCAGTCATTTCACTGGGCTTTTCTACTGAACTGAATGCATACTTATTTCTGAGAAACTATTACCACCCCTGGCACAATGAGTGTGGAAATATTTCCAGCAGAAGGAAAAGATTAATATGGATTTGGTATGTCAACCACAGTCACTGAATTGGTATGAGTTCTGGCAGGTCATAACTTTCTTATACTAAATGCAGGTTGTGTACTAAATTGAATTTAACAAAATATGGCTAAATAATGCATTATTTATATTGGATTTTGGTTGGGCTCGGAAAGATGTTCACTAAATATCAGATTTCAGTGACCAAGAACACTAAATCAGGATTTAACTGTGTTTGGGTTCTATTTTAAGATTGATTGGAATAATTTTAGCAGCACTGGATGGGAATGGGTTCCAAACACTAGATAAAATTCAACTTTGGTGTTTTTTTGTGACATGGCATGGGTTCACTAGCCTCTTACTGAATTCCATGTTCATATTTTCTCCTTTTAGATATTTGACCCCCCTGGCCTGTACCAATTCAGAATGAGGTTCTGAAAATATGAATCGTATAGACATCTGGCGGGGCCTTATGAATGGGGGCGGGGGGGATCAGCATACCACAAGGCCTTGACACAAGACAACAGACAAAAACTTGTCATAGATCCATTTGTGCCATTGGGATTTGAACTGACTATCCCAGTGTTCATGCTATCAAAGACAAAACACCCTTTTCATCATGTGGCAACTGAATGGCTTTATCTTTTCATTTATTTAGTGGTTTTTGTGGCACCAGACATATTTGTGTGTCATTGAAGAACCAGGAAGCTTAAGCTGAAGTTCTACAGAACTAAACTGCATGGCAGCCACAGCAAGTGGCCGAATGGGTTGTCATAGCTCACAGAAAGTGCTTGGTTCATATCTTTGCCAGGACACCAGGTCCTCCAACTGAGGTTTCAGTTGTTTTCCTCATTCCCTCCGGGCAATACAGGGACAGTCCCTCTGTTAGGCCACAACCACTTCCTATTGAAGCCTTTCCAATTCATTTGACACCACATGAGCTATCCTTTTCAGAATTGTAATGACACCTCCATAGGGAAGTAGCACTCGTTGAAGAAGCGAGAAATACGTGCTACATTATAATAAATAAACATGAAGGGAAGAGACCACTTGGGAGACCTAGACAGGATGGGAGATCTTAGAGAGAAGTACATGAGTATGTGAAATTGGGTAATTTTGCGTATGTTGGGACCAGTGGCGACCTCTCGTAAACACGCTAATGAAAATTCGGTTTCCATAAAATGCAGTGGAATTCGTGGTTAGCTAAGCAACTATCAGCCTCTCAAGAAGGCCTCATTTCTACGTTCCCAGTTGCACGATCCCTGCAAGTGGGCGTGCTTTGCCTGACGCCGGAGTCGACGAGTCCCTGAACTACCCCATCCCCTCCAAGGTCGCGCCATCGTGTCGGAAGTGAGAGCTGCCGAAATACTTTTCACTTTCTGATGCAGAAGTGGGTCAGCTGACAGCGCTCCTGCCGGCAGATGGATGTCTCATCAGTACACACGGCGCAGCGAGACAATCGACATGCGACTGCGCGCCTGTTTCTTCACTTTCGGTGAGTTACAGAGAAGTCGTTAATTTATGGGCCGCGAGCTCTGCATTGAGTGAATGTGTGAGGACAGTGTTTTGTGTAATGTCGTCAGAGCAGTGGCGGCTAGTCACTATATTTAATTCGTGGAAATCGAAATTCGATTATATATATATATTGCCAATAAAGCCATGTGCAGTATATACGTATAGTTGTAGAGGTCGTGACATGTAGTTTTGATGAGGAAGGACGAAATATAGAAAGTAATTGCCTGTGACAAGTGAAAAGGGATAGACCTGTCTTGTCATTAGAAATAATTCCTATTAAAGGCCAAACAGTGACGCTTACTTCAAGACTAAGATCTGGTCAAGAGCGTCTGAATGGGCTCTAAATTAAGAGAAAGTGACTGGCCAACCGTCAGTCGTAAAATGACTCTGAAACGAAGCAAGTAGTAAAGAGGAATTTTGTAAAGGTAGAAACGAAGCGGTAGGATATGTGGAAGACGAAGGCGAATAGTTGTCATAACCGTGGCGGTCCTTTGGTAAGGCACTGGCGTATGGTTTAGGAGATACGTGGTTCGAATACATGACTATTTTTGTGAGAAAAAAAATTAAGAAATTCGTGCATGTAGGAAGCAAGTGGTACTATATGAGGAAGGTGAGGGTAACAAATTTGTGTAGATCTGGTGGTGCGTGGGTAAGACATTGGCGTAGTATTGGGAAGGTACCGGGTTCGAGACCACGGTGTCTTTTGTCAAGTGAAATTGAAAAGTGAATAAATACGATTTTTCTGCAGCTATAAACCAAGTCGTAGAATATGAGGAGGATCGCTGAAAGCGGTAGCATAGATGTTCTGGTAGTCTAGAGGTAAGGCACCGGCGTTGTAAAGAAAAGGTCCATGGTTCGAGACCACCAGGATTTCTGTATGTAGAAATGAAGGTAATGAGATTCTTTCTGGAATTATATAGCGAGATGTAATATAAGAGGAAGATTAAAGGTAAAAAATTTCCGTTGCATGGGTGGCCTATGAGTAGGACACTGGCCTAATGTGCAGGACTTCCGAGGTTCGGAACCAACATAAGTTTTATAAAATACAGATGGAGTTAATATGATTTTTCTGTAATTATAACAACAGATGTAACATAAGAGGAAGATTAAAAAAGAAATTTCTGTGGTGCTGGTGGTCTAGGGATAAGACATCAGTTTAGTGTCCAGAAGGTCCCTGGTTCAAAACCAGTAGGATTTTTGTGAAAGAAAAATGAAAAGAAGAAATTAGTGAAGAAAGGCAACAGCAGAGGAAGAAGTCAAGAGAGAGGGACCGGGGGGAGGGAAGATTTTTGCCGCCGCTCATTAAAACACTCGCCTAAGCTTTTATTAAAACCCACAAGGGATTAAAAAAAATCGGCTCACCTCCGCCCCCAACCACCCGCCCTTAGAAGTGACTTGAAGTTATTCACTTCAGCGAGAGTTAACAAGAAAATATAAATTAACTGTAGCGCCATCTGTGAACTAAAACCTCATGGAAAGCCACGAAGTGAAGTAAAAAATGTAGCATCTTAGTTTATGATTATATCTCTTATTGGGCTGTGCAAACTGCTCCTCTGAAGAATTCATTTTATAGGGTAGGGCAGGAGGTACTGGGGATGAAGATTATGGAAGCATGGGACCCCACCCTCAACCGCCCTTGTGGTCACGCAGAAAGTTAATCACTTGAGACCAAGTTAAGTCAGCGAGAGTTAAAAAGAAAATATGAAATAAAACTGTAGCGCCATCTGTGGAGTAATGTTCAACAGATGGCGCTACAGTTTTATTTCATATTTTCTTGTTAACTCTTGCTGAATTAGCTTTGTCTCAAGTGATTAACTTTCTGCGTGATCCCAAGGGCGGCATCCCCCCACGCTTCGCCATCTGTGGACTAATGATCTCAATAAACAGAATAAAATACGAATAAATATGAAAATTCAATACTACAACAAAATCACATGGGACTTAGCCCCTTTAGCCCCTAATGACGCACCGCCCCTGCGTCAGAGCCATTCCACACTGGACCACAGGTTTTCCTGGTTATACTGACGCACAAGGGCCTCCCTGCAATACATATATCATACACGGTCGTCGTTGATTAGGCTGGGTCTCGGTGTTCGAGCGAATATTAGTGCCTTCACTCCAGTAACTTTCGGAACCATTTAAGTCACAATGGTAATTACACGTACCACCTACATTAACATTAAGACGCTCTGCATTGTTCCTACACAGTGTATTTATCTGTTCCTTATTATCTCAATAAACAGCGACATTCCCTGAACAGGATTAGTGTTTTTTCTCTTTCATGAGGATTCAGAGCGTTTCTTGCGCGGTACGAACTGAATATTTTAATATTCAGATGAAGCAACAAGTGAGCACAAATGACAGCTTCATCCTCGTCAGAGAGACTCCCCACAACGACAAAAACGTAGATATCAAAACGAGAAGTAAAATCTGGTCACGAGACCCAGATCGGTCTCGACACCTGAAGGACGGACGGACGGACCGTCAGTTGTGACGTGACTGTGACCCTGGCTAGAAGTGAATATGTACTCGGACGGTCCTGTGGTCGGCCGCTTCTTGGGTTTCCGTCTGTATTCAAGCAAACACGTACTAAGGTAGTTCCCAAGTTCAAAGTTGCTACTGCAGCATATGTGTGTGGTAACATGAGTCTTACATAACTGAGTGCTTCACGATCTGTAGACTCTTTATTTAACATTCTTAGGACGATCAAATCGGTAAGTTTTGAAATGTGTAAGCAGGGGAAAAATAAATGCGTGCAAAATTTTTATTGGAAAACTTAATTAAATGAAAGAAGTTACGTAAGACCCTTAGCCGAGATAAGAAATGTGCACATAATTTTAGTAAAGCGATGTCAGTCTGGAAGATGTAGGCCTGGATAACGGGATACTATTAAAATTTATCTTAGAGAAATAGTTTCCGAAGTGAGGTACTTGTTTGTGCTCAGGATTGGGCCAGTGGCTGGCTTTTGTGAATACCATTATGATCTTTCGGTGCATGTGAAAACAAGAACATTCTTGATTATCTCAGCGACTGTCAGCTTCTGACGGCAAACTCTAAACCATTCAGTGACATGTGGGAACAGAGCTGAGTGGGATATTGATAATGGGCAGGAATTTTCAGCACGTAGACTATAGTGTTTTTCAGAATAAAATGGCGACATTTTGTTTATATCGACATAAATAAAATGTTCACTTTCACGTCTAATGTCTTCATCATGGGGGAAAATTTACTGAGTCATTCAGCGATTCGCAGTATGTGTGCGTGAAGTGTGGCATTACCTGTTTATTTGTCTAACAGATTTACATGAAACTTTCACCGTGTGGACCGGCCTCACGTCTCGAAGGAATGCATTTCACTGCATACTCGATTCTCATTACCCGCCCAGAATATACAGTGTCATGTAACAAGCCGCCAGGGCTGCTGAAAAGGCACTGTGCTGCTCAAATTGAAAGAAACAAACAAATTGTTATCTTCAGGTTGCAGTTTCGGGGCTGTGATATCATATGCTTCTAACTGCAGTCAGAATAATCACCGCCTTACAAACATGAAATCTGATATACGTAATATCTTCACCGGCTCGATAAGTGAAGGTTCATATTGCTGGTGTCTGGGTTATGACACAATGCAGCACAGGAGATGGTTAACTTAGTTTCGGTGGAACATATTGCTTCCATCCTCAGGGTCAAATGTGGAATCAAGGATTAGCATAACGAGGACCTTCGTGATATGTACATGTCACTTTCGAGCATTACTTTACGCTCGGCTGGACATGTGGATCGAACAGAGAAAACAAAGAATGCAGGCAGAACTTTGATGAAAGAAAATTATAGAAAGCATATAGCTTGGACTGCAAGAAGGAGATTGGAGGGCAAATTAAAATGTGTTAGTTAAGCAGATGGTGAGTATATGAAAAGAATGAAACTGGCTCAGTCTCCTGATCGCTATGCAATCACTTGCCAAGAGAAAATGTATGAGCCAGGACAGCTCAGGCAATATAGTGACTGGACGACCGAGAAATCAGGGTTCTATTCCCGGCATGGACAAGAGATTTTTCTTTTATTCTTCACGTCGACCACACCGGCTCTGGGGCCCACCCAGCCTCCTATCCAGTGGGTACCGGGGGCTCTTTCCCAGGAGGTAAAGTGGCTACTGTGTGGAATTTACCATTCACATCGGTCACTTGCCGGGTTCAGGAATGCGTGGAATTATATCTCCACTCCCGCATACGTCTTTATGGCGTGATGCTTAATTAAGCACAAGGACAACTGTAAGAGCCAATGCATGCCCTTTTTATGCTGCTGTGTGAATTATTGTTTGGAGTTCGAAAATATCCTCACATGGCGTCAAAATCTTAATGGGTTCTGTGTAGGGGCTCCGCCAGGATCTTGCGGAAAGGGGCAACAAGGAAATCTGTATATAAAGTTGTGTTTAAGCCGTTTTAGACTATGCTTACTGCTTGCTCTAGCGTGTTCGGGATAGAAGAATATAGAGTTATTTTACAATATTTCCAAATTTTGGAATTAATATTTGGTATATTTCAACCGTTTCGAATCCGATAAAAAAAAAGTACAGGGGACAGCAATTCACTGGCTTATTCTCGCACCCCCTACCCCCCTTTCCATGACGACCATGCTTCTGAAATTGGCGGGACTTGTGCAAATTCCCGCTTTCTATGCGACCATGAAGTTTGTTTGGGTCAGATTCCTTTTCTGCTTGTCTCAGCCTGTGAGACGTTTCGATGTTCAGCTGTCTTCCACACGAGTTCCTTGTAATGTCATCAAAATGAAGAAAATAAAAATAAAGCGAAAGAAATATCGCTTGGAAACAAGAGAAGCGTGTAAACAGGTCACGCCAACATCTGGGAAGAGAAGCTAAAACAATTGACAGCAGCAAACAGAACACGGCGGCTGGCGTTTTCATTCGCATGAAAATGGATGTCTTTACTTTTTGTTGAGATTTGAATTGGACGTTTTTAGAACATAAATGTCCGAGCCACAAACAATGTTGGCTACTGAGTGACATACAATTCACACTTCAGATGCCAAGACCTATGAAAAAGCTTTGTCACACTTAGAATAACAGGAAAATTAGTAAGACATGTTGCAGCAGTAATAAACAATGTCTTGTGTAATAATTTCGTCATCCCGAAAGTCACGAATTCGGAAGTCGGAACATTCCATTGCCAAACTGTAACATGCAAAATGAATGTTCACCAGAGTGCGGAAATTTACAGAATTCATTTGCTAAGAATTTGTAGGAATATTTTTCTGAAAGTAATAAAAATTTTTGTATCCATTTTCGAGAAAATTGTCATTTGTATTCTTGGGCTCAGCCTTGACTAGCTGAGTGGGCCGAGAAGGCTTTGCTCCTCTGAGTTAGATTATTATTGTAATATTGGTTAATCATGCAATAATTTCAATTAATGTCTGTAGCGTCTTCTTGTAAATAATACTTAACAAGAAGTTCTGTGAAGAACTAATCTTCTAGTTTTCTTTGACACTACACGGACTGCATAGAAAACAACGCCCCCAACAGTACTTCTGTTCTTCCGTGTGTTAAGGAAACAGTCGCTGTTTGTTGTGAGAACTACAGGGGCCACACAAAAACACTCTGAGGGCAGAATGCAAGACAGGTAATGTTACAGCTGGTGGTACATATAGTTACCTGAGCACTCTAAAGCGCAGACTGTACAATGTCGCACTGTTCCCGACAGCGCACACGTCCCTGGTGCTGTGACGTCAGCGCCGTGTGGGTGCGCGACCCCGTTACTCCGAGGTCAGCAGCTCGCTGACACCAAGTCAACATCCCGCACGATCCTTATGCCACGCGTTACGAACTGAACGTTAGCACTGCTGACTCTTGGGTCTGAACCCCGGCACTCCAGCACCGTGGTCGCGTCCCTGTTCGCCCTTCTCAATTCATGTCACTCCGCAGTATGTAACTTGCGTAGTTGATGAAGCACTGCCAAATGTGGGCAACGTTATGATGCTCTCCAGGGCGGAAGCGAGGGCCAGCCACGGATGTGAGGGTGTGTACTGGATTCATCTGGCTCAGGAGAGGGACCAGTGTGTACAGGGCAATGAACCTTCGGGTTCTATAAATTTTGGAATATTCCTTGAATGGCTGCACAACTAGCAGCTTCTCAAGAAGGACCTAGCATCAGTAATTCTCTGCTGATCGCCCTTGGGTATTCAGGGCAGAAAACAATTTTAAAGAACACAAACTTCCTATTAAATTCCAATTTTTGTCCAAGAATCCATGGATGGGGAACATACTCCTGAATGAAGGTATAAATTATCCTTAGGACGAGGGCACCTACCGCCATTGTGCGGCGCTGTTGCCATGGCAACTCATAAGAATGCCGTTTGCCGATTTGTTACGTTCCGAACCGTGAACAAATGTTTCTGTCCACAGGTTGTGCGGTATGTTGCCTCTGCTGCGCTCTGGTGGTGACTATCTCACACACGGACCCTAGGATAACGAGACAAGGTCAGTAAACTTTAGCAGATTTTGCTAACTCAGTCTTTAGGGCGTTAATACTAAATGTTCATGGTGGTTGAGATGGATGCGATGTGTAGCATGCAATCGGGAGATTACAATTGCATAGCATCTTTTTATCATGAAACTCCAAAATAAAAGGTCACTTTGTAGACCACGACGTAGAAGGGAGAATAATGTGCCGCCCATCTTATTGAAGTGCTGTGTTACGATGTAGGCTGGATGAATGTAGGTCCGTCCAGTGACGATATTCTGTAGACATGATTAAAAAGCTTGAATTCCCATAACATGGATCGAATGTTTTGAGTAGCTGAGCAACTGTCGACTTTTCAAAGGAATTTTGTTGAACCTGGAGTTGTAAGAAATGCATGGCAATCTGTAGGGAACAACTCTAGCGGTCTGGGCAAACATTCAGCAGTGCGAACCTGACAGAGAACACGGAAAGATATTATGAAATGTACTCTTTACTTTTGCCAGTATGTACGGTAACCACGGCTCTTAGAGCTGTAAGGAAATTTCGCAGTATTTTTTTTAATGCAATTTCAATCCTTCTCCCGGAGGTTTAACTTACAATTACACCAGTAAAGTTTGATTTCTTAATTTTACTGCCACTCCTTCTTTGACGTTTTAGCATTATACAGAGTTTTCGCATCTAGGGACTCATTCTTGTGATGAACATTTATATGCTAATTAAATTTCGACCGTCATATAATTGTAGTGGGAATGCAATAATGGGAAAAAATATCGTGTTGATAAATCGCATTTAATTGCAAAAATTATGCGTCGATCGAAGCTCTGTCAGGGTATATTTTTATCGTAATGTGACGCAATCCTGTAGTGGATTTCGTAGGCGTGAATTTCTGAACATTCTGTATATTTCGATATTGGCAAGGAGAGCAACTACATCCCCGGGCGAAGTGTAGATTCCTCTGTATTGGCTGCAATTTTGTGACAAATGCCTCGTGAACGGGTGCAGGTGTCCCTTAGTTCGCTCTTGCCTGCCTTCGTGCATTTCTGTCAGTGTATTGCACAAGCAGCAGGAGGACGCCCAGCTTCGCGCAAAATGAAGATGGCGGCGAGGGGTTTCCCCATGCGTTGAGACAAGTCACATGGGCACGGCCCAACTTTCTCCTGCGATCGGTCGGCGAATCGGAGGGCCGATGGATTGGCGTTCAGTAACCCAGTTTCCTTCTTAAGAGAGAGAAAGGGAAGAAGGAAGAGTACGAAATTCCAGGCTTTCACTGCGAAAGGACTTACAGTGGGGCCCCCTGGGTTACGCTGCCTCCATCTTCAGGGTAGGAAGGTTAAGCCCTGCAAGCAAGAAGCATCAAGCATAGCCACCCTGAGAATGGAGGAAGACTTGTTGGTTCCCATGCACTAGACTACACAGTGACATCACACGGAATGTGGCAATAAGAAATGATTTGAATTTCGCGACGTCGGTCGGATTGCAGACGTCACGCGGCGCCGGAGGGGACGGGGCCGAAGTGCATGGATGGCGAACTTGTTCTGAGTCGGAGGAAGACGACCTCGCACTATTTGGAGGTAATAGAGCGGCATTCATATGGAGAGACTGAGTAAAATCACGGGCATTTCATTATCACAGCTTGTAACCCAACCTAGATTCGAACCGCGAACTTCCCAATTGCAAAGAATTCTCTCTTCTGGGATATAACGCCGTGTAGTCCCTTGAAAATCAACCGACGTTTCGGAGAAACATGTCCCTTCCATTCTCAGGGTCAAAGAATAAGCCAAGGAAAAACTCAGCTTGAAGCCGGTAGCAAGAAGAGCTCGCTCTACTTCGACAGTAAAGAAGACAGAACTGTGGTTTGCAAGATTTTACCATTCTATGCGCCGTATCGGAGAAAAGGTCAGGTTGCAAAATTTATGGACAGAATTGCAACGTTATGAAACATGTGCGTGAAAAAAAAAATGTGCGGAGTGACTGAGACAAAGCGCGAAGGCTGGCAGCGTCGCGTCGCCCAACTCTCACTGTGCGGCCGGTCGGCTCCCGGGATACTTTTCACGGGTAGCAGTAACAAGGTCGGTCACGGAAAAGGAGAGCTGCGTCAGTGACGTGCAGACAGCGTGACACGTGCTGCAGTGGTCAGAATGCTGAGGTGAGGTGGACCATCGACAAGAAAACAGTGGCGTGCAGGCTTAAAAATGTCCGACACCTTCACGTAAAGTTGCACATGCGCCACGCCTTGAAGACGGACGCGGGAATGTCAGCCCAAGTATTATTAACCTCGGCGATAGAGCTGAATGGTCAGCTTCACGCTTCGCCTGATTTACCCCTAAGGAATTTCCTGCAGTGCTCGTTGTATAGTAGAATGGGCGAACACTACAGCCGGTCTGATGTTATAGACTCTGCTGAGAATCGAACTCCAATTCCTGGATCGTCCAACCCATAGCCTAATCGCTATACTCACTGAGGGGTGTGCTGTAAAGCAGTGCCCTGCCGGGTGAATGTATTGCCAATGGCATTCATATCCTTACATATTTAACATAGAAAGCAGTGGCGTGCGGACACCGCGTTCCACTGGGTGTAGTACCGTGTACGTGCAACGCGGACTGATAATGGCAAAACGGGACTCAACAAGCGCCGTTTCTCTAGAACTGCTCTTATTTGTGTCTGGGTCCACTGACAGCACGGACTTCACTCCGCTCGTCCGCACTAAGCCAGACGTGGCCTGAAGCAAACGCCCGTTCCACACTTTAATGCACAGTGGTAACTATACGTACCGTCAACTTTAGCATTCAGGAACTCGGCATTCTGCCCGCCCAGTGTACGATTCTTAAAGCAAACAGTTTCGCTTCATGGTTTCTCGCCACTTCTCTGAAATAATGCACATTTAAGGTAAAAGTATGGAAAAAAGCAGGCACCACAATTGCAATTTCGAGCCCCGTGAGTCGCATGTTACACTCTTGCGCTAATGGGTGCTCGTTCTACTGCAGTTGACCAGCACATTAACCGGTTGATCGTTGTCATGGAGACAGAGTGTTTCCTGCGAGGTACGCTCTTTGTGGCCGCTCCCTGTCCCACGACATGTAACGTTGTTACCTCTCCAACTAGTGCTGAGTTAAAGAATACGTGGATCTATACGTCCACTCCTGCATACGCCTTCATGGCATAGTGTTTAATCACGCAATCACGGGGAGAATTTTACCTTCTGCTTATAGACATAAAGACGTGAAGGTGTATGAAGGCAGTGGAGATGAAACTCCACGCATTTCAGGCGTCATCTTTAAACGTTCGTGGGAAATAAATGTCGCAATAAAGTTGCTTATTCTGACATCTTTATTTGCGATGTATTTAACTATGACTTGCGCAGTGCAGACTACGCGCCTGCGTAGAGCGCTGAGCGGTAGGATGGTAGTGAATCATGAATTGGAAGGATGCGGAAGGAAGACATCGTGCTGACCTTGACTGAGGCTGTATCCCGGTGTTTGTCTGGAGGGACTGAGGAGAATGACCTAAACCTCGTTCTCCTACACGAAATTCGAACCCGAGATCTCTCGTATACAAAGCAGGAGGGCTATCTACCCTGGTGACTAGGTTAAGAATACATTGCAGACCCTCCATACGCCTTTCCGTCTAGAAACCCGAAATTAACGGCCGTAGGAATTCGTTGCGCTGACCACCCGAAACCCTCTACCCACTAAACTTGGCACTAACTTAACCGACAAGCGGCAGTCGCTCGGTCGGTGTAGTTCATTTGCGAACTAAAACCACAGAGTTTGTTTTGTTTTACATGCGTTCTATACCCGAGGTATCTGACGTGATGCTTGGTCTGTTGCAGCGGGCTGGACGCCACGAGACCCTCGGTCAGGCCGAAGCGCCGGAGCTCTTCCCACACACGACAGTTCCTGGTCACGGGAAGTTCCCTCCAGGCGACAAGGAGTTCCTTGGCGGACTCCCGACTCAGACCCTGCGTCGTCATGGAGACCTCCGGACACGTCAGCGGGTCCATTCGTGACGCAGGAGTCCAGACATGCGGCGCAGAGTGACGATGTTTCGGCAGAATACAGCGACCAGTCAGCTGCTAGAAGTTTAGAAACTGACCAATCGCCGAGGGGAGGAGCGACAAATGGTCCCTTGTATAGGGCCCTCCCGACGTTGTCCAGAAACAGTCGCCTTGCGGATGTTCACGAGCCAACGAGCCCTGGGGACACACTCAGAAACAGCCGACGTCCGAAGACAGACGCTGACGAGGGCCGACACCTGTTCGGACCGGACCGCCGTCAGACGCTTACCGCCATCACAGAGACCCTGGGGGCGATCAACACCCTCGGGCGATACCTGGTGAATATCACGCGGGGCAGTGAGGTGCAGGGGCAGGAGCCAGTGGCAGGGGACCTCCCCGGGGCCCTCTACACCATCAGCAAGAATGTTTTGGGCCCCAACGTCACTGATACAATCGCACCAATTGTCCGGGATGCTTTCCCCCCTATAGTGACGCTCCACCCCGGCAAGGTGACGCTGACAGATAATGCTGCAGCCGGCAGACCATGCACGACGCCTGACGGACGTGCAGGGACTTGCGATGACCTCAGCAACTGTCCCCAGTTGCTCCTGGATCTCGGCAACCTGAGACAGTCCATCTGCTTCAAGAGCCTGTTTGTGCCGGGGGTGTGCTGTCCACGCAGGGGTACCTCCCCAACGTGAGTACTGACCACTGGGAGCAGAAATTGAATGGAACCGGGATGTTCATTACCGTGTTCACAAGAGTCCACCACTGGTCCCTGTCCAGAGTCAGAGGAATCCTCTGCACACGCTCATTGAAATTGCTTTCAATGTCTTTCCATCTATACCTAGGTCACCCATGTGGTCCCTTCCATTCAAAGTTTCCAGCTAAAACTCTGTGTACATTCCTCATCTCTCCCGTATATACTACATGTTCTATCCACCTGACGTTCCTCGATTTGGTCATCCTAACAATATTCAGTGAAAACTACATGTTATGAAGCTCCTCATCATCAGCTTTATCCACCCCCCTGTTCTCAAACACCCTCAGTCTGTATTTCCCCTTTGATCTGACAGGGCCAAGTTTAAGACCCATGCCAAACAAAAGGTGGAAAGTAGCTTTTAATTTGATATATTGGTTTTTTGGTCTTTATCCATCGTCCTGGTTTTTAAGATAACTAATAAAAACACGACGTTTCGGAAACTGGATCTGTTTCCGTCCTCAGGTGAAGGAAAACACCTATTCAATCCTCAGCTCAATCCTCAATATTCCAGCCTCAATCACTGGACAATCTTGGTCCAGTGATTGAGGCTAGCTCTTTCTAACGGACCCAAGAGAATAGTTGTTTTCCTTCACCTGAGGACGGAAACAGATCCAGTTTCCATTATGTCGTGTTTTTATTAGTTATCTTAAAAACCAGGACGATGGATAAAGTCCAAAAAAAGCAATATATCAGTGTGTTATACACCATCGTCAGAATCCTATAGTAACAGCTTTTAATTTATTTATGTTCTCTGCAGTGTACTGCTGTTTACCTGTGCTTGCAAGTGAAGCAGTCCTTCCTCGTAGAGGATCACATTTCATTGTCAGTGATAGTATTGTTTTTCTCACATAGAAACATAGAAATCACTGGACCACTTGAAAATACTGGAGTTGATCTTAAAGCAGTAGAGTCTACTGTGTGAAGTGGGGAGGTGGAATGAAGTTAAGTGGTTGGTCTGTGTAGTGGAGAGAGCTGTTCTCCACATTTTAAAATAATATTTAGATAAATTTGAGATTTCATAAGAAAGGTGCTGGGGCACACGTTAATTTTGGAGAAGAAATTAATAGTAACCTATGACAGTGGCCAAGCAGTCCAAGGCAGGAAATATCTTCGCCTACTCAAACACTGAGATCATGGGTTCAAATTGAACTCAAGGCATGGATATCTGTCCACATTTGTTCTACGTTTGTGATCTCTTATGTAGCTAGCGACCTTGAGATGGACTGATCTCCCAGCCAAGGAGCCCTTATCAGATTCAGAATTTCAGAATTAGTTCTGAATGGACAGAGCATAATTTCTTAGGGTGGGCGAACTGAACGGTATGTGATATGCCCTTCATATCCACTTAAGGCAGATTGCAGTTTAATTTAAACATGTTTTGTGTTTGGTTTTGTTCATTCAGATTTGTAACACCGATACCAGACATCACGACAGTGCTGACAACTACAAGGCGTCCTACAACTACGAGAACACCGAGTCTGATAGTGGCCTCTAGCAGCAGTGCCATCAGCGGGGGTCCCACTCTGCGCCCCACTGTGGCCCCCAGTGGAGGTAACTGCCTCCCTGTGCGCAGCGTTATTACAGATTACCGGGTTGTGGGTTCAAACCGTACTCTTTGCAATTGATGGATTTCAGAATCACCAGTCATCACACTTACACAATCTTTACATTCTTGGGGATTTTAATGGACCAGCTCCCTTAGCCATTGCCACGATTTTTTTCTAGAGGTGGAAGAAAATTTTGCAAGAGTGGAGAGCCAGAAAATTTTCTTACCAGCTTGTGTTAAATAATTTGAAAATATATTTAGCAATTGTCCACGAATTTAAGTGGAAAATTGATTTTTTAAGTAGTTTTAATTTCTTGTATATGCATAAACTCCGTCCTAAGTGCAACAATTTATTGTAGTTCTTTAGTCTTCCCACACATATTAAAGATAAGCAGCGGCACACACACAGGGAGCCTACACAGAATAATGCCTGAACATTGCTGAAAACAAGAAATAACCGCTGCAGCACTATAGACATAGGGCAGGTACCCCTGAGAATTTTAAATTTTAAAATTTGAAAAAAAAACAAATTTTTTAAAGAAATTTTTAAATTTGAATTGAAGATTTTAAAAGTGCCAGTTTTTGAAAACCAAATAAACGTGTGTAGGGTAACAAAGATTTTGTACATATCTGACAGATATCAGCGGGGAGGATTCTGATATATTGAAACCTGTTAGCAATGGAGAAGTGAACAATTGGGAAGACTGGTGTTTTTAAATTTTAAACTACGTGCAGTGTAGCAGCTATGTGAGAGTATACACCTGATGGCCATTTACGGCCAAAACATGTGGTGTAGAAGAAAGGAAGACAAAAGAACTACAATAAATTGCTGCATTTAAGACGGAGTTTATGCATATTGTCGCGCGACGGGGGGTATGTCGCGACAAATAACTTCACGATGTATTTTATATAGCGAATTTTATTTCACATCCGCTCTCACAATCACCCAAATTACAATCTGACGATTACTGCTATCTGCAGTATCACAAATAGTACACTCCAAATGCCACAATACAACTGACTGGTTGCTGGCTAACTCGACGATAGGTCCAGGACTCGCTGACTGACTCAGTACAACTCTGCGGTAGCCACACTAGAACTGACTGTGAATAGCCTTCGCTGCTCCGTATGTAGCCTCGATCGGACAGTACGGGAAAACGGCCACGTAATAGGCACCCTTTTTGCCTGGCGCTGTGTTGCTATGTAACGCTAGCGGAAGTAACCGCTGTTACTATCGTAACGTCGCCGCTGTTGACTCGCGTTGCCTAGCGACCGCGATATCCCTCGGTGACGTCACCGCGGAGGGGAGTGGCGGGGCGGGAACTCGCCTATTACCGTAAGAACGCGAGCGTTACGTTACCGCCATGTACCGCTGGGGAGGTGGGGGTCAACATGTCACAATATATTGTGTAGAGTGTAACAGGATGCTTAAATATAATATTGTAATTTCTTGTATTAATATTTGGAATGTTTCTTTCTTTTTTTATTTTGATTTTAATTTTGTATCCAGGCCAGCAGGAATCTGGCTCCTCCCATTCCCCCATGCCGCTTGTTGTAGTTACAATTTGTATAATAAGTGTGTGTACATTGCATGATGTGACTGAGCGAGTCTGCAATGTGCAGCCAGCAAGTGACTCATTTTGCATGTCACTGAACAAGTTCTATTTGCAGCATTCATTGTCCTGTGCAATTCAGATGTATGTGGCAAACTTGGACATTGGTGTATATATCTGCAGAGTGTGGTCAACCTGAGGTCCCTGCTTTCCGTGTAGTGGGTGGGGAAGAATCTCTTCCTGGCCGATGGCCCTGGATGGCAGCCATCTTTTTGCACGGTTCACGCCGCACAGAGTTTTGGTGCGGTGGTTCCTTGGTTGGACCTCGCCATGTGCTCACTGCTGCACACTGCACACGTGACTCCAAGCAGCGACCGTAAGTGAAGCTTGTACATGTTGTGGAACATCTACACACAGGAAATAACTCTGCTAGAGCCTGTCATACCAGGAAGGCCTTACTGTTGGTGTCAGTAGCACAGAATCCTCGTGGTCCATATGAAATTTTAAGATTACAGTCTTCTGGGATGTAAAGCTATGCACTTTGTAAATAAATACTAAGATTCTGCCACCCATCTTCCACCCTGAGGATGGAGTCATCAGGTTTGTCCCCAACATTGATTCCTCTCTGCCCAATGACACAACTTCAGAACCCAGAAGATCATAATCTTGCTTATTCATTTACTTGTAGTTCATTTAATGACATTGTCAGTAATTCAAGACTATATAGTGTCAAATGGTTGGATGGTAGTAAATAATGATTTTAAAAGGATATGGAAGGAAGTTGTCATGGTCTAATTTAAAGTAGCATCTTGGCATTTACATGAAAGAACTTGAGAAATCAACTTCAGTTGAAATAGTCAGTATCCTGGCCAAGATATTAACTGAATATCTTCTGAATACAAGTCAGAAAGGTTACCATTTCAGCCAATTTCCTCACTTAATAATAATAATAATAATCTTCTCTTCTTATGTTTATCCATTTTATTCTAATAATGAACCTGACCTGAGGACACATTGCAGGGCCAGAAAGCTATTTGTTGAGTCTGACATAACTTCTTTCAATATAATTTTATCCTTTGCACAATTAAAGAGTGTTCCATGAAGTATATCCCAAAAATTGTCTCATGGAGTCATTTGTTTAAGCTGGCTCCAGTCACATACATCATGACTACACAGCACAGTGTGTTCTCACCCTCAGGTTCAGCCCACGTCAGTTTACAGTGCGGCTGGGCGATGTCGACTTGAAGCGTGATGATGAGCCATCATTACCACAGACATACCAAGTGGTAGAAATACGTGCACATCCTCGCTTCAGTCGTGTCGGGTTCTACAATGACATCGCATTGCTGGTGATGGAACAGACAGCAAGAAGATCCCGGTATGTCATCCCACTTTGTCTGCCACCTGCAAGGTACCGCCATGAGCCCTTTGTTGGACGGAAACCTACAGTGGTTGGATGGGGCACAACATATTATGGTGAGTCTCCTCTGTGTTGAGCTTCTAAGAACTGAAAATTAACTCCATCAGTTCACATTAATGACAGTCATTTGATGTCGTCATCCATAGCAGAATTGTAGGAAACAACTTCCTTCATTTGGGATGTTTAAAATTTGTAAAACAGAATATTATTCTCTAGCATTTAATGCCAGTGCTCCCGAATACCTGACTAATCATATAGAACTTGATTGCGGGATATGCTGCCAGAGATGACACAGTTGTCCCTGTCCCTGTGTTAATTTATGGCATCTCTCGTGCAGGGGGCAAGGAGAGTACAGTTCAGCGCCAGGCCCAGCTACCAGTGTGGCGCAATGAGGACTGTGATCAAACATATTTCCAGCCCATCACATCATCTTTCATCTGTGCAGGCTACACAGAAGGGGGAAAAGATGCTTGCCAGGTTTGTGGAATCCACTGCCTATGAATACGTTCACTTACACCTGAGTTAAAGTGACTGGTGGCTGCAGGATATGAAGTAAAAAGAATTTTAGGATAACTAAATTAAGGAATCATGAAAAGTTTATTTATTTATTTATTTATTTATTCTGTCAATATCTCAGAAGATTCAGTGTTGAATAACAGAATAATTCATGAAGAAAGCAGTCTTCTGGGATTTGGCACCGTGTATATGTGGTGTTAACCGACGTTTCGGAGGAACGTATCGCCTCCATCTTCAAGGTAGAAGAAAAAATATAAGAAATCTGCAAGCGAAGAGACTGTGAGAACCGGTAAAAGCAGTCTGCTTTTACCGGTTCTCACGGTTCTCACCTCAAATCTTAATGAATAATTCATGGCTAATAAATTGGAAAGGATGTGCAAGGTTGCAGTCATGACGACATTTGACTCAGAGAGTGAGAAAATCCATGATAATCATAATCAGAGATAACCAGTCTCATGGCCAACATGAACCCATGGCCTCCATAACAGGAAGCACACGTGTTACCCATTCAATTGTGACATTTGTTTGCATTCATTTGATGCACTATGCAAAATGTATACATTATTTTCTTGGAGATATGGAACTTAGGGAAGGTTATCATACAATTTTTAATTGATTTTATTCCCTGATACTCATGTTCAGAAATATAATATATATGAATTTATTTGTCAAGCAAAGCTCTGCCCTTATTTGCCAATAAGGACAAACATCACATCTGGTGATACTGGTGGGCACAGTCCCTGAAAATTTGAAGTTCTACTGCACAGTGACAAAGCAGATAGCCAGGGATAATTTTACTGGATTCAGTTACTACAAGGGCTTCCAGTCACACAGAATAATAAAATTTAACTTTTATTGTGCTGTTTCTACGGACTGAAGCTGTAATAATTCAGCAGCAGAACATATATTTCTGACATTTCTTGATGTTTAAAATTGTCTGTGTTCTCAGGGTGATTCTGGAGGTCCACTGATGCTGAAAGTTGGAGACCACTGGATACAGATTGGCATTGTATCCTTTGGTAACAAGTGTGGTGAGCCAGGATACCCAGGTGTCTACACTCGGGTCACAGAATATATTGACTGGATACATGAGAATATAGTTAAATAGTGAAATGTGCGCTGGTGAAGACTTCATCAATTCACAGTTGCAGCATGGTGAAAATATCTGTTGTCCATGACTTTACAGTCAACAGTCCAACAACATGCCAAGCATAATGTGTCCTCTGTAATGTTTATGTCCTGCAGTCTATAAACATTATGCTGACCATATCTGTTCCTGTAAATATTTATGTTTTTCAGTCTGCTGTTCTCAAGTTAATTTATTCATCTTACACTTTCGAACCTGCATCATGTCCTCATAGTGCCAGGTCAGCTAACTTAATGCAGGAAGTCTCCTATAAACTGAATGCAATATATCTACATTCCACTTGGGAGACCCACGTGTAAAGGGAAAGACAATATTAAAATGGTTATTAAAGAAATAGGGTATATCTGTCAGATCTCTGGACCAACACACGTTATGTTCTGTTCTGTCAAAATGGTTTCCCTAGTGTCTGCATATATTATCAGTAAATATGTTTTCATGTTCTGTAGAAGAACCAAGGTTAAGAATGTGTGGAGCTGTACCTCCATTCCCACATAGGTCTTCATCACAGGATGAAACTTATTTAAGCATAGCGACATCTTTACCTGTATCTTTATGTCCCACAATTGTTTTATGTGTGACCCATATTTGAATCTGCACCACTGCACCAACAATCCTGATTTGACTCACCATTTTTGGTATCATTTATTATTTGAAGCCGAGGAATAGTATATTTAAAAATACCTTCACCATTTCCTTCTAACAGAATTTGTCGTAATTTTTGTGTGACACTAAGTAATCCCTGTAATTATTAAGTAACTTACGAACTAATAGCTGTAATACAATGAGAGGTTGTAGAATCTGAAATAAGAACGTAATCTTTAAGTAACACTGCTAGTTACATTTGTGTCCTACAATGCAAATTTCTCATTTTGTATGCACAATGTATTATGCATTTCTTATGATTGTCACAGTGAACGATTATATCCCTAAAGAACATTAATTGGTTTATCTTCATACTGGCGATGCTGTGTATTTTACTGGGTTAAAATTTAATTCTTAAGTGTTATTTAGATGAATGTAAGGCTTCAAAGAGATAAGCATATTTATTTTGATTTCTAGTTCCAATCTCCTTAATTAAAATTATTTCTCGTACCTTACATATATTTATTCTTAATATTCTAGAAATTTTAAGTCTCAAAATTTCCTTGGAGTACTTCAGAAAGAGGTAAAATACGAGACATATGTTGTCAATAGAATTTAGTAACTTTCTAATATGAGTAATGAAGTAAAAATCTATATCACTATCTTGCAAACATAGATCTCTACAAGAGCAATACACAAGGCCCACAAGTTTATTGCAATGAAAGGCTGATAATGGATAATTTTATAGACTGTCAGTAAAATTCTCCCTTTACACCAACCATAAACTCTGGCTTGCCTCTTGTGCTGGAATGAATAACATCTCTTATAAAAACTTTGTCCAGTGTGTCACATGCTTGAACCACCCACATTTGTATTTACCGGATTAAGGTTGTCCAATTTCACTGTTCATTCATCAGCGAGACATCATATGACTGAGAAGTACAACAAAACCTTGCAGATCGTACACTGGCGAAAAGACGTATTACTGTGAAGACTGTAAGATGTTCCGCGTATCATATAGAAACCATATGGGGTGTGAGCGCTGTAAAAAATATTTGCGTAAAAAGTAGGCTAAAGATGTATCACTCTGAAAGCTGTAATTTGCATTCTCAGTAAAATTGAAAACATAGTGGCTAGAAATGAGAAAACCGGAAGAAAAGATGGACTGGAATTTATCTGGCTCAAGAGGACCACTGGAGAGCTCTTGTGAAAACGGTAATGAGCCTTCAGGTTCCACAAAATGGTGGCAAGTTCTTGAGTAGCTGCACAACTGGTGGGTTCTCAAGAAGGGCTCAGCACCAAGAAGTTAGTTATGAGTAGTGCAAAAACACATAACGTAACACAGCGAAAAGACGCATGACTGTAAAGGTCATCAAAAACATGACACTAACGGGAGAGAAACCATATGGATGTGAGCACAGTAAAGAATTCTACAACTTCCATTGGCGCAAAGACCTATAACTGTGTAACTGTAATTTATAATGGCATTATTCATTATTGTGCTGTGGTGAGAAGCCTGATGGACGTGGGCGCTACAGTCCTACGAAAGAAATGCAACATCTTAAAATCTCAGTAGATTCTTGACCCAATTGACATCTTTAGTTACTGGATAATTAACAGTTCATATGAGCACATACGAGTGCATGTACTCGCAATAAATGGTGTAAACTTGGCTGGTAAATGTTTTGTAGGCTTCAGAGACTTATGTATTGTACCTGTATGAAACTGAGAGTGATAATTACAAAATATTGCCGATTTAAACGTATTTCTGTCAATCTCGGTTTCTGTTCATCCTGGAAAGCTTTCTGTATGGGAAATCTTCAAATGTTCTTCTGTTTTGATTGACAGAAGAATGATGAAGACAGGCCATTTTAATTGACAATTTCAGATATCCATATTTTTATGTTTATTTTCTCAAATCTATTGGCGGGGTGACCAAGAATTTAGTTTCCATTCCCAGTAGGAGAAAGGCAACTCTGTTCTTCGGAGCGCTCAGACTCTGGATCCCACACGGCCTCTCATACAGTGGAACCATGCAACTCTTTCTCCGGGGATAGAGCGGCCGAGGCATGAAGCTCATTAATCGCCTCCTTCTATCGTCGTTAAGAATCCCATGATCTATAGCCTCACTCCCCCATAAGCATTCCTGGCATGTTCTTTAGTTCTTTAATTAGGGTAACACATGTAGATTCCACATAAATACCACTCACATCGTGCACATTATTGAGACAATGAACAGGTGCAGTATACTCTATTCGGAGGTATACGAAATCACTGCCGTTTGATTCACTCATCTGATGAGTCATGTCATATGGTTACCAATTTGGCGTTAGGATATTCAGTGGTAAAGATGAGTGTAGAAGTCGAATAGTGTCAATTTTGCGGGTATCGAATGTTGTGTTTAGCGTTGGGGTTGTTCTGTGCTGTTCAGTATGAGATACACACTCGAACAAAGAATATTCATGTACGAAGAGTACATAAAACACAAATCTTTCGTGGAATGTTGCGTTGGTTTTATACAAAAGTACCCTGGTGTCAGGCTCCCCAGAAAGTCAGTGGTTCGAAAGTTAGTGACAAAATTCCGTAAAACAGGCTCCTTGTTGGATGAAACGGAAGAGATTGACAAAAGGCAGAAGACAATCCTTGCACAAAATAAACTACAAACCTCTCAGAAGACTTCACGTCCTGTTTCTAGGCAGCGTAGATTAGGTGGACCAGTTACCAGAGCCATAACGCGAGATATGAAGGTAAGTTTATATAGAAAAAACAGATTAAATTCTTGATACTTGATAGGTCAACTGGAGATGGGAATGCAGATTTCAGTTCCCCACAGTTAGGTTTCCTTTGCTCGGTGAGGATTAGACAGGAGAAACTTCAAAACCAATTTGTATGAACAGAATAAAATATATCTCATGAAGGAAAGAAACAAAACCAATATAATAATAATAATAATAATAATAATAATAATAATAATAAAAAAAAATAAAGCAACTAAATAATCCTTATGCAGAAGCTGCTAGTACCTCAACTGTTCAAGTTCTACACCTCTCTTAGAACCGTAATGTTCATTACCATATTTACAAGAGCCAATCACCGTAATTATCCCAAAGCAGATGAGCCCAAATCTAAACCCATATCCTGATTCTGTAGACCCATTATAAAGTTACACAGCCATCTTTGCAGGTATGCCTCAAGCAGTCTTTTCCATTCAGACATATTGAGAAAATTCCTGTATGCTCTTCATGGTCTCAGTGCATGCTACATGTCATGCTTACCCTATCTTTGCTCTGCTCACCATAATATTTCACAGGGATCATGAATCATAAAGCCATGCATCGTATATTTCTATTTTCCTCTCACTTCCCCAGGCCCCCTGTTCTCTGGTTCCCTCAGTTGTGCCCCTCCTTTAATGTGAAAAAAAAAAAAAGATTGATACACTGAACAGTAAATAAATTTGGGTTTTTTTTTTTTCTTTTGATAAACAGGAAAGTAAAACATTTCTAACTGAATGGCAGCAAGCACTTCTGAAATGTCTTCTCTTAATCTCAGAGAATTTAATTTTGATTTCCTGTTCATTAAGAGCTGAAGATCCCCACATTTTCATAAGATTTATTAGCTAGTTCTTCTTATGAGATATCACTGTGTATGCCTATCTGTTCACAGTGTGTTTCATCAGTCTGCTGCATGCCCATTCTGTTCAACTTGCTCCAGGCACTTTCAGGCCTCCTTGACATCTAACATATCATGAAGCCAGTGTTGCAAAGGTGTGAGGTCTGAGGTTCTCATATGCTAAGATCACAGTTTTCTAGTATGTAGTTTGGTAGATGGGTAACCAGCTTGCCACATCTTCACTGGGAAGAGTACACTGAAGATGGAAAAAAACACTGAGTTCCTATGAAACATTGCTACTGATCGACCAAACTACCCTGATCATGATGTTACAAAGATTTGTAATGCTGCAAACAATATTAGTACATCTCATATTTTCTTGTGTCATGTTTTAGGTGTCTGGGGGTGACACCCCACTCAGTTGCAGAGAAGCATCCCAGGAAGCTGACCCTTTTGCGTTTGTGGGACTCAAATGTGAAGTTGCGGTAAGTTCCTGTGCATGGGGGACTGCCTTCTCCCTGGATATTTGGACAAGGTCAGAATTTTAAAAAATATTAAAAATACCAAATATTGAAGAATGCCATCTTTTGGGATGTGGCGCCATGTAGATCTTGTGTAAGCCGACGTTTTGGAGATACATATCGCCTCCATCTTCAAGGTACAAAAATCCACGAACAAGAAACCACTGTGAGCACCTGGCTGCACACAATATCCACATGACACCACATCCCAGAATATGGCATTCCTCATAGTCACTGCCATGAAAACCTCAAATCTTACATGCCAGATCTTGAACCCTCGCGGTAGCGTAGTTGGTTGAGGCACTATGCTACAGGCTGGAAAGTCACGGGTTCAACTCCCGATGAGGTCATTGGATTTTTTCAATTGATCTAATTCTTCCAGCCACACTATGGCCCTGGGGTCAACTCAGCCTCTAACAGAAATGAGTACCAGGAATATTCTTGGAATGTTCTTGGGAGTAAAGTGCGGCCAGTGTGTGGGGCTGACAACCTTGCCACCATCTATGAGCCGATTGTCTATAAAATGTGGGAACCTCAACATCTCACAACCCTATGAGCCTCCAAGGTCTGTTACAGGGATATGTTTACTTTTTACTTTTTTTTTAGGGATCTTGAACACAGTTGGTGGTGCTGTCTGTGTTTTAATACAGAGGCCCACAACTCTAGGGTGTTCAGCAAAACTTTTCTGGCTGCCTACCCTTGGAAAAGAATTGCAGCAGTGCCTCTCTTCGTTTGCAGCATACAACTGTGCTTGTAATACTGTATAATGTGTATATCCAACTGTAAGTTTGGAATGAATCATGGATACAGCCTCACAAGACTGTTGTACAGCGGGTTTAAACAGCTTAGCCATGAAGTAAGCTTGTACATAACCTAATGGCACGAGCATTCTGTGCTCATATCAGATAACAAACACAGGTTTCTCTGTCACAGCTGATGCCCCATTATGATAAAAAATTGGGAATTGGAGAAAGTAGGCTCAAAATTTGACATGATCTTTGCTGTAAAGTGGGCCGTATGAAATGGATTGAACTGCCACAAGATCAGAGTATAGATGTTGGCATTGTTGTATCTTCAGGCTGTTATCAAGATTCGTCAGTCAGACTGTCTGTTGGCTGGATGGTCACTGTACCGCTTGTTTTGAAGAGACATTTCAAATCACCAGACGAAAGAAATGATCAAGAAAGTCTGACGCTGACTTTGTAATTCACTAGACTCGCAAGGAATGTCCAATCTCAATTTACACTGAAAATAGTTCAATTCTGACATTTGTTTTCTGTATGTTTAGGATGGCATCATCAATTTGGAGAGTGATTCAGACAGCGATATGCAGGATCCCTGTGTTGAGTCTCAAATGATATCTGTGAAAGAGGAGCCGCCAGACATGAGCAGCTGTGAGTCATCTGACAGTGATTTTAAAGAGGAAGATGAGGTGAGGTGCAAAACACTGAATGGATGCATATGTTATTTGCTGCAAAATTAAGATTATGAGAATTTCAGAAGAGGCATTTATTTGCAGCAAGGTATTAAACCTTGGATTTGCCTGAAAAGCAAAGGTGAGGCTATGATGTGTTGTTCCTCTGTGAGATTAAAATTAGTTCTTTATTTGACCATTTAGCTGTAATGCACTATGAATGTTAAGATATAATTGGTTTGTTAATGGAATTTGTACTAAATAAAATTTGAGTGTCTCATGGCAGTGAATATTAATTTTACAATTTCTTAGGATGTGATCCCATTTTATTTGATAAATAGATATAAGATCTTTCTACCCTGAAGATGGAAGCAACAGATTCCTCAAAAATGTTGGTGCCTATCTGCCAGGCATTATAGTGCCATAGTCCAGAAAGACAATATTAATGTTATGTATGAACCCCATACAAAATGCATAGGTTGCTCATCTAGCAAGGATCAGGTGATGATTATGTACCATATATTGGAAATTATTATAATTAAAATTATTAGTCGCCATTCACTCATTCAACTAGTGTGTGAGTTGTTGGTCTGGTAGTCATTAAGTTCATTTGTTATTTAGGTGCTTGTTTGAAATATTATATTTAAGCATCCTGTTACACTCTATACAATGTATGACACAAACTCCATCCTAAGTGCAACAATTTATTGTTGTTCTTTCGTCTTCTTTCCTTCTACACTATGTGTTTCGGCCGTAAATGGCCATCAGGTGTATACTCTCACGTAGCTGCTACACTGCATGTAGTTTAAAATTTAAAAAACACCAGCCTTCCCAATTGTTCATTTCTCCATTGCTAGCAGGTCCCATATATCAGCATCCCCCACCATCAATTTGATTTTCAAAATCTGGTACTTTTAAAATCTTCAATTCAGATTTAAATTTTTTTTCTTTAGAGGTTTTTTCAAATTTTAAAATTTAAAATTCTCAGGGGTACCCGATCTATGTATACAGTGCTGCAGCAGCTACTTCTTGTTTTCAGCACTGTTAAGGTATTATTCTGTGTAGGTTCCCTGTGTGCGTGCCACTGCTTATCTTTAATCCTTGTTTGAAAGTCGGTATTCAAGAACAAGTGTTACTGACATGCTGACAGGACAGCATATACAGAGTGAAACGAAATTCGCGCAAACTCTCTCCATAGTTTGATTCTTTATTAAAATAAGCTGAAAATGTGTGCTGCATATATCCTGTAATAATTGACTTTCAGGATACGCATCACTCTCAAATAGCTGGAGCAACCAAATGATGTTGCACATTAATTTCATTTCATCCTGTATGTGTAGATATTAATCACATTTTCAAGTATTTATAGTGAAATATTACACTTTTGAACCCCTAAGTTCATCTAAATAATATTTAAAAGTATAGTTCCTGCCCAAAGTCACTATTTACTTTGAGAATCAAATAAGCTATGTGGGAAAATGGGAAGTTTCTTAATGTTAAAGCTAGCAGTACATATGGTTACTACTGCTTTGAAAGATTAATGATAAATCAGCGTGTTAGCCTGTTTGACTCAAAGAATTATGAAAGTTGAATCACTTAACATTATAACCTGACATAGCTCCTTTATTTTCCATTGCATCAGGAGGAAGCTGCAGACAAAATTTTCTTGGTTTCTAGGGAGGCACGTGGTGTTTGAAACAAATTATTCATATCTCGCAGTTGTTATGAGATATCAGGATCAGGTTCAGTTTTTGAAATGGGACTTGATTTTATTCACTCCAACAGAAGTTGCATGGCAGATCAAATGAATCCTTATGACAGTAAATTGCATACCATTCTGATTGAGTGTTCATGTGATTTTGGGGCTAAAAGTATAGAGTGACCATGCTGTGCCACTAAGCTTTCCCAATCTGGAAGCAGGAGCAGTGCACTTCCCTATTATGAGTTGCAATACCACATTAATGGTCTATCAGAATGGTACTCAGTTTATGGTCATTGGATTCACATTGATCTGCTCTACAACTTGTGTGAGAGCAGAATAAATCAACTTCTATGTAAAAACTGAAGCTGACCTTGATATCTCAGAAAAACGCAAGATACAAAGATGTTTCACGTGTTCCCTTGAAGCCAAGCAGATTTCCTGATGTCATGAATAATGACATAGTTATTCAAGGTGATAATGTCAAGTGATTCACCTTTTTGCGTGTCAAGTAGGATGAAGTTCTGAGGTTTCCAGCGCTGTGTTGTATGTGCAGAGTGACATGTGTGAGATGGAAGGAAAGAGCATTTCAGACAGCGATGTAAAGGAACACTGTGATGGGAATCGACTGATACATGTGAAAGAGGAGCCGCCCAATGCAACCAGCAGTGCTTCTTCAGCTGATGAAGTGGTGCAGAAGCGATTCACATATGACACTGTTAAACAGGAAATTCCGGTGAGCATTCTGCTATATGTGCAGGGACAGGGTTGGGCTTCTGTGAAGATGTTGGAGTTAGTAAATAGGAGGCACTTTCTTGATTGTCAGAGTGACTGTGAGTTACTTAAGGACTGATCAACAGAGTCAGCCATGTATTAAACTCTCAGCTGAGATACATTGTGACCTTTTGATTACATTCTTATGTCACATTGCGAGATGGTAATGTTATGAATTGGAATTTTATTATCTCCAGGATGATGCATATGTCAGCGGGGTACAGAGTGACTTAGGTGCCACACAACAGTGCCACCGTGACACTCTGCAGCTGCCAGTTACTACAAGTAGTTCCCCAATTTTTGAGAGCAGAGCAGAGCAGGTGCAAGTCTTGTTCACATCTGTAAAAGTTAAATGTGAAGTTAAGGTGAGTTAGTGTGTCCTCATTGATATTGTTGTAGCAAAACTACTGCATGTCCAAAAATTTGGCATAAAATCATGCTATATATGTACAAGAATTGTTTCATGTCAATTATACTGAGGCCATCGAAGTAAGTCCGATAGATGGCTTGAAGGTTCCCACTTTTTGCCTGTGGGTTGTTCCTCTTCAGTTCCCATTGGCCTATATTCCCTCGAAGCCCACAGTGTTTGATAGTCATCTGGTTATCAGTATTAATATTTGCATGAATTGAATGGCTGGTGGAGAATATAAGGAAGAACGTCAGTGTGGGAAGAGGTAACGAAACCTGTACTGGGGGTCATTCCATGGCACTTTTGTATGGCCTCAGTACCATCCATCTGACTTCAAAGTAATTTCAACTTTTTCTATATGTTTACACACAAAATAGAGGTCAACTTTCAGTAAACACTAAGTATTGCTAACTTTACTGATATTAAGTCATCCACTGTTAAAGGGACAGAAATTGATAGTTTTCTTTCTGGAGGTAATTGCAGTGGCTACTGTTTCTCTGCATCTCCCAGTCATCACAAAGTAGAGACAAACTTGAATAACAAGCCACTGATCTCTTGCTTTATGGAACAACCTTGTTATCAGGATCATAATGAATTTTAATTTCTTTTAAATGAATTGCAGGATGAAATAGAAGCTAAGGAAGGCCCCAGATGAATCAGCAGTTCAGCATGGAATACAATTTGAGGATGAATGTAGATTCAGGTAAATTGAAAGACTGTAAATACATAGGATGAATGTGTCACTCAGTAGTATGGTAATTATTATTCAGTATTTTAGTGCCCTCTCATATGTAGCCTGCTCATGGCCAGGTTCCTGATGAAGTGGCTTTCCTTATGGTGTATGGTTTTTGCAGCATGTCAGAAAACAGAATGGTATGTCCAACACTTCCACCTGCAGTTGCCTGTCAACATGTGACTGCAGTTTCTCAGTTGCCATTCATATCATTCACTGTGGAATACAGTTGTATGCAGTAGTAGCAGCTGCACAGTGCGCTTCTGTGGAGAAATTTGACGCTGTCTGTTGACAGTGACTTGAAATGAGAAGCACAATTTTATCCAAAGGATATAGGAACTTTTGGAGTATGGGTTTCTGGATTATTAGTATTGACCCTGAAGATGGAGGGGGTATATTAGTGTGAAACATTGGTACTCGCCTACTGGTGTACGTAGTGTCATAGCCAATATCATACCACAGTCTATGTCTGCAGAACTGTCAAAACCAGAAATCAGACATGAGAACTAGTTGCAGTAATTGTGCGCAGCAGAAGGTTTTGATTCCAGCTGACAGCCAGTTGCACCGAGTGTGTGGCAGTAAGTTTTGATTCCAGTTGCACTGTGTGTGTGGCAGTAAGTTTTGATTCCAGCAAACAGCCAGTTGCACTGTGTGTGCGGCAGAAAGTTTTGATTGGAGCCGACAACCAGTTGCACTGTGTGTGCAGCAGAAGGTTTTGATTCCAGCTGACAGCCAGTTGCACCGAGTGTGTGGCAGTAAGTTTTGATTCCAGCCAACAGCCAGTTGCACTGTGTGTCCGGCAGAAAGTTTTGATTCCAGCCAACAACCAGTTGCACTGTGTGTGCAGCAGAAGGTTTTGATTCCAGCTGACAGCCAGTTGCACCAAGTGTGTGGCAGTAAGTTTTGATTCCAGCCAACAGCCAGTTGCACTGTGTGTGCGGCAGAAAGTTTTGATTCCAGCCGACAGCCAGTTGCACTGTGGTGTGACATGTTTGCTATACCCTTGTGCCAGTCAGAGGACCTGTCTGTGAGATTTGAGGTTCTCACTGTGAATGTGAAGGTTAGTGCCTTCTGGGAGATGATGCTCTGCAATCCAGTAGTAAAGTTCCACGCCTCTACCCTGAAAATGGAGACAGCAGGTTCCTGCAAAGCACTGGCACCTCTCTGCTTGAGAACATAGCATCATATCCCAGAAGACGGTAATCTTCAAAAATTTTCTGTCAGCAGCTCTCTCTTCTTGTTCTACTGTTCAAGCTTTCAGTCATCATGTCACAATGTGTTCAAGGGTGTCCTCTTTTTTTACACATAGCAATGTGAAATTAACCATAAGTTATTTTCCTCATCACAGATATGTTTCTTACATGAATTGTTATACAGTATTTTAATTTTCAGTTATGCATTTTGCTGCAGTGATAAATAAATTATTGGAAGGAGATATGTCCAGACTCATTCTTACAAGTAGTTCCTAAAAGTATCAAATCCAACTCAACATACTGGTGCAAGAGAGGCTGAGAGAGAAGAATGTTTGTGTTCGGAGAATATCTTCACACGTTTGCTGCACAATTGAACATAAAGGACACTTGGAATTTAATTTAAACATTGAAAGTGTGAGGTTATCATTTTAGAATGGTTTCTGCTATTGGAAGTTCAATATTTACACTACAGATGTTTCTGTGAATAACAGATTTCACATGATGTCCATTGTCTCTGTGAATAACAGATTTCATATGATCTCCATGTAGGATAGTTGTTATGGGATTTGTGATCGAAAAAGTGACATTATGGAAGGACTTTCTTCAAGCCATTTGATTTTTTCCTGACAGTTATCATTCCAGCAATGCTGCGTAGTCATCTGTCATCAGAGGCTGGCACAATAGGTTCTGTACCAAGGTACTCTATGTCAATACTCTGTGCCGAGATGCATTTGTATAGTATGTTCAAGCCCAAAACCTGCAGAAGTAGTGAACATAAGGAACCAGTAACAATGTCATATGTTTCTGACATTACAATGCTGCTGATGCAGAATAACTGAAAGGCTGTATTTATGTCAGAGAAAAACTACCTCGTAGTATAGTGCAGAAAACATTTATTGGATTCTGTTTTTTTTATAATTTAATTTCTTACTGAGTGACAACTTGTGTGACTTTAAACCCATTTTCTTTCTGCCGTGGTTTGTTCAGCAGTTTCAGCACTGACAGAGCTATGTACATAGATGTATGAGTAACATGTGTTTAATTGAAACTAATTGTTGACATAAAAATAATTTTTTGCTGCATTAGCTCCTGGTTTTTTACTGTATTGTGCAATGAGCACTTGTTTTAGCCATTTGTATCATGACTTACAAAAATTTAAGATACTTATTTCAGCTCATCTTATCTTTCCTAACACTTCAAGCTGTCTTGTTGCCTTGCTCTTTCTGTTGTGTTCTTCCTGTCTTACACTCATTCAGGTTTCCATAATACAAGTATTTTTAATTATATTCAGTTACTGATATCCTTAGATTGGCCCTTTGAAATAAATTTCATCAAAATAATATTTAAAAATTCAGGTCTTGTCTCACAGATATTACTACACCCCGCACCATAGCTCAAGCAGTTGGTCACTGGCTTCTCTCCACGGCGGCCTGGGTTCAAACCTGGGTCTGTCAAGTGGGATTTGTGGTGGAAAAGTGGGGTAGGTTTTCTCCAAGTACTTCGGTTTCCCCTGCCAATCTTCATTCCACTAAATTCTCCATCATCATAATCAACCAGGGCATGTACAGTAGGCCAATCAGTGGCCGCCATGCCGAGTGGACCCAACTGGACTCCACCCCCCCCACTATATGAATTTTAGCACTACACCTGCATTACAGAAACCATTTGGTTAATGCACTTTATCAAAATAATGACTGCTTAATGTGACAGCAATACAAGACACATAAATACACTGTGTGGGCAGACTGCACACTTCTTATTGTTACAGTGGTTGGTACATACGTGTTCCGCTGTGAATCAAAGGGTTGCACTCTTGTGCAGGGTGTGGATTAGTGACTGATGAGCAGTTAATGGTGTAAGTTTGTAGGTTAGTATGACAATGGTTCATATTTTGGTCTGGTTTTTGACACCTTGTAGTCTTGTAGTAACATATTGTATCTATCTTGAGGATCAAATAGACCACTTGGACCCTGATGAAGGAAACAGCAAGCTGTGTCAAAATTTTGGTATCCACCTACAACACTACAAAGTGTCACAACCTAGAAGACAGCAGAGTGTAATGGTAGGTGGAAAAGATACTTTGTATGACATGTTTACAAAAGCTTATGTAGAAATTTTCACATAAGATAAAAATTGTCTGTTAAATAGACCCATAACATCTGACAGGTCCTTAAAATCTTAAACAACTTATTTTAATGGGGAGTGGCTGTAAGTGTAATAAAGGGAACAAAATGAGATCATGCTTTGGATTTCACAGTAGCCTGTACGTAGTGTGTAATTTCAGATTAGTTTAATTTCTATTGGCGCACAAAGGAACAGAGGTATGCTAGAGAAACACTGAATCATCTTTTTAATCACTCTTTCACTCCTCACAAATACAATGTCATTACTTTAACACAATTTATGACTTGCCTGTGTCATGGGTGCAGAAGCATATCACCAAGGAAAGCAAATTATATTTGTACAACACTACTCATCTATATTGCACCCATTGGTGCCAGATGCTTCAAAATGTCTGCCAATTTCTTGGGTGCTGGTTCTCCGTAGTTGATTATTATATCTGCCATCTGACTGAGACTCTTGAAAAGTATTTCATGGTCAACCTGGTCCTTCTGCTCCACCAGCATCTGAGGCAGGAAGAAGCTGCAGATCAGGTAGCCGTAGAGGCAGTGGCCAACAAATTCCTTGCGGAACTCTTCCAATCCAAAGTCTGGCAACAGTTCCTCAACAGAGCAGCCTAGGATCTCAGCGAGAGTCCCTGTCAGCGCGACATGATACTCACCGAACAAATCGTCCCAATGCTGGGCCCTGAGTTCCGATGACATGTTGAGGTACATAAGAAGCGATAGGTCAATAACTGGAGAACCATACTTCACGTTCTGGAAATCAAACAGTATGGCGTCACATGGCTTCCCAGAGTCATATCGGAACAGGATGTTGTTTCTGCAGAAATCTCCATGGCACATCACAGCCAGTGGCTCCTTGGGCGCCATCAAGTCCGAGAAGAGTTGCCCTGCAACCTCCAGACGATCCTTCAGCCTGTCTAGAGTCGCTTGGTCCAGCTCCTGTCGAGCCTCCACGTATCTGACACCCCTGTAAGACGTCTTCTTCAGAAAGTATGTCATATCTTCTGGGGAGCTGTTCGCGTAGTTCTGTGCCCTGGACTTCTTTACCATGGCATGAAACGCTGAGGGCTCCAGCTTCTTCATTGCGTAAGAGATAGCGTGGTACCGCGCCAGGTGACTCAGTGCGATTGCACAGTGATCGTAGTCCAAGGACAGCTTGTCAGCTGATGGTCTGAAGCCTCGAGGCGCCATGTTCTCCAGCACAACAATGTCGGTGTCACCAGCGCCACATTTCGCGTAGTAACATTTCGGGAAAATCTGTCCCAGTGAAACTGCCTGTCGCTTCTTCAGTAATTCTTTGAAGGAGGGGATGACTTCGTTGTACATGAGGGTCTCATTATGGAAGAGAATATCCGCATCTATGTACTTCCGGTATATCGGATCTTCCGGTGATATTTTCAGTAGCATATGGTACACCTTCGGTGTCTGATGTTCGAACTTCAATTCCAAGTTAATGAAGAATATGGTGGAAGTGAAGTGATCTCCACCCCCTCCTTTGTGTACCACGTGACATTTTGTGGTTTCCAGGCGGTGTTTGCTCCAGCTGTCGAAACTTCCACAGGCCAGCATGGCCGGCACAAGCTGATACTTGCTGCATGCTTCACAAAGCCTCAATTGCAGCTGCTTTTGCAACAGACTTTGTGGCCTCTGATCTCTGGACTCGTTTAATATCTGAAGAGGCAGACCTTTGTAGTGACCTTTATATCTATATGTTTGTGAGTCACTTGCGTAGAATCCCTTTCTCTTCATTCAAGTTTGTAACTGGGCATCAGCAGATATCTTTCTGTGGCAGCCTAGATGTGGAACATGCATATACACTCTTCCGCAGTGCCTCCACAACCGTCAAGTTCAAATTTCTAGGAATTTCCATTTGTACTGGGTTTTACCAACCGTGCTGTTTGGTGTCTGTGTACCATGGTTTTTAATTAGTTTACCGTGGAAAAACTGGAGATTTCTGCATTTGCTATGCGGGAGGTTTATAATGGCCACTTGAAACCACATACATTATATTTATGTAATCAACAATATTATATTAACATCTGCTATGCTGTCTCCCACGTAGTCTGTTCATTTCATATTTCCTGGCCAACATTTTGCATCTAGACCTGTTATGTTTAATATGTGGACCCAAGTGGAATGGAATGGAAGCAGGTTGGAGAAAACTGCATAAAGAGGGGTTTCTTGACTTCATCTCTGCACTATATGTAATTAGAATGATGAAGTCAAAGGGATGAGATGGCCAGAGTATGTAGCATGCACGGGGGAGAAGAATACATATAGGAATTTGGTGAGAAACAGCAAAAAAAAAAAGGACCACTAGGAAAACTTAAAGACATAGGTGGTAGGATAATATTAAAATATATTATATATAATGCGATAATTTGGACTGCACTCATCTGGCTCAGGGTAGGAACCAATGGAAGGCTCTTGTGAAAATGGTAATGAACCTTCTGGTTCCACAAAATGTCGGGAAATTCTTGAGCAGTTATACGACTAGCGGCTTCTCAAGGACTTAGCTTCATGGAGCTAGTAAATGTGTTAGTTCTGCTTGTGTTCTGTGAGTATTAACGTTTAGTGCCAAGGTTAAGAACACATGGAGTCATACTTCCTCTTCCCTTATCTATTCATAGTTTGGTGCTTGCCTAAGAACATGAGCTGCTTTACCATTATGCCTCTAAACGTAATTAATAGGTCTGTCTTTGTAAGGGAGAAACAGTATATTCCTCGAGATGGGAATTGAATTTGTAAGTATTGTTATTTAAACGATTAATGCGGTCACAAAATGCCGATGGGCCCTGTGAGCGAATACTTTGGGCAGCTAATGTTTTATTTTCAGTGTATATCGCCAGAGTGAGGAGCCAGGATAGCGAGAATCTTCGGTGTTGTCTGTCTTCTGTTGCATTTCGATGTCAGTCTCTTACATAATGTAGAGTGTGATGGATGTGAAGGGAGCCAGCCGTGGCCTATTCTAATTCATTATTTCAGGCCTATTTTAAGTTTTTGTTCCAACATCCATCAGTAGGGCTGACCACATTGAAGAATCATAAGGGTAAGAAAGAGGCCTCCTTGTCGAGATTGTTATGTTCAAAACGAGTTAGAAATAAGAATTCGGGAAGTAGGTAAGTAACAGCGCTGTGTGGGGGTGGGGGGATTTTAGTCGTAACCGGGTCAGAGCCCGAAGGTTCCCCTTCTGCCTTAAAGGCAGCCCAAATTGAACTGTTGATAATTTTTCTCGGTTCAAGTATATCTAGATATGAATGCCGGTGTCCATACATTTGCTACATTATGTAGCTAATGATCATAATGATTGGACACGAGGGAAATTACTCCGTTTGTTGCTTTTTCTCTCGTTGCCGGGGGAACAATTTCTCCACAGAGCTGTTGCCTAGCAACGACTTGTAGTGTTTCCTGTTTGCACAGCTGTTACTTGGCAGTGGCTACACATGTCACCATACATATTGATTGGATATGTATATATATATTGTAACGTGTCGGCAAACTAGTGTCGGATCAGTTTTCGAGGACTGATCCGAGACTCACCGTTTCTCGCTGAAGCTGGGCTATTTGTAACCTTGCCCGCTGTTAGGCAACGAACCCTCTGTTATAGCGGTGGAGACGTTGCATTGTTGGTTCCGCGTTCCCTACGCAATGACCCATTGTTATTGCGTTGTCTCTGTGGGAACGCTACGCGNTTAATATATATATATATATATATATATTGTAGAACCAAAAAAATGTATGTATAAAATGATAAATAGGATATGTAATAATGAATATGGGAGTCTTAAGATTGTAAAGTGAATGCACTTCAGATGGATAGTAGCCAGTTGTGCAATGACCAAACAAGAAACTGTCGTGTCATTTTGTTACGTCACAATTGAGTACATCTTAGAAGCCAGTAGGAGACCTTCATCTTAAGATAATTAGCGTCCAGTGTCTGTCATCTGCTACAGTCAGTGCAGTGCGAGCCATGGAGCGAGCAGCGTGGGTGAAGGAGCAGCTTGTGCCGGCCATGCTGGCCCGTGGAAGTTTCGACAACTGGAGCAAACACCGCCTGGAAACCACAAAATGTCACGTGGTACACAAAGGAGGGGGTGGAGATCACTTCACTTCCACCATATTCTTCATTAACTTGGAATTGAAGTTCGAACATCAGACACCGAAGGTGTACCATATGCTACTGAAAATATCACCGGAAGATCCGATATACCGGAAGTACATAGATGCGGATATTCTCTTCCATAATGAGACCCTCATGTACAACGAAGTCATCCCCTCCTTCAAAGAATTACTGAAGAAGCGACAGGCAGTTTCACTGGGACAGATTTTCCCGAAATGTTACTACGCGAAATGTGGCGCTGGTGACACCGACATTGTTGTGCTGGAGAACATGGCGCCTCGAGGCTTCAGACCATCAGCTGACAAGCTGTCCTTGGACTACGATCACTGTGCAATCGCACTGAGTCACCTGGCGCGGTACCACGCTATCTCTTACGCAATGAAGAAGCTGGAGCCCTCAGCGTTTCATGCCATGGTAAAGAAGTCCAGGGCACAGAACTACGCGAACAGCTCCCCAGAAGATATGACATACTTTCTGAAGAAGACGTCTTACAGGGGTGTCAGATACGTGGAGGCTCGACAGGAGCTGGACCAAGCGACTCTAGACAGGCTGAAGGATCGTCTGGAGGTTGCAGGGCAACTCTTCTCGGACTTGATGGCGCCCAAGGAGCCACTGGCTGTGATGTGCCATGGAGATTTCTGCAGAAACAACATCCTGTTCCGATATGACTCTGGGAAGCCATGTGACGCCATACTGTTTGATTTCCAGAACGTGAAGTATGGTTCTCCAGTTATTGACCTATCGCTTCTTATGTACCTCAACATGTCATCGGAACTCAGGGCCCAGCATTGGGACGATTTGTTCGGTGAGTATCATGTCGCGCTGACAGGGACTCTCGCTGAGATCCTAGGCTGCTCTGTTGAGGAACTGTTGCCAGACTTTGGATTGGAAGAGTTCCGCAAGGAATTTGTTGGCCACTGCCTCTACGGCTACCTGATCTGCAGCTTCTTCCTGCCTCAGATGCTGGTGGAGCAGAAGGACCAGATGGATTACAGTTCCTTCTATCTGAGGACTATCCGTGAGGTGGCCCATCAGTGCTGTGACCTTGGGGGGGAACTGGCTACCCAGAAGTTGGCTGACATTTTGAAGCATGTGGCAGCAGTGGGTGGCATTTAAACCAGCTGTAGCGGGGAGGATTCATGTCAACTAGTGATGTGTGCCTTGGAAGTAAGAGTGGCTTTTACGTTCGATGCTTGTGTTGAGGTTCTCTGCTAGAATATCAGTGAAATAATGGAGAGACTCCCGAAATGTTTACGTAAATGTTATCTATCTTCGAACCTTGGACTGTTCTGGTATGAGTGACTGTTGCTGGCCCTTAGAAGCTTTCAGTTGTTCTAGCAAAGAATTCACGGCGCTGTAGTTAATTGACACACAGTGTAATTTCCTCGTGATGAAATTTTTATGAGTTCTTACTCTTCTCTGAGAACACGGTATGTCTTTTAATTTGCTAGTTCTGTTATCCTGTCACAAGAGCTTGTACCGTGACCCTATTGTGAGCCCGCTGATTCCAATACACATTCTCCCTTTTACTTTATGATCCATTTTAATAGTAAAATATAATCTGCACAGTGTATGCATGTACATCTCGAAATTGGTTGCTTCCCTTTAGCTTTCCCAGTCAACATTTTAAGCCCACTTATCAACTCGACCATGAGTACTACGTGTCCTAAAAGCCGCTAAATGAATGTCATCACATATGCATTACTGAAAGAAGCATTTCTTGTGTCTTCCCTTGCGTCATTGAAAGCCAAACATATCTGCAATGGAAGTTGATGTTTGCTGAAGCTTACGCATTTTGCGAATATCGATCTATTATTGTTCATTATTTCGGGATCTGAAATGAAGTGGCGCCACCAAGTGACAACGAATCTGACTATTTTTTTTATTGCTAGTGGGGTGGGACTAAGTCCCTTGCACTGCGGTCACTTCTGGCCTATTGTACCAGCCCCAGATGATAGGTGAGGGTGATTGTGGAATGAAGATTGGCAGGGGAAACCGAAGTACTCGGAGAAAACCTGCCCCAGCGCTACTTTGTCCAAGACAAATCCCACTTGACAAAGACCCGGGATCGAACCCGGGCCGCCGCTGTGGGAAGCCGGCGTCTAACCGCTTGAGCTATGGCGCGGCCCACGAATCTGAGTAAGTACGTCAATTTGTATAACAAACCAGAAGTTTCAGCACCCTTAGTACTGAAACCAAAAATTGGACATTTCTAGGCCACATCCGTCCACCTAAATTCTGCTTACATCTTACATTGCAAAGATCAGTCTTAATATTATGCTTCCAACCCCTCGTTTATGCCTACTTGTCGCCTTCCAAGAAGTTCTGCCCTCCATGCATCTGTTGTAATGTGATACCAGAACAAAGATTGCGACAAACTGAACATACAGCTTCAGAGAAGAAACAACAAGCATACACAGAATGTTTGTATCACAAAGGCGATATGGCGGAATTAAGAAGTTACCTTTTCGAAATTTATGTTAGTAGTGGGAACACAGATTAACAGTTGCGGGCTATTGTGTTGGTGGTGCTGAACTTTCTGGTACCTGTGTCTTACAGATAATCAGTAGTTGGTAGGCCTATAGGTGCGTAATAAATGGTAAGGTGATTATGAATTGCAGATCGAAAAGTGTGTGAATGGAACAAGTCGTACATTTTAGAGTGTCATCGGCCTAAATGGCCCCGGACGCAATTCCAATCAGGCGAGACGGGTCTAGCCAAGACACCGGTAAGTTGTTAAAGTTGTCCCTGAGTTTAATTAAGCACCACGCCATAAAGGTGTATAGCTCCATACTTTCTTAACCTCGGCAGTAGATGGAAGTGAATGGTCAGCTTTATGCCCCAGTGAGAGACGGTACCCACGTGAGTGGAAGGACGTTGTGTGGGCCCCAGGGCAGGTCTGGGAGGTGTAGAGATGAGAAAAATCTCTGCCTCTGCTGGGAAATGAACACCGATTCCTCAGTTGCCCAACATGGAGCCTATACTGACGATTAATGTCTTCTGGGATAAGCGGTTATATAGTCTGGAGGAAGTTTACCGACGTTTCGGAGGAACGTGCTGCCTAGGTCTTCATGGTGAAAAGATTGGGACGGCATGTTTATGTGAAACATCGGTAAACTTCTACCAGACCACACGGTATCAAATCCAAGAAATTCATTTTCATAGTCACGGCTATGAAAACCGCAGATCTCTCATAGCAACATTACTGACTGACCTATCCCGGCTCGCGCTAATTTAGTTTTATATTTGGTTAGTTGGCTAGTTATTTAAGGCAGTTAGAAGGAGCCGGCTGATCGCTTACGTCACTGTATTACTTCGTTTTTTATCTGGAGCATTTCCTGGTCTCACAAATTACGAATGCAGGAAATGTGGAAAGGTTCATGCGATCGTGGAAATCACAGCAGTCTGTCGACCTTAGCCACAAGAACGTCACTGACGCGATCTCAGTTCGCTGAGACAAATAAGCATAAATCCTTTATCAGGAACATAATTAGCACAAGTATGGATTTATTCATTTTCTGTTCTTGTTTTTCTCTGCATGACCTCTGGATCTTGCGTCAATGAACTTATTTTGGGGTCCACATAGCAATAAACGTAACGCAGCATAAACTGACAAATCCAACTTAAGAATATACTTGACCATGCAAGGGATTTCGTCTTAACTGCAACTTTTTTTTTTAATTGCTAGTGGGGTGGGACTAAGTCCCTTGTACTGCAGCCACTTCTGGCCTATTGTACCAGCCCCAGATGATAGGTGAGGGTGATTGTGGAGCAATTAATGGAATGAAGATTGGCAGGAGAAACCGAAGTACTCGGAGAAAACCTGCCCCAGCGCCCCTTTGTCCACCACAAATCCCACTTGACCAGACCCAGGATTGAACCCTGGCCGCCGCGGTGGGAAGCCAGCGACTAACCGCTTGAGCTATGGCGCGGCCCAACTTAGTACTTAGTCACTGCATGTTTCGGCCGTATACGGCCATAATCAGATGTCTATCTTGCTAAAACTGATGCACTGTATATCAAATTACGTATCGCGTGTGAACGTGATATCACCTAATTAAAATAAATTAACATCTTAATGTTTTTCATTTTGATCGTCGCTCATTCCTTTAAACGATATTCGCTTGACCGGTTGTGGTTCATAAGAAGCAAGGAAGGAAGGAGTTATAAGTGTGTGGTGGTCAGGTAACCGTGGAGAACGGGAGAGAAGCCGCATGTGTGTGTGTGTCTTCCATGAAAAGGCGGGGGAGAAGTAGCAAGGGTGTGGTGGTCCTGGAACTGAGGAGTGTGGGAGAGAAGCCGTGCGCGCGCGTGTGTGTGTGATACGTGAAGAGTCTTGGAGAAGTTGAGAGGATGCGGTGGTCAGGGAACAGGAATGGGAGAGAAGCCGCGTGTATGTTATCCATGAATAGGCAAGGGATAAGTTGTAAGAGTGTATTTGTCAGGGAAACGAGGGGTAAGGGAGTGAAGTCATGTCAGGATGTGGTCCATGAAAAGGCAGGGGAGAAATTATAAGGGTGTGGTGGGCAGGTACAGAGTATATGGGAGAGAAGCTGTGTGTTTGTGTGTGTTCCATAGAAATTCAGGGAAAAGTTGTAAGGTCTGTGGACATGGAGTTGAGGAGTATGTGTGTGTTTGGAGGGGGGGAGTGTGGTGGCGGATGAAGTTTCATCAGGGTGGACCCTGATGCCCCAGCATCCCTCCACTATCATTGCACCTCAACTGAACTAGTGGTAAGCATCTTTTCACACAAAAATTGAGAGAATAATTAAAAAAGTAAAATATCAAATACTGGCATGAAGAATCTCATCAGAAGATATGTCATTGCTTAAAAAGTGGGTAGAGGGAGGTGAAGTGATTAATTCTCACTGCTTCAGTGTGTAGCATGCAGGAGTAACTGATTGAATATACTGCAAAGAATGATTGAGGAGATGTAGATATACGAACACAAGAGGAGGTTGAATTTCACAGCTTCTGATAGGCCCTCCACAGAGTCACCAGTGGCACTACTGCATTCTGATGTACAATAAGTTATGTCATACTTTAATTTTCAGTTTCATAGGTCCACATTGTGTTTAATTTTACTGCATCATATGTAAAGATACCTATTGTAACATTCTTAATTTGATGCAAATGAAACAATAATCAGGGGCGGCCCACGTATAGGCACTGCGGAACTGCAGCACCCCCAATTTCCACTTGATATTATCAATAACATTTATGTAATGAGTCCTTTTTTCTTTAATTCTTTCTTTATACTTGTACAATACAATATATAATCCTTAAGCTTAATGTCAGTAGCCAAATCTTTGTATGGAACTGTGAGTTTCACAGTTCCAGTGGCGAGGTGTTTGTTGACTGTGCACATGCGCACATAGGAAGCTACACGCGAGGCTGCAAGGGAGAGGGAGGATTGCAGGAATGACAGTGCCGACCGGTGCCGACCCTGGCATGCTGGTGGAAGGTAGTTTTTTTTTTTACTCCGCGTGTGTTGTGCTTAAAAACTATGAGTTAATTGTAGAATTAGATTATTATCCTGGTTCCAGCTATTCTATTTGATTCATTTTTTTCGGTTCTTTTATTTAACAGAAAACTTTAACCATGGCCTTGCATCCCCGAGAAATAAGTTCTGTGACTGTAAGTGAACTTCAACAGCTTCAGTTTTCACAACTGTCTCTCCATGAGAAATTTGCAGTTAAGAAAAGAGGTCGTTTAACACCTGATATTCTAATATCTCAGCCAGGCATAAGCAAGAACTAGAAATATATTCGTAGCTTTAATTCTGAATGGTACAAACAGAAAAGTTGGCTTTGCGGCTGTGAAGTAAAAAATGCACTGTTTTGCTTCCCATGTTTGCTGTTTGGGGGTGATGTAACGTGGACAAAAGATGGTTTTAGAAATAAACAAAATGAAAGAAAAAACTGAAAAGCATGAGAAGTCAAAGAAGCACGTTGATAATGTAGTGTCACTGTCACTTTTAGGAAACGTAAGTATTAAGGAGAAACTTAGTGAGGCATACAGCTTTCAATCAATGAGCATAATATAAAGGTTAAAAAGAATGGATTTCATTTTTAAATGAATAGATTAAGCTTGAACTGTAACAATTTAGGTTAAAGTAAGTAAAAAATGTTTCATTTTGTTCTTTTAGGATTTTATCAAGTTTCTGAATAAATTTTCTTTTTATACATGTTTGTTTCCTTTTATACAATTTTAAAACAAAGGCTACAAATTTTCTGGAGCAGCACCCCCACTAATTTTAGCTACGAGCCGCCATTGACAATAATGATGGTGGCTAAAAAGAAGTTTTTATTCATCGATTTAGTAATTGTTACAGAGTGATAAAACTAAATGGTAGTTTTTAGAAAGATAGGAAACAAACACAATATTAAGGCCATTTTGCCCTTTCACACAATTTCTTTTGGTTAAACTACCTAAATTTTCTATGTGTGAAGGAAGGTGTGAGACTTGTATGTAAATATTTATCACTAGGAATCAAAACATCATCTACAGTGCATGCTTAGCGCCGCATTGTCTAATGACAGTTAATATTTCTGTTTTTTACATGATATTTTGCTATGAGTTGGTACGATGTTGATTCCAGGTGGTTCATTAATAGCCAGTCAGAAAAACAAGGGTGGTCATGGTCCAAAATACTGATGTTTTCACTCCAGTCGGCAGCAGGTCTCCCCGGGGACAGATCACAAAGTAGGAAGTTTGTGCCAAGTTTCTGAACCACAAAAAAAGTAAAGTTTCCTCTGCACTTAATTAATTAATCGCTGACATAAAGACATATGGAAGAGCGGAGGTATAGCTCCACCATTTTCGACTAGATGGAAGCGAGTGGTCAGCTTCACGCTCTGGCCGCTTTACCACCATGGAAGTCGCCCTTATGTTTTCATTTGATAGAAGGCTGAGTGAGCCCCAGAGCCGTCGGGACATTGTGGAAAAGAGGGAAGTCTTGCGATGTCTGGTGCTTGATTCAATAAATTAAATGTTTGATATATATTTAATATCAAAACTGGTAAATCCCATATTTCCTTTTGTAAGAATGTATGTCACACTTATATCGCATGAATATTTTAAATTATTGTATTAAGGATGCCGTGGTCAGAACCACGAATTGTAGATTTGTAGATTGAGTTCGGTAAATCGCAGGTATTTAACATGCAGTGATTGTGTTTGTTAATAGCGTTAAGAATGCGGCTGTTTTACATGGAATGTATGATAGGAGGCAAATTTTGTTAACGTACTGTTTGAGAAAAGATTTAATAGATTTAATCTCATCAGGGAAAAGTGAATTATTAGATATGTCGTGACTGCCTCATTCCAGAATGTAACCTTTGTTGAGGCTGCAGTTCGAGTTTTTTTTTTTCTTTTTTGTATCGGCTTCAAAGGTGAGATACTTCATGTTTTAATTCTTGTTATCTGTGTGTAAGTTTGTTAATTTTGTTTATGACGTTGTGTACTTTCAGCGTTTGCTTTCACGAACCAAAAAGGTAATTTGATAAGGCAGGTCATGCGTTTTGTTAAATCTCGCCCCCCCCCCTATATATTCGTCATACATATGAAAAGAAATGGTGCCTTAGAAATATTAAACCGTTACAATGCACAGCAAACGAACCATTGTCCATTTTAGCACTATGTGGCATAAACAAAAGATAAAAATGTTGCTGTGCTAAACTTAATAAGCACCACGCCACGGAGACAGACTTATGGGGGAGTGGATGTATATTGTATTGTATTGTATTTATATTTGTTCAAGAAATCCAAAAAAGGATATAGAACATGTCACAGAACTAAATATAAAACAGGATACATGCATAAATTACACGACTAGATAGTACAATGAATCAAACAATAACAAGTTTCAAAGATCCAAAAAATGGATATAAAACATGTCATAAATAATACAAAACATAAAATACACAGTTATGCTTATCTGGATCCTACAATATTCAACAATAATAAGTTACAAAGATCCAAGAATGGATATAAAACATATCATAAATAATATAAAACATAAAATACATGCATAGTTATGCTCGTCTAGATGATACAAGAATACAATAAATACTAAAATTTATCTGTTTAAATATTCTTCTATAGTATAAAATGTATGTGTATTCAAAAAATATCTTAATTCAACCTTAAACTTTTTAAAATTATGAGATGAGTTCTTGATCTCTATGGGCAGTTTATTAAACATTTTTATACCCGCGTAGTAAACTCCTTTTTGAAAACTAGTTAAGTTAGCTTGAGGTAGATAAAGATCTTGTCTATGTCTGGTATTTATAGCATGAGAGTCAATATTTGATGAAAAAAGATGTTTATTCTGCAATACAAATATTAACAATGAAAATATGTATTGCGATGCAAATGGTAAAATGTTTAACTCTTTAAATATGTTTCTACACGAAACTCTGTTACCATATCCCAACATCGCTCTGATGGCTTTTTTTTGGAGAAGAAAAACACTAGAACTATGGGAAGAATTTCCCCAAAAGATGATACCATAGCTCAATAAGGAGTGAAAGAAAGAGTAATAAATTGCCTTTAAGGCTGTAATAGACAAATACTGTTTCATATTTCTTATTACATAACAAGCCTTGCTTAATTTTTTTACAAGTAGTTCAATGTGATTCTTCCATATTAGGGCACTATCAACTACGACTCCCAAGAATTTAGTACTTAAGGTATTGTTGATAAAATTATTGTTATAATTTATTGTAAAAGTATCTGATATTGTTGCCTTGGTTTTAAATTGAATACAATGTGTCTTATTAAAATTCAGGGATAGTTTATTTGCTCTAAACCATCTATTTAAAATTTCAATTGTTGTAAGAATATTCCTACTAAGATCATTTATATTAGAATGTGAAAATAAAATGCTAGTATCATCAGCAAAGATTACGGGTGTAGAAAATCTATTTAATACTTTAGGCAAATCATTTATATATATGAGAAACAACAAAGGTCCCAATACCGACCCTTGTGGCACTCCCTGCCTAATATTGAGCCATTCTGAGGATACTGTATTTACATCATTCTTATGTATTACTGTTCTGATATATCTGTTACTTAAATAAGATTCATAAAGTGCTTGATCTTTCCCAGTAATACCATAAAATTTAAGTTTGGTCAACAAAATATCATGATCAACGCAGTCAAAGGCTTTCTCTAAATCACAAAAAACCCCTGCCACTAATTGTTTGTTGTTCATAGAATTTAAAATCTCTGTAGTCAATTTGTAAATTGCATTATCTGTTTTTAATCCTTTCCTAAATCCATATTGTTCACTACTTAGGATATTATACTTATTAAGATGTTCTAAAGTTCTTGTATATATTATAGTTTCAAATATTTTTGAGAAAGATGTCAAGAGTGATATGGGTCTATAATTAGTCACATCCCATGTATCACCATTCTTATACAGAGGATTTATTATCGCATATTTTAGTCTATCAGGAAAAACTCCTCCCCTTAACATTTTATTGCATATGTAATTTATAGGTGAAATTATAAATGGCGAGCATAATTTTAAAATAATAGATGATATCTCATCATATCCACAAGAATTTTTTGGTTTAAGAGATTTTATTATATTCTCTATTTCTTTAATTGTAGAGCAGTTATAATTTATATTTGGATATGAGTTTATAAAATCTTGATTCATATAATGCATAAAATTTACTTCATTTTTTTGATCATTCATAGGTATGGAATTTTTATTAACATGTCTTTTTATTTTATCAGCAACATTGGCAAAATATTTATTAAACTCCCCTACAACCTCTTGTTGATTATTCAATATTTTACCATCTATTTTTACTGCACTGATTTCTATCCTGCTTGTACTCCTACCCACTTCTTTCTTTATAATACCCCAAGTAGTTTTTATTTTATTGTGGGAGTATAGGATACATTTATCATACTCCATTCTTTTTGCCTTTTTTATAACAGTACTCAGTAGTTTAGAATAATTTCTATAATAAACTCTAAAATTAGGATCCTTATTGTTTCTTAATTCATTGTAGATTTCTCTTTTATGTTTACAGGATTTCATTATTCCTGGTGTAATCCATGTATTGTTTTTTTGAACACTTTTTTTCTGAATTAGAGGGAAACTGGAATAATATGTTCTCAAAATTATATTTAAAAATAAGTTAAAACTCTTGTTAACATCATTTTCATCAAAGACTGATTCCCATGATTCCTGACTTAGTTGTAATTGAAAATTTGCTATGGTGTCATTATTTATCATGCGTTTCATGTAAGTATATTGTTGTTGTACCTGCTTCTGTACTTTATGTAATGTTAACAACTGAGCATCATGATCTGATAGTCCATTTACTAGTGGATATATATCATATTTATCAATTCTAGTTGTATCAATAAAAAAATTATCAATTATAGTACTTGTGGAAATGTCCACTCTAGTAGGAAATGTTACAATACCAATAAGATTATAAGAAAACAAGATAGCATCTAATTGCTTTTTCCTACTATCATCATTTAAGTAATTTACATTTATATCACCACATATAATTATATTATAACTCTCATGATATAGCTTATGCAAAATCTTATCTAGTTTCTCTAAAAAATTTGTAAAATTACCCGATGGAGACCTATAAATGGTTAATATACAAAGTTTTTTTCCTCCTAATGAGTTCCTAGGCAGTCGAATTGCACATGCTTCAATGTCTTTATCAATGGTGAATTTTTCTAAATTTATGGTATTGTATTTTAATTTGCTATGTACAAATATGCTTACCCCTCCTTTTTGGAAAGATTTCCTACAATATTTAGCACCCAGCGTATAATCACTAAAATATGTCACATCAAGTTCAAAATCTTTTAAATGATGCTCAGACATACATATAATATGTGGTGGATCATGGGATAAATGACAATATAGTTCATCTAATTTGTTTCTTGCTCCTCTAATATTTTGATGAAAGACTTTCAAAGATGATTTTGATATGACCTGTTTATCTATTAGCCCATCATCCATAAAAAATCTTTATTTCTATTTACCGGATTTCTTTTCTGCCTCTTTGATACTCTAACTTCCTTATTAGCTATTTCACTGTTTACTTCATTTACAAAATTCTTTTTTACCTCTACTTGATTTAACTCTTCATGACCTTTCCATTTTAACATAATGGGAGCCTCATTATGCTTTACCAGGATTGTTTTTACATTTTGCCCTAAAAATATAGCCATCTTTTCTCTACCCGAAACATTCAAGTGCATACCATGACGTGTGAATTCACTTCTACTCAAATTTGCATTAATTACTCTCACATTACTATTTACTTTCATCATTTTTTGCATTTTTCTATTGAATACCTCGATTTCCTTATTTACACAAGAAGATATTTGTAAATCATGCCTATGTGGAACAGTTACAATAAGTATATTAGTATGTTGTATAACTGATACAAATTTCTTCAAATGACTGAGTCCAACATTAGATTCATTCTTGCTGATGTCATTAATACCTCCACATACTATCACTGCGTCATTTTTACTCAGTGCTTTTATTCCATTGGTATTCAATTTTACTATATTTTCAAGCCTAGCACTTGGCATCACTGTTCCCATGATTTCAAAATCCTCGCCAAGATAATTTGATATACTGGCAGCATAACCCCTTGCATGACTATCACCAATAATTAATATTTTATTTCTCTTTCCGTTGAGAGGATAGTTTTCCTTATTTCCTCTTTGTACTAATTTACTTGAAGTTTTTATGTCCTTATCTATTTTGTCAGTTTTTATTTCATTAATACAATTTAACACACAGCTTCTCTTCGTATTTATACCATCCGATTTCACACTTTTTTGCAATTCACGTCGATTCAATACCACCCGTATAGGATTCAATTCTGTTTGCTTCATACATGCATCAGATTTCCTTGCACCTTTAACAACATCTGACCATGCAGGATATTTGTTGTCTACTTGTTCACTAGTTTCACTAACACACTTATCTAGGTTAGTTTCCATCTGTTCAAGATCCTTTAGGAGAAGATTTATAATTGATTTAGCAGACTTTAACTCTTCGAATGCACTGAGTAGTTGGTTTTCTAGAATAACACAGTTTTCACAGTCTATTGCACTTTTAACATTCATCCACATATTCTTGACGTCGGCACTAGTTTGAGTCGAGTGGTGAACTTCACCTACCTATAGGATACGAGTCTGCGTGGGCCCCCAGAACCAATCTGGAGGATATGGAAAGGAGAAAAATCGTGCCCTTACCGGGACTTGAACTAAGTTATGAATTAGTGATGAAGAGTATTGTGATTCTTCATACATTTCTAATGTATTATGTCATTCTTAATGAGTTTTTGCTCCCAGCAGATAACCACCAAAATCAGATTCATTTTTTAACACAACAAGATGGATGTGATCAAGGCTGAGACTAATTCAGATGGTGATGAGGATTCTGTATCACATGAGAAAGAAACATTGTTGTTGGCACTACCTGTATCAGAGGTTAAGATCGATGTGAGTACTACTTCAGACACTGGCCACAGCACTCAGTCACGAGATCCAGCCTGTTACAGGCTAATCCAGGTTTGGTTTGCAATTTAGACTGTATCAGTGGGCAAAGTGACACTGGATAACAAAATTTATTCATTGAAAATGTCATGTGATTTAGTATATGTACTTACTATAAGGAAAGGTATTTCTGGACACTAACTGCAGACTTTCAGGAACCACATTTAACCCCCCTGGGTCCGTCCACCTATCAAGTGGCATGCCTTGGGATAAGTGTTTACAGTTATCAATAATCCTCATCTGTGAACCAATAAGAAGTGCTTTGATGGTTCTGGGTAGATAGATGTGACATCACAGTGACAGTAGGAACTATTTCAAGCAAAGAATAGTATTTTCTGGGGTGTGATGCCATGTAGTCTGGTAGAAGTGCATCAGTGCTTTGCAGGAGCATACTGCCTCCATTCTCATAGGCAGAGAGTAAACCAAGCTAGGAAACAGAAAGGAGTGGCTGGTGGAAGACAGACACAGTGTGTTCCTCCTGTGTTGATGGAAATTTACCAGACTGCATGGCATTACATCCTGGAAGATCACGAATGCAAGCACCTTCAGTCCCACATTGCAAGCGATCTTCAGTTTTCCATAAACATGCACACTTCTTGTGACTGGCCTGTATCATGAGACCATATAGGATGCTCATGGATGTGAGTGGGTTAAGGTACTTCATGATAATTTCATCACATGATATCAAATTCTTACAGGACTTCCTATTCAAGTTGAGCCGTGCATAGCTGAAGGAAACTTGTATGACACACATTCTCAGCTGCAAGGAACACTAATTCTTAATACCAACATTGTAATATTTTGTCTTCTCTGCTATACCTAGACATTATTAGGTTATTATCCAAAATAACTTTAAGATTCAGCATATGAAATAAGATCAGTAGCATAGTCCACCACATTCGTAAAAATTACAGCAACCCTTCCTTCCTTTTGCTGATAGGAGAATGAACTAGGTGAAGGAATGCAAAGTACAGACCTGAAAGAAGAAGCAGAGTTCAAACTAAGTGAGAAGTGTCAGAAGAGTGATGCTGCTGCAGAAATGAAGGCTGAGGTTGACTTTGAGTTTGCAGATGTTAGCGAAGTGAAGCATGAGCCAGACGACAAAGAAGCACAAGAAGACGGTTGTGCACAAAATGAAGAGAACAAGGGGCAGGAGGAGAATATGCCAGAAATGGGGTTTGTTTATTAAACAGTAAACGTTATTGCCTCACTTTTGTAGTGATATGACCCCACCATAGTTCAAGCGGTTAGTCGCTGGCTTCCCAGCGTGGCGGTCCAGGTTCGATCCCGGGTCTTTGTCAAGTGGGATATGTGGTGGACAAAGTGGCGCCAGGGCAGGTTTTCTCTGAGTACTTCTGTTTCCCCTGCCAGCCTTCATTCCACCAATTGCTCCACAATCACCCTCACCTATCATCTGGAGCTGGTACAATAGGCCAGAAGTGGCCGCAGTACAAGGGACTTAGTCCCACCCCACTAGCAATAAAAAAAAGAATATGTATTGATATGATACGTACATCTGAGCAACAGCATCTCATGCCTGTAGCACAGTGACTTTAAGATTCCTGAACTCATGCATGTATTGAGGTTATGGTTTTTTGTGTTGTGATGTCATATGCTTTGGTACGTACTTGTTAGTCTTTCAAAGGAACATGCTCTCTTCAACTACCCTGAAGATGGAGGCAGCAAGTTGCTCTGAAATGTTGGTATCTATATACCACTGTACATGGCATCACAGCCCAGATCATCATGTTGTTGATATTCACTGCCATGAAAGCATCAGATCTAGCATATAGTGTATATTTCCAGTTATGTCTTAGCTGATGGTGACACATCTAATTAAACATGGCACCCAAGTGACAACTGCAACACTACCAGTGTTGCCACATTTTTTAATGGAATGATTAACTGGAGGCATATTTCCTGTTCAGTTATCTTCTCAGAATGTTATTTGCAGCAAGTACAGGTGAAATGCAGTTGTAGTGTTTAGGAACAGGTATGATAAAAATGGTAGTTGGGAGCTCTGCAGCCCGCAGTGAGGCCATTTTATTACCACATGATAATCAGCATTTTGACGAGTGTAGAACATCAGCAGAATGTTGATTGTCAAAGGAATAGTGAAGTGCCCAGTGCCACTTAATCCACTATGAATACCATGTGTACTGCCTTGGAATCGGACTGGTTGTCAACTAATCTGTCAATGGGAAACATATTTTCCAAGTAATCTTTGCCATGCTATGTTCATGGGAGTGAATATCTTTCCATACTTGTAGGAGGACACGTGTCCTTACGCCTTTTGTAGCATGTACTGAAACAACTAGAAATGTAATTTGACTTGGGACACTATCCAGTGTAATTGCTGCTGATGTGCTTGAAGTTTTGGGGGTTATGGAAAAAGAGGTTCACATGCGGTATATTTCCATTTTCATACTGTTGTCTGATCAAATTGGCTTGTACAGTGTTGACTGTGTTCTGTTTTCAGACCATACTTCAAGCCTGTTCTCAGAAATGGACCCTACAGTAGATCCAGTGATGGTCTATACATCTGTAAAGTATGCAACAAAAGTTTTGGTGATAATTTCAATCTGACAATTCACTACCGGATACACACAGGAGAACGTCCACATGTATGCAATGAATGTGGGAAGTGTTTCACACAGTTTAGTAACCTTAAGATTCATAGCCTCGTTCATACGGGTGAACGTCCACATTTGTGTAAAGAATGTGGGAGGAGTTTCCGACGAGCAGCACATCTGCAGAAACATGTTCTCCTACATACAGGGCAAAGACCTCATGCATGCATTGTCTGTTCAAGGACATTTGTATGCCTTACAGATCTGAAAAACCATGCCTTTATACACACAATGGACCGGCCACATAAGTGTGAGTTGTGCACGAAAGCTTTTGCAACACCAGCACGACTACGAAGACATCAGTTCACACACAAGAATTCTGCATGAGGTTAGACAGACAATCCTGAGAGAACATTGAGACTTGCCTGTTGTGTTGAGACCCATCTGGAAACACGAGAAACTGCAAGAGTAATGAGCTCAGCTTTGCACATTAGCATCCGGCCATGTTCATGCCAGGGTGTGTCATTGTATGGCATCATCTGTTCTTTTTTGTCACACTGTAATCATTCTTGTATCTCATCCACCCTTTCATGCATTTCTCCTTGCCCGTTTGTGTTGTCTGTGGTCTCCTTGAAGATTGTTCAGAGTCTTCACAATGGAACTCTTGTCATCTCATTCCTAGACTTTCAAGATCCATTTTCTAAACTAGCGATGTGACCTCACTGTGGATGAAATGTAACCCAGTAGTCAGTACCCTGAAGCTAATGATGGAACAACAAGGTTTATGAACAAAAAATGTGAACTTGTGATATTACAGTTTATATCTGAATGTGTTTGAAGATTGACATGGAGCTCCAAATGGCTTAATTTACTTTTCACTAATAATGGTCTTATGATTTTTGCTTTAGTGAGACATACAGCATTGTTGTTTTCCTGTTGCCACAAGAGCCACACGTGCCAAGTGACACCATGTTTGAAGCTGTGAGTTCCAGTGCATGGCTGTGGGACAGTCACATTTAGCACGTGCCTTGTAAGGAAGATGAGATGGTAGAAACAGTTTGGCACATGCTTACATCTTTACAAATTCTGTTCTTATGCTCAGATTTACATTTGGGTTCAGTAACTGCTTGCTCCTGCCATCTTGCAGGAGGTATGTCATGACTGAACATGATGCTTATGCCTATCTTTTGGGGCTGTTCAGTAATTTGCATGGAACAATTATATGCACATTGTGACTTCATGTAAGTAAATAATGGCAGGTTTGATTAATTGTCCTATGCAGTGAAGAGGTGTTATGGTTAGATTCCTTCCATTGCTCATTGTGATGCACTGCACACTTGAAGATATGTCCTTTGAAACCTTCACAGTCAAACCTAGTTATGAAGGGAATGATATTTTGGGCAGAAAAGGACTATGCAGTGCATATTCATGAAAAGACATTCCTGTCCATATCATTAATTTGTGATGTCATTTTGCTGCTGTATTCAGTCCGATTGTACTCTTCAGTAAAAATGAGTAATAGAGGTATCAGAAATATAGATTGTTCACATATGTCACACACAGTTCTCTCAGATGCACAGAAATGTTATGTTATCTTGTATTCATGCCAGTTTTGAGAGTGCAACAAATTTCTAGCTAATGAGGTTTCTGTACTTTTTACCTAACCAGATAAATGCTTATGAAATATGAAAGCTACCTTACAGTGGTATGTAAGCACATCATTAGCTTGGATACATGAAATAAATGAGAAATCATTTGTTTTATTACCTCCTAAATCTATATGAACTTGTTGAAATATGTATCACATTCAGGCTAGAAGAGCAATATATGTGACATGCATGAGATGGACAAGAAATTAATAAAAAAATCCAGTTGTAAAATCAGAAAGGAAGAGACTTGTGGGCGTGTACATAAAGATGGTATTATAATAGATCTTAAAGGAACAGGATGTGGACCTAATTCATCTGGCTCAGGATATGGTGCAATAACAGAAAACAGTTTCTTGATTGGAATGGAAATGTGTAAATGTGCTAACATCCTCTTGGTCATCTATTGATTGACCATATTCTTTCAATCGTTAATCTTTCCATCAGTTCAGCTAATGTTTGCATTCAGGGATCCACTGTGATTGATAAAATATTATCGAATTCCATTACCATTAATTATCTTTGGTATATAGTTTCACAGTAGCTCTTTGTACCACTTGCAAAGTGTCAGGAGTCATTTCATCCAGTGATTTCACCTTAGGCTTTTGTGTGGTTTATGGTTAGATTCTAAATTGTCCTTTTTATGGAGATGTAGTTTGTTCCCTTGATCTGGCCATATATTCCCGTGTGTCTGCTAACGGTTGAATAATTATCTTTTGAGGCATTCCCTCGGTGATCATTTTTCCAGTGCAAACTGCTCTCACAATTGAGAGCATCAGTTTCTTCAAAGCTGTATGCTGATAAGTCTGAGAGTGAAGTCTGTACACACAACCAGGGAGTGTTTGATGTTCCTTCTCAATATTACATCTGTTTTGTCTCTCATGGATACCATGAATTAGTATATTTGGGTAACAGAATGATGGTAAAATGTTAAAAGAGTTATGGTCTACTGGGATGTGACACTCTGTAGTTACCAGTGTTTTGGACAGACTGCCTTCCTCAGTCTTCAGGATAGAATAAATGAACCAAGCAGGAGAAATGGTCTGGAACGAAGTAAACCAATGACCTTAAGTGGCCTATTTTGCCACCAGGGAAGAAGGAAGAGGTATAAGAGCATGGAAGTTACGGAAAAGAGGTTAATAGAATTTAAGCAAGGAAGGGTAAGAGGAAGCAGGTGAAAGGAAAACACATTATGAAGAAAACTGAAGTGAGAGGGACAAAGAGAAAAAAAAAACGATCCTGAAAAATGTCAGTTAACAAACGCCCTGTATATTGTGTACAGTAGCATCTCATCCTACCATATTATATTTAAGCATCCTGTTGCACTCTACACAATAAATGATACAAACTCTGTCCCAAGTGCAAACAATATATATTATATGTCTTTGATCTTGCTCTCTTCTACACTACATGTTTCGGCCTCTAACGACCATCATCAGGTGTATACTCTTACGTTGCTGCCACACTGAACCCAGTCTAAAATTTAACATTTAAAAAACACATTGTTATTTTCTTTGTTATTATCAACATCTACCTTGTTGATATCTGTCTGGTATGTAGATTATTTTGCACATGTCAATTTTGATTTTCCTGTAGTGGCACTATAAAATTATAACTAAAGATTTTATAGTGCTACTATAGGAAAATCAAAATTGACATGTGCAAAATAATCTACATACCAGACAGATATCAACAAGGTAGATGTTGATAATAACAAAGAAAATAACAATGTGTTTTTTAAATGTTAAATTTTAGACTGGGTTCAGTGTGGCAGCAACATAAGAGTATACACCTGATGATGGTCGTTATAGGCCGAAACATGTAGTGTAGAAGAGAGCAAGTTCAAAGACATATAATATATATTGTTTGCACTTGGGACGGAGTTTGTATCATTTATCATCCTACCATGTTTAAAGTCATTGTACTCCTTTATTGGTGATTACACCACAGACCAGAAATTAGACACAAGAAGAAGTACACTGCAACAACAGAATCAGATTTATTAAGTAGAATTAGAGAATTTTCAGTTGAAGCATAACTGAGTTTAGTCTGAGTTGTAATATTTACATTATGCATTCTGCTGCTCAGTATGTGACAAAGACTGGGACCCTGAACATAATGCTTAGCAAGTCTTTTGTATTGCATACTAGAGAAGAGTTTATCACCAGACTCTACAGTCATAAAGCTTTTCACCACTAGGAATAAAAACGAGTATCTTGCAAGACTTCCAAATGGCAAAACTGCTACCACCCAAGTTACTTGTGTAAGAATGAATATTGACATGAAGAAAACAATAATGTTGCAAGTTGTTACACTGTTTGAAACTCTCACTACATTCTACGCATTTATGCGGTATTTTACTTTAAATCTTGGAATGTTCCAGAGGTTTTTACAATGTGTAAAACTTTTCCCATAAATCTCTCTCTCTCTCTCTCACACACACACATTTATATATATATCTTTTCTCATGAGTACTGTTGTCCCTCTTCAGGCACTTGGTAATTTATTTTTACCACACACTTCACAGTTGTGAATGCTGGCTCTTAATGTGTACGGAGGGTTGCTGTCTAGCACAGAGCTCTCATTGAGATCTTCTACTTTGATATCAGAAGTCTTGAAACTGTATGTGAGGGGAACGCTAAAAAAGTTAAATATGTAAAATTTAAGATTTTGACAAGGAAAACTAGTATGCTTGTGACAGTGCATTTGTTTGCATAAGCTTCTAATCCCGAAGGAACGTGCCTTTATTAAAGATAATACCTAATAAATCTGTGGGCTTAAGGAAAGGTCTTCATTGGTTGCATCCTGTTGTGTGTTTCAGATAACTCAGCACTGCAAATATTAAATATCAAATTCATGGGAAATGCTAACATGAATGATCACTAGAACATCACTTGATTAAAAGAACAATATATTTTCAAAACATACAAAATTGAACTAACACCTGCCTGTGTATTTTTGTGATATTGTTAGACTGTTGGTCCTCTCTCTGGTTAGCTCTGCTGTCATATATTGGATTTGCATAGCTCCAGAATCGACATAGAAACAAATTTAGATTTACAACTCTTCATTTCTCAACTAAGTACATAAACTACAATAATGAGAATAAATTAGTTTCCACATCATGAATGCCATGTGTGTGGCAATTACATAAATGTAGATTGTAAATTGTTTTGAACGATGGTGTGGAACGCTTGGGATTACTGGGTTCTTGAACTCCAATACTGGTATTGTAAAGAAAACAATGTTTTTGAAACTGGATCTGTTTTATCATCAAGTGTGTCAGAGACACCTACTGTTAGAAACAGCTATTTATTCTCTCAAAATCGTGATTGTAAGGGTGATATTTAATAGTCCATATATATATGACTGCCCCATAAATCTGAAACCACCCTCAAAAGCGAGCTATGAAGTACGATCACGTCACATGCAATTTATGCCCTTATCTCTTCCTACCATCAATATCTGCAAGTTTGTGTTGGCACGCTACAGCAGTACTCTAATGTTGCCTGTGATTCCAGACTTCCATGATATCTGAAGATACGACCCAGAGGATCATCTTGTACGCAGCTCTTACTGTAAATAAAAATTAATTTTTAAGACAGACCTCAGAATTATATGATATAGGATAGTTCCCATTCCACTTCTATCCAAAAGTGAATTATTTTAGAATTCTGCAGTCTTAAGGAGAGTTATGATAGTACCTTTCTGATCCTATTCTGTTTAAACATAACTTCAAGAAGTTGGTGTACTTCAGGAGATAGTTGCTAACCTTCTGAAGGAGCCTGCTGCCTACATCTTCAGGAAGGTTCTCTTCTTCCTGTAATCTTAATACTGACTGCCATGAGAACGTAAAATATGACATTTCTCTCTGCCTGTTCAGTATTCAGCATTTCCATGTCATCTGCTTCATCTGTCAGTGACATACCACCTGCATGGGTGGGTGAATGAATGTGCAACTTAAAACATACTGATATTGCATTTCTCTTTTCCTGTCATGGTGTACTGGTATTATTTGTGTTGTACTACAGAAATGAGAACAGTTTTATTTTCTATGTAAGTATTCATATCTTTATTAGTATTTATTCTCAGTCTTATCGGCTATTTCTTTTAACAAGTTTTGATGGTTGTGGTGGTTACTGCAGCACTGTCATATTTCATTCAGTGGTTTCAGTATTCATATATCTTTACACAGATTGTTCAGTTAGTTTACTTCAATATAATTGCAGTTCATTTCTATATCATTTAGTAAACATTCAAAGTGATGCAAAATTTATTAAAGTTTCTGTTAAACGTCCTTGTGCTTAGATAAAAGTGGTGTCACAGGATATTTGGTTCTGATGTAAATGGAACATACAGTATAGGCACAATACGCATCAATTTGGAAATGCTTACATAAAAGACTGACCATGCTAAGCCAAGACACATGAACACATATGTGGGAAATTACATGTGAAGTACACACATTGTTTTACAGCATCATGTTACAACTTTATTCTGACAAACAATAACTGAATGTATGCACCAATTTATACATCATCTGCCAAAAATAAGAATATGGTATTCCTCCAAAATTCTTTGGAGCATTCTCTGTTTCCTTTTACAATTTCACTTAACAAGCTGAGTATGTCTACTCATTGTACGATTTCAGATATGCAGCTCCCTATACATTACCATTTACATCTCAGCTGATGCCACAATATGAAAGTGAAGCAACTGCCATGTAACATGTCATTGTGCCATAACTACTGCTTGTGCATCATCATCACAGGTATAAGCTCTCCACACTGGAATCCCCACACTTGATGTCATCTCTTGCTGTTCTTTTGGACTGGTGCAGCAAAGTGTTGCATCCCCAAGCTAGACCTGACTGAGGGTACACGACTTTCAACTATGGTGATGCCCCCAAAAGATCCAGGAACACCGTTTTCAGTAACTAATTCAAATTCTTCATACAACTACTAAGTCATTGACTATATGGGTTTTGTCCCTTGTTGAAATGTTAGTGTTTGCTGTTGTTTCACAAGCTCGTCCTGCAGTTCCAATGCCCTCTTCTTATATTTCTCAGCCTTTTCCTCATCCTTAGCCACCCCATCACCCCGTCGATACATCTGGCTGACATTTGCACATGCATAAATATTTCCCAATTCACAGCCTTTTTCTGAATATCTACGCGCTTTATCCATGTCCTTCTCAATGCTGGCTTCTGGAATACCTGGTATGTATACACCTCCAATGTAGTAGCAGCAAAAAGGGTTGTTCCCGTCACAACCTTTTTCAAGAAGTTGTAAACCTTTGCGGTGATCTTTCACACTCCTAGTGTGTGTGCCGTTTCCTAAGCACATCAAACCGGCGTTCTGGCAAGCTTCACTTACGCCCAGCTCGCATGCCTTACGATAATATTCGTACGCCACATCGCAGTCCACTTCCTGTGAACCTCTTCCCAGAAGCTTGTAATTTCCGAATTTGTAACAACTCCGTCCAAAATTATAATCCTCACAATTTGATTTATATATTTTCCCAGCCTTGGTGTAATCTTTCATGATGCTTTCAAGAAAGTCACCGAGTAAATGACACACTTCAGGTTTCTTTTCTTTGTAACATCCGAATCGGTATTCGATACCTAAATTATCTATGAATTCTTTAACTTGCGATTCGTCTTTCAGATCAAAAGCCATCGATTATGTATCACTGCAAATTATTAACTATACTGTCTCACTTTATAATTGCGGTTAATGATTTAACTTGTACGTTCTCCTATAAACATTCGAAACAATACGTAAAATGTTATTCAAAGGCTTCACGGAACAAATGTAATGTTACTCACGCTGGAAAAATATCTTGCCTGTTCATTCATAACATAAAATTTCATTATAGCTCCCATGATTGAAACAAGATTTATTAGGTATTTTGTATTAAGGACAGCTAGCATAAAAGCAACAGCAGAAGCAGTCAACGTAAACTGACAGCTTTCGATGTCTGCTACTCATCTACAGACTCTACAGAACTCTTTAGCAAAGCTGTACACCTGCACCCGGTTCTACTAAGAATCAAGAATACATAGAACAATGTTCAGCAGAACATAATCCTAATGATCCTAATAATTATTAAGTAAGCTCTGATATTTTAATACGGGAATGCGCACAATGTGCATAGAGTAATAGTTTTCTATTCGTGACTGTATTCGGTTATTGATGTGGTTAGGTTTTTGCATATGGTAATGTGGTATCTACTACACTTTTTATCACAGTGTTTACACACACAAGCTCTGATATTTTCGATGGCTGTACGGCAGGCATGGAACGGAGGCCAAACGGGCCATACGTTAGCGAAAGATCAGTTTTATTGTTATCATGTAACACCCAGTCGTTGAAGATATGGCAGTGCAATAGGTGTGACCAGTAATGACGGTGTGTGTATGCATTCGACTTTCCACGTCTTGAAGTCATATCATATCATATCTTTATTATATTCTAGTAGATCCAGTTACAGGTATAAAACCATTGGATATAGAACATGTCAAAACAGAAAGATGAGTTATGCTCCAACAGCTGTTGAAACAAGTTAAAAATATAAAAATATATATAACAAAGTCAGCAAGATGCTGGCAAGGCAAATCACAACAAGATTCACAAGCAGAACAAAGTCCTATATCTAAATTAACAATGCTGTGCTAGGGATCAATTAATATGAATCATGTCAAACATAAAAATAATACAATATAAGACATACACTAACCATAAATACATATTAAAAACTTTCTCTCAGGAATATATAAAGAATCAATACAAACACTGATAAAACAATATATAATTGTAAATTATAATGATAAAATTATTAAAATAAATAGAAATCATGTCCACTATATACACAAATCAAAGTATCTGCTTGTTTACAGATTCAATTAAAGAACTGTTCAAATAAATTGCATATGTTATTTGCAAGAATCAAGACCACCCCTTGAGTTCCATTCATAGTATTCATTTAGGGAATAGAATGAGCCAATAAGAAGAAACCTTTTTAAAGCTTGTTTGAATTTAATAATATTATTTGACAAATTCTTAATGCTTCGTGGTAAATTATTGAATATCCTAATCCCTGCATAATATACACCCTTCTGCAGCTTAGCAGATTTATTAGTTGGAAAATGTAAATGTGTAACTTGTCTGGTGTTAATGCTATGTATGGCAGAATTAAATTTGTATATGTCGATGTTCTTGGCTACAAATATTAAATATACAAATATATATTGCGAATATAAGGGCAGAATATTTAGTTGCCTAAACAATGGATGACTGGAGTCCTTATTCCTTGCTTTCATTATAATTCTCACTATTCTTTTTTGTATTTTAAAAATCAAATTTCTGTGTGTCGAATTGCTCCAGAATATTATCCCATATGATATAATGGAGTGTACATACGCAAAATAAATCATCCTTAAACTCTCCTGAGTCATGACTGCAGACAGGATTCTTACAGAGTAACTAGCCGCACTCATGATCTTTCCATGATAAGGTATTGTCTATAATTAATCCAATAAATTTTGTATTACTTGTGCTAGTAATTTGGATATCCTCATACTTTAGATTTATGCTTGATTTTGTATTTAATTTTGATGAAAAATGTACATAATTAGTTTTGTCAATATTTAATGTTAGTGAGTTAATCATGAACAATTTATTTATTTTGATTAATATCGTTTCTAACACCTTAACGTGTTCAACAGAATATAGATAATGGATATTAGTATGACGTTTAATGCTCTAACGTCATGAAGCGGAGAAGTTTGTAATTGCCAGCAGACGAAACAACCTAATGCAAGGTAAACACCTGGAATATTGTGCGTAACTTTTCAAATCAGTCATAACGCAACCTAATCAAAATAAAACATGAAGGATCGCTACGTTGCAGTGGGCACTTTAACTCAATTTGTTTTACTCACTACAATTTATATTCGGTTTTGATCGTATCAGTTTCAGTACGTCTGATGCAGTCAGCATGAAGTGGTCACAGAAGCTTCTATTGTTGAGTTTATGATGGGCCGACGTATAACTTTCATGGGAAAAGTATAAAGTATGCACATAATTTTTGTGAGAAAATGTATTAGAAAATGCTCGTTTGGAAGAACAAGATGCAGATGCGATCATGTTACAATAGTTATTAAATGGCTAGGTTTTGAGAATATGAATTGGATGGATGATATGCAGTTTGAGGTTTAAGTATTGGCATTATTAAATTTTTCTCATCTTTTATCGAGATTCTGTTCTAATAGGCTTGTTAGTGAATTTGTAATTGTATAATTTAATTGTACATTCACTTATTGAAATGCCCTCACATTATGTTGTAATTTTTTGGCACTTATATTACCAACTTTGCTTCCAGCACAGTATGGATGTGATTGGCATGGGGCCACTCCACCCAGAACTTCTCATAAAGGAAGAGAAAATGTTTGTCATTTCTGGCGTGATGGAAGAAACCGAGTTCTTTGGCAGGACCAAGGGTCAGGAGCTGGCTTCTGTGCCAGGAGGTTCCATAAAGGTAAGATGGGATAGCAGAGTATACTCATTACATCGTCAGCAAGTTGCACGTTAGAACTGCTGTCTACCACCCAACTGTGACCGTACATAGACAGTGACAACGTAATTGTAGTCTGTTGCCAGAATGTAAAGTTACATTCACTAAATGGGAGAGTAACACTGTCTTCTGGGATGTGATCTGGTAGGTAGGTACCAACATTTGGGGAATGCGCTGCCTCTGTCTTTGAAGTAGAGGTATTTACCCTGAAGATAAATCCAGCAGGTTCCCTTGAAGCAATACTACTGTTTGAGTACAGTGTCACATCCCAGAATACCTGACACTTGGTACCCACTGCAATAGTAACCTCACATGTCATATTTGTAACTCAGAATTTTCAGGAATAGAAGTGTGTGCAATAGGAAGATGGCTTATGAGTGCTGCCCAGAATTTTTTTGTTAATTTTAGACGGATTTGAACCTTACTTTTAAAGTTGTATAACATCATGTCTTTTAGCGTCATAAACATTTCGTTCATGAAAGCTGTTAGTGATATGTAACTGTTACAAGCCCTGCACACAGTTTTCTACATCTGCTGTAACATGGAGGGGCACAACACCATAGAAAATATGTCATAATACATATTTATTTCTGTGTATAATATTAATGGATTGTCCTGGGTTTAATGCATTTGACTGAACAAATTAGTAGTAAGAACTATGAGGTCGAAGAAGTCAAAATGATTAATGGAAAACAAGGAAAGTTGTATAATGTTATCCATTTAAAAGCATATCATAATAGAAAACATATCATGTATTTCAGTATATGATCATTGAAGTATATCAATCCACAGTTATGCAATTCTTATATCTTATTGGAATTTCATGAATTCTGCATGATGGTGCCAGGATAACAGCAGATATGCAGAATGGGTGTTTTTCAGAAAGTGGCCACCCACATCCACAGATGTAAGACCCTCTGCCATTATTGTGAGGTTTTCTTTAAGAACATGTGGTTCAGAACGGTTAAAATGTCATGGAACAACTGGAAGTGAATACTGAAAATGCCATCAACTTGGCAACATGGCAGAGACACTTAACATGTGTGTCTTGAGCAATGTTAGGAGGATCAATGCATGTGTTCAGAACAGTGCAGGACATTTCCAGCATGTCTTATGAACAGTTATTTAGATGGTATGCGCACTGAGACATGATGTACAGTGTCTTTTGTGTGGGTATAGTTTGAAATGTGTCCACTCTTGAGTACTATATATTTGAACAGGTTGAACCAAAAGAAGAAATTCCAGAGGTTAAGGATGAAGTAAAAAGTGAAATAACTGTAGAGGATCAAGCAGTGGATTGTCAGGATATGTTTGGCCCCTGGTAAGTCGATGCAGTCACTGTATGTTCTGGCCACTTCACCCAGTTTCTTATGATCATTTGCATATGTTCAGTTAGACGGTGTGGGTGGGTGTGTTGTAAGTACGTACTCACCACTAGTACACAGTAGTCATCCTGTTGTGTTAACTGCTCTTCAGTTGATTGATTGTTTAATGGTGCATTATCAACTGAGACCTTAATGTACATCTACACTTATTTTGATTGAGTGCATACTGTGGGCTTAACATTTTTTATTTTTTTTAATTAGTTTTATCATTCATTGGGAAGTTTCATTTGGGCGTGTGGGATGAATGGAGATGCAAGTATGATTGTATGTAATGAACTGGATAGGATGGAGATGGTAGAACCATGTGCTAGTTTGTAATTTTCCTGCAGTAGTGAGGAAAACCACAAGAGTCCTCAAGTTAACATGTTCTCTGATTAAAATGTGAACATTTGTGTCTCAGATACAAGGCATACATGTTGGTACAGATTTAATCTGCTAAACCTTCATGGTGTAATATCTTTGATAGCTGTGTACGTATGTACTTAGGTGTGTGTTATGACTCATGGTGAAAGTCATGGCCCAAATACATGCTACATGAGTCCAACACATTTATATCATACATCTCAGTTTCTTTCATAATTAAACCCCACAACACTGGAGGTTTATATGATTTTAATCATGTTTTATAAGCAAGCATTGTCAGTGTATGCAGAAAACTAAGATCTGATTCTTATTACCTTTGTAACTCATGTGTAGCAGCCAGTAGTCCTGTCAACATATAAACACTCCAAGCACAATAACAGTTTATCTATTGACACTGCTGTCCAGCATCATGGCTTCTCCCTTGTGATTGTACTGTCATGTGTTTCCTGGTAACGCAACAGTAAATAGTGGGTTCCAGATTAGGTAACTCAATTTATTGAATAATTTCATATGTCATAACTGCAATTCATTTCTCCACTTTCAAGATCTGTGACACACGAACAGTGATAACACTCTCAAGGTTAACACATCAACTCTTGAACTGCCTTGAATGACGTCTTCCTGACGAATCATCTCGAACAGTCTTCACTGCTTCCTATATGGGCTCAGCACAGACCATCCACAGAAAACACATTAACTGCTTGGCAACAGATATCATGTATTATGAAGCGTGTCCACCCATGCATTGCCTAGCAATGGACACCCTCCTGTTGTTAATTGGAACATGTTTACCTATTCGTCTCCTAGAAATGGCCCAATTTGTCACAGTATGAATTGTTTTGCGGAAGATTTGCTCTCCATTACTGTGCCATCTGCACAGTATAATTGATGAAACATTTTCTAAAATATCACCAGTATCTTTTCCTGTACCACCCAAATTTCACATGATCAGAAGTGTTTCCATATGTAACCTCCTATCTGTTTATTGTGGTGATCATCATCACCATCTTTATTCAAAAGGTCCAGTTCAACACATATTCATCCACAGAATTTCCACATTAATTCTGTTCTGGATGACCTATGTGTGTTGTTGCTTTTGCTGACGCTAGTGGCTGCCATGGAAACTAACTGCATAATTCATCAGGCCTTGGAACAGCTCTGAAATGAGTACGATCTATCCCACCATTTCTCTGATGGGACTGAGAAATACCATGTTAAACCTTAGTCAGAATAGCCAAACCTCTGTGATTCGAACCATATAACTTCTGTGACAACTTACGAGGTGTGTTCAAAAAATGACGGGAATTTCCGTATTTTGGAAAAAATATTTATTCATTCGTCTACATTAATGTTGTCGCCTTCAAAATAGTCCCCATTCGATATTATGCACTTACGCCAGCGCTTCTTCCAATCATCGAAACACTTCTCAAACTCGATTTTTGGGATAGCCTTTAGCTCTTTCAGCGATGCGCTTTTAATGTCATCTATGCTTGTAAAACGACGGCCCTTTAAGGTTCTCTTTATTTTTGGAAATAGGAAAAAGTCACACGGAGCCATGTCTGGCGAATATGGAGGCTGGGGCATCGTTACAGTATTGTTTTTGGCCAAGAATTCACGAACAAGCAACGAAGTGTGAGCAGGTGCATTATCGTGGTGCAAAAGCCATGAATTGTTTTTCCACAAATCCGGGCGTTTTTTTCGGATTGCCTCACGCAAACGGCGTTGAACTTTCAGGTAGTACTCCTTATTGACCGTTTGACCTTGAGGCAAGAATTCATGATGCACTATGCCATTAAAATTGAAGAACACAGTAAGCATAACCTTCACGTTCGAACGCACTTGTCGAGCCTTTTTCGGTCTTGGCGATCCAGGATGCTTCCACTGAGACGATTGAGCCTTAGTTTCAACGTCATATCCGTAAACCCATGTTTCGTCACCTGTTATAACACGTTTCAGTAATTCTGCATCATCGTTGACTTCCTTTAGTGATTCCTGAGCAACTTCCATTCGCCGCTGTTTTTGTTCAAAATTCAGCAATTTTGGAACAAATTTTGCTGCCACGCGTTTCATACCCAAAACATTCGAAAAAATTTCATGGCATGAGCCAATCGATATGCCAACATCATCAGCGACTTCTCTGATTGTGATTCGGCGATCATTCATAATCATTGCTTTCACTTTTTCCACGTTTTCATCGGTTGTTGATGTGCTGGGGCGTCCGGGGCGCTCGTCATCTGCAACGTCTTCACGGCCATCTTGGAAACGCTTATACCACTCGTAAACTCTTGTTTTACTCATAACAGACTCACCATAGGCCTTTGTTAACATTTCACACACTTTGTAACACTTTATTTCATTTTTTACGCAAAATTTGATACAAATTCTTTGATCCATTTCTTTTAACAAACGAAAATCGCCAAGCTCATAAAAACACGTCTAACCTTAGCGGCTGCCACAGACAAAGTAAGCAATGAATACAGCTGAAAATTTTATTGTACTTCAGGGGCATGTATACCAACATAATAAAAAAAAAATTTTGACAATTGGACTCTCCAAACCCGCGAAATTTTAAAATTCCCGTTATTTCCTGAACACACTTCGTACCTTGAAGTTTGGGGAGATTTAGAGGCACTACTCAGGAAAGGACAGCTCCAGGAGCTTTTTTGTTTCCTATAAGAATGAACTCAGCTTTACTTAATGATTCTTTCAAAGTAAGGAACTAACCACAGGTGTCATGTCTGTTTCCATATGTTACATATTCTTGTACTTACAGTTATGTGTCTCTCAATGCAGCTTCCAGAAGCTAGTGAAACAAGAAGAAGAAGAAGAGACAGACACAACTTCAGAAGACCGTGAACTGCCTTCACCATCACAAACTGTCAATCCATTTCTTGGAAATGCACAGGAATGTGGTTTATACTTCTATAACGAGTGTGCTGGTTGTTTTAAATCAACTGTCAGTATGAGGAATGAATGTTCAGATCATGCAGGATCATGTTATGAGCTGTGTGTGAATAATACCAAGGAGTCCAGCTGTGACCAGGTACAAATGAACATCCCTGTAGAGGAATTTGAACCCAAAGTCGACACATTCATTTCTGATTTTAGTCCATCTGTACAAAGTTACAGAGATAAACCATTGAAAATGGACCCCATAGTGAAACTCCCAAGGTTGGAGTTGTCTGCATTTGATATGAAACACATGGACAGATCAGAAATGGGGACTGACACTGGTAGGCTGCAGCTTGGTAACTTCTGTATCAATACGGACACCGTAAGTGACTCGAAAATAGCTACGGTTTCTGAATTCCCTACACTACAGGATGTAATTGTACATGCAAGTTGTCATAATTCTGTAAATGACTCAGGAAGTATGGCAAACAGTTTTAGCCAACACAAGAATGAACATAACATGCAGAGGGCTATAAATTATGATCAGGTAGAGACATTATCTAAGGGCTTGCTTCTGAAACAGCAGTTAGAGCATCATGCAAGTGGATCCAGTTCTACAAAGATTCCAAAACATGAAACAGTCAGTCACAAGTCACAGAATAGTAAACATAATAAAATCGAAACTATGGAAAGTACATTAAAACCTACTAGGAGGTTGTCTTCGAATTATAAGTTAACAAAATGTTTGTGTGATTGTAGCACATCACCCAGTGTGGAAGGAAAAACAGGTGAAAATAGTAGTGTCACTATTGGGAACACGGTGAAAGAGTCCAAGAGATTAGCCTCAGTCTTTGAGCTGAAGCAGCATTTGAGTGAAAACAGTTCTGCAAGCGTTGCTGAAGATGAAGCAGAAGTTGCAAGACAACGAGATAGCTGTGAGGCAGAACAGAAGAAAATTACGGTTATACCAAAAATTAATATTAACAGCATCCAGAAAAAAATGCAGCATTCAAGAGCCCACATAGCTGATACTCCATACTACTGCAACAGATGTAAAAAGCAGTATGCTACAAGTCGTAACCTCCAGGAGCATTACATGTTCCACACTGGAGCACAACCATTTGTGTGCAATGTGTGTGCAAAAATGTTTCCTACACTGATACAACTCGTGAAGCATTCTCACACACATGTAAGAGGCCAAACTTACGATTGTCAATTATGTGACAAGAAGTTCAGGTTCCTCGTCAGCCTCAAAAGACACATCCTGTTCCACACTGGTGAGAGACCATTTGAGTGTATACTGTGCAATAGAAAGTTCTTCACTTTGCTCCATCTAAAAAACCACATTCATATACACACTGGTGAGAAACCATATGTGTGCAGATTGTGTTGGAAGGGATTCTCATCACCTTCAAGCCTGAGGAAGCATCGTTTTCACCATGCACGAAGACAGTCCTATTTGTGCAAATTTTGTAACATTGAGTTTGGAAGGTACAAGCTATTCATGAGGCACGTCGAGACACACAAGAGTAGGAAGTATGAATGTAGTGAGTGTCACAAAGTGTTCTCAAGTCTCATGCTGGTAAAGAAGCATGCCAGAACTCATTCAGCTGTTCAGCCATATGCATGTACCCTCTGTAGCAGCTCATTTTCAAGATCAACTTCGCTCTTAATGCATTACCAGTGCCACAGGCGGTTTGAGCACCATGGATTGACTAACCTTCACACAGCATGAAGATGAGGCAGAAAGACTGATGACATGTCGTCAGTAATGTATATCTGTGCGTCACTTCACTCCTAGTAAGAGCAAACTATGATTCTACCTTGATGTAGCATGTAGTGTGCTTTTGGACTTCGCAGATAACTGCAACCCGTTTTACAAATACATGTTGATCAAAGTTCAAATGGGAACTGCTGACATATACTATACAGCTACTGCTGAATTAGGCACATTTCTAGTGAGTTATCTGTCCTCCAATAGATGTCATGTAGTTACCAGAAAGCCTCACAAGCTGTTGTACATGTTTGAAGGATCAGACTGACTTTCAACATAACTTGATTTATTTCCAGGCGAAACATCCTTAACTATGGGATTTACATGCCCAGCACTGATTGTGTTAGGGCTCATGCACTAAGTGCAGATGAAGTCCTTTGGACCTACAACAGATTGGTTATATCTCTAAAGGTTTTGAATGTGGTTAATTGTGTGACTATTGTTTTGGACATTGCAGGTTGTATTTGATATGCACACCATTTTGGACACTGGATGCAGTTCCATCTGTGTAAGGAGATAAGAATTTTACTCAGTTTGGTTCAATGTTTGAGGTTAGTTTTTTGTAAGCAGTCAAACTGCGTAAGATCCTTCTCTCCTTACACAGGTGGAATTGGATCCATTGTCCAAAATGGTGTATCATATGTATCCCAGACACTGGGACGGTGTCCAACGTAATGTTTGCATAATTAGTACACATTCTTATTGTTGTTGGTAAAGTGGTTATGATGGGCAGGCCATTTTACTTTTGTTCATTGTTCATTGTTCATCTATTTCAAAATGGGTATGCCAAGAAATGTGTATAGAAATAGATTAAGGAATGACTGTAATGAAATCACTCGTACGACAAAGAGAAAGATATGAGGATAATATTAAATTGTAACTTCATTGAATAATTTCTGAAGCTGTGAAGTGAATGGGTCCAATAATGCAATTTGATGCCAAACTCTTGAGTTTTGTTGTCAGAGAGCTGGGTACATCATATACAGAGTTGAACATGTTATTTTTACCTGTCAGTGATGCATACTCCTACACACATTGCTGAAAAGTGGGCATTAATTCTGCTTCGTACTTAAGAGGTTCAGAGTTCAAATCTCAGCACAGAAGTTGGCTAGCTTCCCCTGAGGTTTCTTGTATGTATTCTTTATTTCAGTCCCTGAAGGGAAATTCTGAATAAACCTCAATTATGTCATGATTGCTTCCTTCCATATTCTTACCAGTTCAGGTTTGACCGAACATCCTATCATTTATTCAACACTGTGTAGGCACTGACAGCAATGTTAACCATACTGTGAGCAGCTATATAATAACATAAGAGGAACAAACAGGACCCTGGACAAAATTACATAATGAGGACCTTCATACTTCAAGCTCCACATCAAATTACATGAAGAAGGATTAGATGAGTGGGGCATGTAGCATGCATCGGAGGGAAGAGATTTGCGAAGACTGAGTATGCTGATAAAATATGAAGGAAGAAGACCACCTGAGAAACATAGGTGCAGTTGGAAGAATAATATTAAAATTGATCTTGAAGAAATGGGGAGATATAGACTGGATTCATCTGGCACAGGATAGGGACCTATGACAGGCCCATGTGAATGCATTGATGAACCTTCTTGACCTGCTAAGTAACTGATAACATATAAACAAGGACTCTGCTGCATTTAGTAACTTAGTAAATAAATTGTTTACTCCTGTGTTATTTCCCAGAAATAATATAATCGTATTTGTTCCTAGATGGATGTCCCTTGTAGATGGGCTTAATAGGTGCCAATATTCACATGGATAGTAATTACTTAACCCTTTCAAAATGGAACCAAACTTGATGTGGATAGTAATTACTTAACCCTTTCAAAATGGAACCAAACTTGATGTGGATAGTAATTACTTAACCCTTTCAAAATGGAACCAAACTTGATGTGGATAGTAATTACTTAACCCTTTCAAAATGGAACCAAACTTGATGATATTTTATAACTCAATTTCCTCTGGCATGTTCATTGTGAAGATCAGTTAGCTAGCAAAACAGTATTTTCTTTTCTGGGAATTAGACTAACTCAGTGAATGCACACTGTGGATCTGAAGCCGAGTTGTTGAGTGTTATAACATGGTTTGGTAAGTATAGTTACCATTGTCCAATAAACATTTAGAATAAAGATGTTGAGAAGTAGTATTGGGTTTGAGGTTATCACAGTGGTGGCTATGAACGATACTGTGACATGACTGACACCTTAAAGCCAGAGTAGACCTTCACTGCTAGGCAACTACTTGATAAACAGGTTCCCGCAGCAGTGAATAAGCAGCAACAGTCAAGGTATTGTTGAGCTATTATGATGAATGAATGTATAAGGGGTGCGCCTTTTCGGCCCTTGCACTGCAACCTACAGTGATCTATTGTGCTTCCCCTTTTTGATTAACTATTATGATGGAAACGGTGTTATCTGTGGGCCTGCCCTGAGGCTAAATAACGAGGATCCCAGGCCAAATGACTGAGCTGCTATTTTAGCATAAGATATGTAAGTTAGGCAAGATCTGCTCTGTAAAGCCAGTACTGACAGAGGACTTGTGTATAGTCCATGCGAGACCGCCTCTGTGGTCTCGCATGGAGTCTACTCAGCCTCGTGAGCATAACCGAGAAGCTATTTCAAGGAAATAGCGGCTCCGGTCTAGAAAACCGAAGTTAAGGGCCATAGGGATTCATTGCGCGGACCACACGACACACACTATCCGCTAAAGTTGGCACTAACTTCGCCGACAAGCGGCGGTCGCTCGGTCGGTATAGCTCGCTTGCGGACTAAAACCACGGAGTTTGATTTTGTTATATGTGCGAAATATACGCTTTTCGAAAGGCCAAGCGTATGCATAAGAGACAAACCCATCTCGTCAGAGAGGATGCTACATTTGGACTATTACCGCAAGAGTTCAGTTGGAAAAGAAATCTGGTCGTGGGGCTCAAGGGGCCTGACGCCTAGAGGAACTGATTGGCGGTAAACCGCGAATCGGAGATGATTGAGAAGAGATGGCATCAAGTTAATTGAGTTGCAAGAGTGGGGCCGTGAAAAGAAGGCTTCATGTGTGTTGCAGCTACAGTGAGACTGGCTATAATTGCTGTATTGAAACAGTCACACCTTTGTGACAAGAGACCCACAAGTTTATGGGAGGTCAGGGCCCGCGGAACACGGCTCCCGTACGACTGAATTTGACGCAGAGCAAGAGGATTGCACGTGACCTCGGTATCGAGATTCCTGTCTCTGTGCCTTGTGGGTTCGATGCTGTATGCATTCCAGAGGCATTGAGCCTATCGGCAGCCATTTAGTACAGTGGTTATATTTCTACGGTAGCCGTTTAATTATATTTCGCATGAAATGTGTTTAATTCCCTCCCGCGATATATGAAGGGAACTTTCCTCGCCCCAGTAAATAGAGCGAGGTACACGCACAGGAGCCTGAAGGCAGGCCTTCGTCTCAAGTGTCCGGTTTCGTGTGACATTTGGATTCTTGAGGCAGTAACTGCGAGGTTTACTGTTCGCCGTTCTTGTCCGATAACAGCAGAAAAGTTGGAATGTTTCTACAATTTTAATAAACTCCCCTTCACTGAACTTCATGAAAATCCGTTCGGAGGCGCTTGAGTTGTTACATACGGACAGACAGACGGACAATGCTAAGCATGTAGATGCATTTCGTTTTGCACTCCTTGTGAATACGCGAAAAGATAGATGAAGCAGGTTCGTGAGATATGTCCAGAGGCTGTTGCTCGGCGCGGCGCGGTTAGGCAGCCACAGAACCCGTTCCCGGACCCTGCGGCGTGGCATTGCGGATGAGAAGGTGCCCTTGGTCTAGCCGGACCGGTCTGAAGGTGAGCCGGTGTCATTGTGGATTCTTCCTTTGACATTCCCAAGTCAGAGCTGTGTGTTCCTTCAGTTGTGGACTGATGAGCCGCTACTTACCGTAATAACGCGCCCCTTAAGTTCAGTGGCTGCTATTTGCACCACATGTGACATTTTGTTCACTCAGTGTATATATATGCTTTGTCTGCCTAACAATAAGCAAGTTATTTGCCTAAACGTTATAAATCGACTGGTCTTTGCACTCATGGGCAATGTGTTTACTGTGAGGTTCGAACGCAATTTTTATGTGGGCTATCATGCAGATGAACTGCAGTCTGCATCGCTCCAAGCCAAGGCGCAGACCTGCTGTATTGCTGTACTGGAATTGCCAACAAGAAAGAGCGTTGTTAATCCGGTCAGACTGAATAATTACGTAATCGGACTGACTGACCTGCCGACTCCGTTGTTCAGGATAGAAGTACGTTGGTAACACGGTCTCTGGTGCATGACCGTCTTCACAAAAGCCCATTATTATGCCATTTTCTAAGCCAGCTCAGCTTATCTCCTGATTAATGTGTTACGTAGGGCTATATTAATAGTAGGCTTTCTTCCTATCTACTCCAAGATCTTCCTAATGGTCTCTTTCTTTGCCATTTCGCAGCTTAACTTGTGTATTGTTGCTACATAACAACTAACTGATGTTACTGATTGGGGACCACCTTGCTTCTTAGGCAGGAAGTGGCGGGTTCGAATATCGGTCCGGATACCGGTACACCTAAATAGTTTGAAAGGCGTGTAGATAGTTATCAGGCTCGTCCCTCCTTCCTCTTGGCTTTCGTATTCACTTATTGCAGAACAAGTTCACATGACAATGAAAATCAGCATTAGAAGTAGTACATCGTTACTTTTCATAACTAACAGTTCATTTAATAGTGAACCGATTCATGCAAAACATAAATTCAGCCGTCAGCTTTTTGTATTGGTACATGAATTTAGTTAGAACGAAGCAGGAAGTTTGTACCACTGCGATCTTTGACGTTGGCCTTGATGTATATTTGTTGCTTGTAGGAGCAGATTCTTGCAACGGAGGTGACCTTCACATTGCAGATGCCACACTACATAATGTCTTGGAATATTCACGGTTGTACAGGATGTTTAGAACGAAAATTGATAACCTTACTTAGATTCGTATTTTATTTGCGATCACAATGTTTAAACTTTAAGCGTACAGACCCTTTTGAATGCCTTATAATTCTTTTCAGAAGTTTTTGAACAACTCTGCAGTAACAAATTTCATCACTTTCTGTCTAGATGAAGAGCATGACCTGTATGCTGACTTGTGCAAACAAGGAATTACGATAACTCACGCATCTTTATAATACAGTTTCCGTAATGGTTTCACTTTTACTTCCCGGCTGTGCCTTCCTGTCTCCACAGAAAGCGTCTCTCTTAATGTAAGTTCTGTATCGTTTGCTCATCACAAACAAAACCAACGGATTCAAACAGCAGTTCACGAATCGGAGATAATACGTGACCAAGTTAAGCGTATTGAAGTCCCAATCAGTGGTCTGAATGTGGACCTCAGTGATTAGAAACTTGTACAGGAAATCCGGGGTGTAACTGACTACGAATAAAACCACAAGTGCAACCAGAATGCTTGAGGACACCATACCATGGTGTGTTGTGTGCTTCAGCCCCGTCCCCTCGCCAGGGATGTTACGAACACTTCTCCTTATCCGAGCCGCTGTCAACCCTGAGAACACGGCAACAGTGATCACAGGGATCAGACACACCATCACGAGGTCAGATGTACTCACAGGACCGTAGTTTTCAAACGAAAGCTCGTAACAAAGTCCTCTGTTAAGGTTAGCAACAACACTGTGGGGCACGGACAGAACGAAGCCCAGTCCCCACACGATTGCTATGTGGACGTACTTTGTTTTCTTGCCCAAGTAACACTTGCTTGTTGAAGACGTTTGTGCGACGGCCATGAACCTCTGAACACTTATCATCACCACGGAATAAGTGCTAACACCGATTAACACGTAACGAAGCAAGTAGTAGAGCTTACAGACCAACAGACCAAATGACCAGCACGTGGTTACACGTGCGTATTCCAGAATCAGGTTTACAACCAGTGATACACAGTCCACAACAGTCAAGTTTATCAGCATGGAGTTTGGAAGTGTCCGAGTTTCTTTGTGCCTGATGAAGATCATTAGCAGCAGTCCATTTCCCGTTATACCAACGGCAAAAACAATCACGGTGATAATACGCTTCGACTTGATTATAATCTGATTTCCCTGCGCTTTAGAGCGGTATCCCTCATACCTGTGTATCGTCCCCTCTGCTGCCTTTACTTCGTCTCTCCAGTAAAGTACGTCAAGGAAGCGTGCAGTATGGTTGGGTACGATGCCATTTAGGAACACGTTTGCTTCAAAATATTCCGACAGGTTCTCTGCCCTCTCCAAACGAGTCATCAGAAAGTTCTTCATTTCCATAAACGCCCTGACAATGCCGTCCCACGCTAAAGTTTCGTTGCAAAAGTGCATTTCTTCATGAATTTGGTAAATTATTCGATTCAGTGCATCAGTTTTTTCTTCGTCTGTTATCATTTCTATCAAGCGTTCAACGACTCTCATCACAGACTGAGCATGTCCTATGCTTGTCCCATATAATTCTGGATCAAGAATGCTCAGTTCTTGCATTTCTGTTGTGTTTTGATCAAGCATTCTGCCGTTAAGTTCCTCGACAAATTCCTTGCATTTCTCCACGTATGCTCGCGACATATTGATGACGTCAAGTCCTGTAGTTTCATTGTTGCTGCAAGTGAAAAGCATGGCAGTTGTTATGAGTGCATGAAATTCGTCGCGCAGCTCCGAGGCCAGCCCCGCCAACTGCTCAGGAAATTGTCCACTGTACGAAATGTACTGATATTCGTCTACATTCTCATAAGTTTGTGTGCAGTTGTTTTGATAACTTGATAGGTCAAATGCAGATACGAAATCTTGTGAACTTATGTTTAATTTGTTCACGTTGTCCACATACGTGAGGGTCTGTGTAAAATTTGTAGTCATGATGTCTTCATAATCATCTCCAGTCGCACCTGTCAGCGACTTCGCTGTGGTCGCAGGTGCACTCAAAGTGACCGTGTTCGTCTCAATCGCCGTGACGACAATCGTGAAATGAAAGATCACCGCCTTGAAGATGACTTTGAGGCTGATCATCTACAACAAATCGAAAGTTTGTCAGTACTTCGTGAAATTATACATGAGGTACTCCTTATTAAGCATAGAGTTTCTTTTAGGAATCTGGTAAATACATTCATGTGTATGATACATAGGGGATGAACTGGTCAGTTTCACATTCTGTCCGCCTTATTCCTGTGTCCATTGGTCAAGGGACTATTCGAACCACAGAGCCGGTCTGGAGAGCATTTCGGCTTGTAGCGTGGGTCGATCCCAGGTTCTAATGTTTCACTGAGATGTTCAGGTAGCCAGTGGACCAACCCTTAGCTCAAAGGGTTAGGCGCCTAATCCCTGCGGAGCTTCGGGATCAATCCCGAGATCTTTCAGGCGAGATTCGGGGTGGACGAAATGGCACTGGAGCACATTTTTCTCCAAATCTATATTTTCAGTTCTCCCTGTGCATCACCCTACCATTACTCCATATCCACCTACCACCGTCCCCTGCGGTGTGCGAAACCACTGAACAGGCAGCACATTATCAGATCCTCCGTCTTTCAACTGGGGGCTTTATCTCTAACACGGCATAGGATTTCTTACGGAGTAAGGACGTTAAGTTTTATTAACATTCTAATGTACAGTGGTACTTGCATTAGCATTAAAAGGTTTTCCGTTTTACTCACAGTTTCATGTGATTCTCGCAGTTACAGCGATTATTTCCCTAAACCAGCTGATGTTTGCAATGAAGAAGCAGTCCCTTTTCTGTGACGTACTCAATTTAAATTAATTTCAGGCTTGAAAAAGCTGACACAACTTACCTTGTGTCTGTTCAGTCTTCTTGCCTTATGAGCCGATCGGGCCGGCCCTGGTAGCCGTGCAGTCCCGGGAAAAAACGAGGACACAGCCGAACATCACCCCGCACTTGCTCCACTGGCCGCAGTTGTCCGCCGTCTGGCCCTCACCACGGCTTGCCCAGTCGCGTTACGTAACAGCACACCAAGGCGGTCCCGGGTTCGTTACCCCTCGCTTTCCTGACTGCGTATTTCCCCAGGCCCGAAGGGCAGATGTTGCGACACTACCAAAATATGCCACTGCTTCTTTCCATATCATCTTTTGACCTTTTACTCGGTGCTAACCGGTTGTCTGCGCCCTTGAGGTCACATGGTGCAGTAAGCCGTGTAAGACGCAGACAGAAATACCCACTGACTGAATAACGACCCTAACCGGTTGTCTGCGCCCTTGAGGTCACATGGTGCAGTAAGCCGTGTAAGACGCAGACAGAAATACCCACTGACTGAATAACGACCCTAACCGGTTGTCTGCGCCCTTGAGGTCACATGGTGCAGTAAGCCGTGTAAGACGCAGACAGAAATACCCACTGACTGAATAACGACCCTAACCGGTTGTCTGCACCCTTACGGTCGCATGGTGCAGTAAGCCGTGTAAGATGCAGACAGAAATACCAACTGACTGAATAACGACCCAACGTAACGCCAACATGAAACCAGAGGTTCGTAACAGCCCTCTGCAGCCTTATCCCGAATCAGAACTTTTGTTGCTGAGGGAATGCCACGGTAATACATAGGAATACTTCGCGGCCGCATAGTCCCTCGCGCTGAGTATGCAGATATTGCCTCATTTATCAGGCAATGAAACTGCTTCAAACTGAATGCAGTGTCAGACTGAGCCAATGTTGCACAGTCAGTACAGCGATTGGTAGACGGTTTGGTCAGCCAATGAATCGGTTCAGTTCCCTGTAGGAGCCAGACATGTCTCTGTTCTCTGCAGCATGAAGTCGGCTTTGAGCCCCAGAAATTCCAGATATGAACTAGAAAGGTCAATATGTAATGTCTTCAAAGCAAGTTATGAATTAATTTTGAAGAGTAATGCAGCTATATGTATGTCATGAAATACCGTTTTGATTTTGAAATTCTCTGACGTTTGGTGAATTTTCTGCTCATGGTCGGTTAACAATTTTACGCCTGCTTCCATTTTGCTGGATTTCGGGTCATGTTGAAGCTGACACTGTATGGAAGTGTGAACTTCATGTTTTGCCTGTCGTTCACCCTATTGAAATATCCAGCTCTGTGTCTTTAATAATTTATTGGTTATAGCCACCTTGCACATCATAGACTTTGTATGCAAAGTAAGTCATGTTGGTGACTGTATGCTTGTCTGTTATTGCCTTACAGGTTTACAGATGTAACCTGAATGTAATTTTCACTCCTACTATCTATTCACTGTAATCCTTCCTGCATTTTTAGTCCCGGTTTTCCATAAAATGTCTCACTGTAAAAAAATATTGTTACATGATAAAATGTAGACCTTGTAAAAATCTTTATTGTGATGTGTCTTAATGTGATGAGTTCATAACAAAGCAGAAGGTAAAATAATTTTTACTGTTAATAACTTCTCAATATCAGATTTGAATGTAATAAACGCTTTTCAAGGTCAGTGATGCACTAGAAGTACCAAGAAAAATGTTTAGAAAATATTGTTAAGTTTTATGCGCCATGTGAATGGATGAAGATGAAGTCAGATAATTTTAATCAGGTTTGTATAATAATATATTTTTTTTTTTGCAGAACATGGAATAATCAAAGTGGAACCTGATTCAGATATGTGATACAGATTATTGGAAGAAAAACCCGTGCCATTCACTTTTCTTCCATAAAGAATGAAACTGAGGTGAGCAGAACATCTGATTTATTTGAAAATTTGGTGTTACAACTTTGTAATATTTATTGCTGCTGTGAAGCCAAGTCAGCTCATCTCAACCCAATATAATATACAGATGCAGGCATGGTTACACAAAATGTGTGTATACTAAGAGATGATGGTTCTCTGAAGTGAATATTTTTAGGTATACCAATACAGCCATATTCACAGCAATTATACTTGTTATTTGAAGAATTCTTGACTTTTTTTAATAAATACCTTTTATTAAACCATGTAGGCTTTGGAAAGTTAGTGATCCTGATAAATTGATTCGCCATCTCAGGACAGTGGAAATGAAAAGAAAGTAATATATTTTCCCTTCATTACTGTTTGGTTCATATAGCATAGTTTATACTGCTAAATTCCAAGTAAATATAGTTCTCCGTACCTGTTCAAAATGGCTTAAAATTGGGAAAGCATGTTGTACTTCTCAAAGCAAGCAAATGGATTTGTATTCCCTTAGGTGAATCCATTGAGTAGATGCTCCAGCATCTTCAGAGGAGGCAAAAAGAAGGAAACTTCATAAGATGCAAGAGGAACTCATAAACATGGAGGAGAGGAGAGGTAAGCTGAACCTTCCATGTGCTGGTCCTTCCAAACATTCAGAAAAGTCAAATGTGAAAAGCATACCATGAAAATCAAAGGATTGTATGAACTCTTGAGCCAGAAGCTACCATTTTCTAATAGAATTTGTAATAAAAGTTTTTCTGGTCCAAAATATTTTAAATGACACATGAAAATCCTTACACGCCATAGAGAGGAGTTTGTATTGTGAGAGAATTGCATACTGTTTGCTCATGTCAAGGAGGAATTGTATATGTGTACTTCTCAGTAAAGGTCATTTCCTTGAATCGAGCACCTGCACCGGAGAAAATTCTTATGGTTGTGAGATCATGCAGCTGCTCTTACACCTGTAATCCCCATTTAACATTTCTACATACATTCCGGTGCAAGGCCATATGCCTGTTTATGGAGCATGCAGTACGCTTGTTGAACGAATTATGGGTACATTTGCTGGAGAAAAGTCTTACACATGTTGAATGCACTTTGTAGTATCATTACTGTGTAATTTGAATAGCCATTGATTATTTGGTTACCCAGTGAGAAGGTATGTATAAAGTTTCTAGTGAAAAAGAGTTTCCAAACTTTTGGTTGCTTAGGCATCATGTAGGAGGAAGAAATTCAACTGAAGATTTACACATACATGTGTCAAATTTGAAGTAGATTCTTTATTTTCTTAAAGAATAAGCCTTATGATTGTACTGATTGTTGTAGTTATCTCTGACTTGGTCCTTTTCAATCTTTGTTTCATTTTCTTTCTCTTCTCAATATGTTGTTGTGATCCATTACATATATCCAGCTTGGCACACCATACAAAACTTTTTCCATTCTTACCCTCCCTTAAGTAGCCCTAGACATCTGTGTCCCACCTGACCTACTTTTCTGTGCATCTTTCTTCGTATGATCTTTAGCCTTGTTTATTTAACACTGAGGTGAGTCTTATTTTCATCCATTGTACCTGTTCCTGCAAGTAAGTACTGTCTTCTTCAAGACAATGAAAAAGTGTGTATCCAATAGTGTGCTGAATATCTGTACTTAGGACGGCGATAGGTTAGCCGTGAGCCGGAGGCAACCATCCAGATGGCAGTGACTTGTCCATCAGTGCGCTGTGTATGGAAATGCACTGTTTCTGAAGGGTCTCCAACACAGTTTCTGTAGCCCTGTATGCTAGAAAGAATTAACCTAATAAATTCAAAAGCCAAGACCTTGTCAAAAGTTGGGGTATATGAATCTTTAATTTTTTATTTTGTTATTCCCTGTGGCTGATTATTAGGCTACACAAAGGAAACAGAATGATTGGAAAAGCCTAAAGGAAATTTACATTTGACTTCAATCACTGCTTACTAGATCTGAGTTTAAGTTAAGATCGTTGACCTTTTAAGTATTTCTGAAATAAAACAATGCACTTGTACAGGGACCTGGCATTGCGCAGTAATTAATGACGTTTATGTAACTGCAGGGATTATGCCCTGTATTATACAATATATACACAACAACAAAAATACCGGGGCCAGACAATATTGCTTCATGTAAGTAGCAAATGCTTTGCCTTTTCAATCAGTATCCGTGATCTCTACTCCTGCCAAATTTAGTTTACTGTTTTCTAATGTAATTTGAAGAATCGTGTTTTTCTTCATAACAGAGGGAATGATTATGGGTGGAAAAGTTTTCCAAGTTTTGTCAGATTAAGAAGCCTGCAAGAATTAAGCAGAAGAAATACCGCACACATGTGAAATTTGTAGTAGATTTTTTTCTTCTTGATGAATACTAGTAAGTGTTACCATTATTCTAAGTGCTGTAAGAGTTTCCTCACATGCTTGCATCTACCAAAAGATATTCATACTCATGGAACGTTGTACATGTACAGTGACACTTCACCATAACATGTCATAATTTTAATTGACATACACATTCATAGTTTTTTCTGAGTTTGCTATTTTGAAACTACTTGTTTCATTTTGCTTTAGTCCTTTGAATGTCTCATTGTCATCAGGGACAGTCTCGGTTTTCTCGTTTTACGAAACCCTTCCCATTTTCTTGCCCACATAAATTTCCCGTGCTAACTGTCCAATTTGCCCTACTTTTTCCTGCATGCCTTCTTTCATTTCATCTTTGGCCGTTTATTCAGTGTTTCTTTTTAAATCTTAGATGAGATTAGTTTCTATTCATTATTGCTGATTGTGCAAGTACTGTTTTCTCATCTGTCAAGTAAACACCAGTGTATCCAGTGGTGTAGTGTTGAATGCCTGGAACAGTGACAGGTGAAGTGTAGCTGATGAGCCACACATACCCATCCAGTTGGGAGCGGCTAGTCCATTAGTACAGTGTGTATAAGAACTGAAACACAGACACTGTATCCAGACAGTTTAGTTGCATTTCCACCATGAATTACATACTGAAATGTTTGCATTCAACCCTTTATATTCTTTTCACAGTTCTGGTAATTCATTCAGACCTGTGGTTCCACTCCTCCTCTGCCCCCTGTAGCCATACCAATTTTCTCCAGGCCCAGCTTTCTTGTCTACCTGGTTTCGAGAGACATATTGGGTTCTCGCTGCGGTAATGCGAGGATTACTGTTCGCCATTCTTGTCCAATAACAGCAGAAAAGTTGGAATGTTTCTACAATTTTTATTAAACTCCTCTTCACTGAACTTCCTGAAAATCCGTTCGGAGGCGCCTGAGTTGTTACGTAAGGACAGACAGACGGACAATGCTAAGCATGTAGACGCATTTCATTTTGTACTCCTTGTGAATACGCGAAAAGATAAGCTGAAGCAGGTTCATGAGATATGTCCAGAGGCTGTTGCTCGGCGCGGCGCGGTTAGGCAGCCACAGAACCCGTTCCCGGACCCTGCGGCGTGGCATTGCGGATGAGAAGGTGCCCTTGGTCTAGCCGGACCGGTCTGAAGGTGAGCCGGTGTCATTGTGGATTCTTCCTTTGACATTCCCAAGTCAGAGCTGTGTGTTCCTTGAGTTGTGGACTGATGAGCCGCTACTTACCGTAATAACGCGCCCCTTAAGTTCAGTGGCTGCTATTTGCACCACATGTGACATTTTGTTCACTCGGTGTATATATATATGCTTTGTCTGTCTAACAGTAAGCAAGTTATTTGGGCCGCGTCATAGCTCAAGCGGTTAGTCGCTGGCTTCCCAACGCGGCTGCCCGGGTTCGATCCCGGGTCTGGTCAAGTGGGATTTGTGGTGGACAAAGTGGCGCTGGGGCAGGTTTTCTCCGAGTACTTCGGTTACCCTGCCAATCTTCATTCCACCAATTGCTCCACAATCACCCTCACCTATCATCTGGGGCTGTTACAAAAGGCCAGAAGTGGCCTCAGTACAAGGGACTTAGTCCCACCCCACTAGCAATAAAAAAAGCAAAGTTATTTGCCTAAACGTTATAAATCGACTGGCCTTTGCACTGATGAGCACTTCTTTGTATTCATTTATTGCAGAATATTTATACATGACAGTGGAACTTGGCAGTAGAGATATTACACTGTTACTTACATTTCATAACTGACATTTCATTAGTGGACTTCTTCGCAAAAAAGTCAAATTCGGCAGTCGACTTTTTGCAATGGTGCTTACCAAACTTAATCGAAATACGTTTTCAAGTTGTGGTGTAAAAATGAGTATGAACACACATCCCCATGCGGAGTAAACAAAGTATTAACTTCCGAATACATCATTTTAGTTACAAGATGTTAATTTGTTTTGCAGTAGAAGTGACCTTCGTATTGTAGTTGTCACACTGCATAACGTCCTTTATCGATAATTCCTAACGTTACTAATATTTTTATTGTGAAATATCTGCTGAAAACCAGAATTGTGAAGCCATTATATACAGCCATTGCTATTGAACAGCTCAGTAATCATATTCGTTGCTAGGCAATGGCTCAGTAAGCGTCACGTGATTGCCTAACGCTAGAAGACTGTTGGATGCGGTGTTTTTTGTAGGGTCCGTGCCGAGGCTCTATGCCACAAGCGTATTAGCCCTTTTCCTTCTCAGAAAATTCAGAATCTCATTCGAAGGTGAAATATCTACATTACGGGATTTACAAGCAAGGGTGTCACAAGGTTCCGTCCTATCCCCCACATTGTGCAGGTCTTTCTAGAACTCTTCGCTGATGACACCTGTACAGGGTATATAAGTCCCTCCGGAAATACCGACAATAATTTAGAATCACTCTGTAGTCCAAATAGAGGGGTACTGTGATTCTAAATCATTGTCTGGGTTTCCGGAGGGACTTATGAATTACCCTGTATAGCTATAGCGAGGTTTCAGTGCTATTGAGATGTGGTGTAAGCGATGGAACATAAGAATAAGTGAGGATATGACTCAAGCCATTTATCTACTTTTCTCTTAGACTTGGGCCTCCTGAGGCTCATCTTACATTGAGTGGACGAAAAATCCCCTTCGACAATAATGTAAAATATCTCGGTGTAATCTTCGATAAGAGGATTACATGGAGACTGCACATGGAATTGACTGAACTGAAGGCCTTCGGAACATTTATTAGAATATACTCCTAATTCAGAAGTGAAGGTCTAAGCGCCAACATTAAACTATCCCTTCATAAAGCATTGATTAGGTCAGAAATGACCTATCCTTGCACTGCCTGGGAATTAGCGGCAGAACCCTACCTCTTGAAATTATAGCGCATACAGAAAGCAAGGTTCTCCGCATCATTAGAAATTTTCCAAGTTGCACACAGGTCCACGATTTGAAGACGGCTTTCAACCTTCCATATGTATACGATTATATATATAAAAAAAAATATGCAGACTGCAAGCAGAAGTCATACAAAGTAATGAGAAGGAACATATTCGCAGTATGAGAAGGCGAAGCGAGACATAGAAAATATGAGGAGGTTAAGCTTGCCGGACGGCAAGCTTACAACCGTTCAAATGACTAAGTTGCCGTTGTAGCATACTCTATGTGCGATACGTACACTATTCATAAGAAATAAACCTACCCTCTCGACAGAGAGGATGTCACGTAAGGACTATGACCGCAAGTGTTCACTTGCCAATATACCTATATCTGGTTGTGAACCTCAAGGAGTTTGGCACCAAGACGAACAGATTCGCAGTGAACCGCCAGTCGTAAAGTAACTGACTCTTGACTGTGACACCAGTTGAGAGAGAATCTGCAGGCAGGATGTTGGCCTTTGGAAGCCAGTTAGTACAGCCCAGAAGCTAGCAGCAGAAGGAAATGCCAGCGGTCAGACTGAGATCAGTGTGAGATGGTCTCCAACCGGCGAGGACGTGAACCCGGAAACAGAGGAACGTCCGCCTTTGGAAGCCATTATCAAGCAACGTGACTGAGAACATTAGGCCGCCTTCAGACAAGACACAGTATCCAGCGGCTGCAGATACACTAGCGTGAATACTAGCCTTCACACAAGCGTCTCAGTGTCCCACGTCCAAGACACTGTGTCGCAGCTGTGTCTTTCCCCTTCGGTGGCCGAGACACTGACTTGTGGTCTGGCCACTCGAAGTGTATTGAGTTGTATGCTAGCGTTTAGACGGGACATACAGAGTCTAGCGTCATTGATGAAATGGTGGATGAACATTTTGATACCTCCATCTGAATGACTGAAGGAAACATTAATGTGGGGTTCTGACGTCAGAGCCACTAAGTGTGCGTGTTGTGGCGTTGAGTGGCTGTGTCCCAGACACTAGTCGCAAGCCACCGTGTGTCTTGTCTGAAAGCGGCCTTAGTCTGCGTGTAACAGTGATTTGAGAAAATATAATCATGAATTGCGTGTCAGAAGTGTCCATTAAATCCAGTTACCAATCCCAACTCCGTCTGTAATCACTCATTTACTGGACAGTATTCCATCGGGAATACTTTACTTGCGATTATTGTTTTTAAAACGTACTTAAGCGTATAGGCCGAATACGGAGGGGGTGCATGACCTTACTATTTGGCCATTTATGGAAGCAGAGAATTAGAAATCAGAGATGTGTTTGTAGTGAAGTTTCCGTGGTGATTTCACTTTTACTTCCCGGCTGTGCCTTCCTGTCTCCACAGAAAGCGTCTCTCTTAATGTAAGTTCTGTATCGTTTGCTCATCACAAACAAAACCAACGGATTCAAACAGCAGTTCACGAATCGGAGATAATACGTGACCAAGTTAAGCGTATTGAAGTCCCAATCAGTGGTCTGAATGTGGACCTCAGTGATTAGAAACTTGTACAGGAAATCCGGGGTGTAACTGACTACGAATAAAACCACAAGTGCAACCAGAATGCTGGAGGACACCATACGATTGTGTCTCGTGTGCTTCAGCCCCGTCCCCTCACCAGGGATGTTACGAACACTTCTCCTTATCCGAGCCGCTGTCAACCCTGAGAACACGGCAACAGTGATCACAGGGATCAGACACACCATCACGAGGTCAGATGTACTCACAGGACCGTAGTTTTCAAACGAAAGCTCGTAACAAAGTCCTCTGTTAAGGTTAGCAACAACACTGTGGGGCACGGACAGAACGAAGCCCAGTCCCCACACGATTGCTATGTGGACGTACTTTGTTTTCTTGCCCAAGTAACACTTGCTTGTTGAAGACGTTTGTGCGACGGCCATGAACCTCTGAACACTTATCATCACCACGGAATAAGTGCTAACACCGATTAACACGTAACGAAGCAAGTAGTAGAGCTTACAGACCAACAGACCAAATGACCAGCACGTGGTTACACGTGCGTATTCCAGAATCAGGTTTACAACCAGTGATACACAGTCCACAACAGTCAAGTTTATCAGCATGGAGTTTGGAAGTGTCCGAGTTTCTTTGTGCCTGATGAAGATCATTAGCAGCAGTCCATTTCCCGTTATACCAACGGCAAAAACAATCACGGTGATAATACGCTTCGACTTGATTATAATCTGATTTCCCTGCGCTTTAGAGCGGTATCCCTCATACCTGTGTATCGTCCCCTCTGCTGCCTTTACTTCGTCTCTCCAGTAAAGTACGTCAAGGAAGCGTGCAGTATGGTTGGGTACGATGCCATTTAGGAACACGTTTGCTTCAAAATATTCCGACAGGTTCTCTGCCCTCTCCAAACGAGTCATCAGAAAGTTCTTCATTTCCATAAACGCCCTGACAATGCCGTCCCACGCTAAAGTTTCGTTGCAAAAGTGCATTTCTTCATGAATTTGGTAAATTATTCGATTCAGTGCATCAGTTTTTTCTTCGTCTGTTATCATTTCTATCAAGCGTTCAACGACTCTCATCACAGACTGAGCATGTCCTATGCTTGTCCCATATAATTCTGGATCAAGAATGCTCAGTTCTTGCATTTCTGTTGTGTTTTGATCAAGCATTCTGCCGTTAAGTTCCTCGACAAATTCCTTGCATTTCTCCACGTATGCTCGCGACATATTGATGACGTCAAGTCCTGTAGTTTCATTGTTGCTGCAAGTGAAAAGCATGGCAGTTGTTATGAGTGCATGAAATTCGTCGCGCAGCTCCGAGGCCAGCCCCGCCAACTGTTCAGGAAATTGTCCACTGTACGAAATGTACTGATATTCGTCTACATTCTCATAAGTTTGTGTGCAGTTGTTTTGATAACTTGATAGGTCAAATGCAGATACGAAATCTTGTGAACTTATGTTTAATTTGTTCACGTTGTCCACATACGTGAGGGTCTGTGTAAAATTTGTAGTCATGATGTCTTCATAATCATCTCCAGTCGCACCTGTCAGCGACTTCGCTGTGGTCGCAGGTGCACTCAAAGTGACCGTGTTCGTCTCAATCGCCGTGACGACAATCGTGAAATGAAAGATCACCGCCTTGAAGATGATTTTGAGGCTCATCATCTGCAACAAATTGCAATCTTGTAAGGAGACCCTGTGTTGACAAACCAATCAGATTAAATTTGTACAAAACAATTTATTAAGTTATTCGTCTAAATGAACATTGCCCATTTCAAAATAGCATCCCTCCGATGCAAGTCACTTAGTTCAATGAGTTTCCCACGCCTCCTAAGCAGGATTGGAAGTCGTCTTCTGGTATATTCTGGTGGAGTCCTTTACAGGCTTCTGAACGCTGTCACGTGATTGACAAGATTTGAATTTTAGGAACCAGATGACGAATCTAGAGAATGAGCCTGCGGAACAGGACTGCACTTTTTCGCCAATTATTTCCGAACTGACAGTGCTGTTTGTGCGGGCGCGTTGTCACTGTGAAGCTTGAAGCATCCAGCCGTCTGCCATTTTTATTCAAAAGATGTCTTCCTAATGAATTTCTTTGTTTCTTTCCTACCACCGCCTTGTATACATTTCTCTACTCTCCCATTAAAGTTACGTTCCCTGTCCATCTAATGCTCCTGCTTCATAATACCAAGTTCATAGAAACAATTAAAAGTTGTGAAGCTCCTCATGCAGTTTTCACCACCCACCTTCTATGTCTCCTCTTGGGCCCAAATATTCCCCTTAGCGCCCTCAGTCTATGTTCTTACCATGTGACCCGTACAAAACTACGGGAAGAAAATTTCGTATACTGTAGTTAGCTTACGTTTTGGGACACCTGACTGGAAGACAGAAGGTTTTGAACTGACCGGTAGCAAGCGTTACGGCGAATTTAATGTACACTTAAGTTCCCCATTAATCATATCTTTATATGTTACTGTCGTCCCCAAATACGAGTGTTTGAACTCTGCTGCATTTTCGAAGGATTTGTTGGCCTGCATTATGGTGACGGGACATCAACATGTATTTAGTTCTCACCGTGTTTACTTCCAAACTTGTGTGTAACAGAGCTTCTGCTTGCTTTCTTTCTTTCTTTCTTTCTTTCTTTCGTTCTTTCTTTCTTTCTTTCTTTCTTTATGGTATTTATGTTAGCCCCCTGTAGATTAACATAACCAGCGTAGGCCAGAAGAAGATGTATCCTATTCGGTTTCAGTCCCACTTGGTATTTTTTGTAACTTCCTAATGGCGTATTCTAATGCATAGTTTAAAAGCAATGGGGTTAAAGCATCTCCATGTTTTAGACCATTCTGAACAGGAGACGCAAAGAACAAATATTTACTCCTACGGATTTTACTATGGGTCTCATATGAACACCTGTCTAGTTTCATGATTGCCACAGAAACTTAGCTAGAATTTTGTTCTCAATTACGTTCACAAAATTATTCCTTGAGGCAGAAGTCTAGGCGTCAGCAGAGGCCACGTTATCCTTACTGTATCACCGTTTTATTATGTGGTTTTGTATTTTATTCATACTCCTGAGTGCTGTGATGTTATTGGCGTTAGTGTCAGAGTGCCCTGCAGTTGTGCCTGGACTGCCGATCTGTTCCCTCGAGTTTTCCGCAGGAGTCGACAAGCCATTATCATATTTATAATATCAGGTGCATACATTCCTCCTTAGTGTTAATTAACTGTGAATTTGATTCAGATGTCAACATTACAGACATCGCAGTGTATAGACGCCTGCCTATCTACCGTTGTTTTTCCTTGAATATTCGCCATATCGCTAGAAGATTCAAATAAACGTTTCATGCTTCGACTTGTGTGTAATAAAATCTCGTGCTGTGAACCGAGTTTGTTAGAAATGATCGACGTTTTATGCGACATGAAAAATGTGGATCGTGTTTCGATTTGTGTGTTCTTGTAGAATGTGTTCCGTGTTGTATTCGTAGAGAAGACACAAAACTCCGCCCGTTCAACTGGCAGCAACTGTACACTGCTGCAGCAGGAACACCTTTTATAACTGTCTATGAAATTAATCACGTGGCCGGACGGAGGCATGCTATAGGTATACCTCCCTATCGGGGACTCATTTGGAACGCATTCAGATCCCAGCATTCATTGCAGAGAGCCGAACCTCTGTCGCTTTTCCTCTCGACCGGCGACGGATAATTGCTTGAGGCCTAAATGCATGGCTACTTGCACACCTTGACCATTGGGAGGGGGGGGGGTGCTCCTCGGGAAAGAGCCATTGCCAGGATCGCAATAGTAACAACAAGAACAGTAGCAGTAATAATAATAATAATAGGTATAAAGGAAGATTGTTTTTGTACCTAACCCCATGTCATGAAATCGCTACATAGGGGATGAATTGGTCACTTCCACATTCTGTCCGCTTTAGCCCCCGTGTTCATTCGCCAAGGGACTGTTCGAACCCCAGAGCCGGTGTGAACGGAGCATTTCGTTTTGTGTCGGGAGTCGATGCCAGACAGCTCAAAGAGTTAGGCGAAGATACTGACTGTGGAGCCAGCCTCAGGTTCAGTCTGCTTAGAGATGGACGACATGGCATTGGAGCGGGTTTCTTGCCTCAAGTGTTTCCCCTTTCAGTTTATCCCCTGCTAGGCAATCGTGATTCCAGCATTGTTCGATACTCACCTACCGCCGTCCCCTGCGGTGTGCGAAACCACTCATCACGCAGCACATTGTCACATCCTCGGGCATTAAGTTAGGGGCTCCCTTTCTCACCCGGAATTTCACTTCTTACGGAGTAAGGACGTTAAGTGTTATTAACATTTTAATGTACAGTGGTACTTGCATTAGCATTAAAAGGTTTTCCGTTTTACTCACAGTTTCATGTGATTCTCGCAGTTACAGCGATTATTTCCTTAAACCAGTTGATGTTTGCAATGAAGAAGCAGTCCCTTTTATGTGACGTAACTCAATTTAAATTAATTTCAGGCTTGAAAAAGCTGACACAACTTACCTTGTGTCTGTTCGGTCTTCCTGCCTTATGAGCAGATCGGGCCGGCCCTGGTAGCCGTGCAGTCCCGGGAAAAAACGAGGACACAGCCGAACATCACCCAACACTTGCTCCACTGGCCGCAGTTGTCCTCCGTCTGGCCCTTACCACGGCTTGCCCAGTCGCGTTACGTAACAGCACACCAAGGCGGTCCCGGGTTCGTTACCCCTCGCTCTCCTGACTGCGTATTTCCCCAGGCCCGAAGGGCAGATATTGCGACACTACCAAAATATGCCGCTGCTTCTTTCCATATCATCTTTTGACCTTTCACTCGGTGCTAACCGGTTGTCTGCACCCTTACGGTCGCATGGTGCAGTAAGCCGTGTAAGACGCAGACAGAAATACCCACTGACTGAATAGCGACCTAACGTAACGCCAACATGAAACCAGGGGTTCGTAACGGCCCTCTGCAAAGTATTCTACATACATCTTATCCCGAATCAGAACTTTTGTTGCTGAGGGAATGCCACGGTAATACATGGGAATACCTCGCGGCTGCATAGTCCCTCGTGCTGAGTATGCAGATATTGCCTCATTTATCAGGCAATGAAACAGCTTCAAACTGAATGCAGTGTCAGACTGAGCCAATGTTGCACAGTCAGTACAGCGATTGGTAGACGGTTTGGTCAGCCAATGAATCGGTTCAGTTCCCTGTAGGAGCCAGACATGTCTCTGTTCTCTGCAGCATGAAGTCGGCTTTGAGCCCCAGAAATTCCAGATATGTACTAGAAAGGTCAATATGTAATGTCTTCAAAGCAAGTTACGAATTTCGGGGATCTGAAATAACCAGAATCCTTATGAGGTACAAGCCTGCACAATACGGGAAAAAGACATACCGTTTGCAAAATACCGTTTCTTCGGATCGATCACCTACAGTCGAGAAAATTCTTATAGTTGTGGAAAACATTCGTATTGCATTCCGGTGCGAAGCCATATGACTGCGTATATGCATCTGTAGCTTTGGGTTTTACGTTACTGTTGGGATCTCACTCATTATGTCGCCGGAGAGAAGTCTTACTCCTGTGAAATGCAGTCAGATTTCCTGTTTTATAGACGTGCTGCTCAGCTGGACAGAAACAATATGAGTGTAAAATTTGTAGTCAGAAGTTACCCTTTTTTGGCAGCTCAAGAAGCATGCAAGAATTCAACAAAAGAGGTATGCTGCTTGCTACACGTGTAAAGTTTGTGTTACACTTTTTCAAAAAAAAAAAAAACCCCTTCAATGTTCTTAGCGCAGCGAGAGTTTCCTAGCATATTATTATCTAACTAAATATATTCATACTCAGTGTAACACACTGCAAATTGTAAGGACATGAGTTCATTCTTTTAAAATGTCTTGTGTCATTTTCCTTCGATCCCTTGAATGTGTCATTGCCATCTGTTGGCAGTCTAGACAACTGCCTCTTGCGAGAATCCGGAACATGCGTCGAGGGCGGAGAAAAGCATGTAGTTCATTTGTTTCAGTGATACTGGAAACCATTTGCTACCTTCATTCTTTCACTATTCTGTTGCTTTCACATGGTATCACCATGGTATCGTAAAACGGTTTTTGTGGTGTTCTGTCTCCTGTCACTCGTGGCAGCACGCGACAAATTTGCCGTTCGTAGAGGCAGGACGCAAGACGGCGCAGTCTGGAACTTCCTGCAAATGAGAGAGCCCACGTTTAATAATCTGGTTGCCACGGCACGCCCGGTTCCGCGTCAGCTTGTCTCGGGAATACAGGGGAGCACACAGGATAGGAAATGTACGCCGGGTAGCCTAGCATTTCAGGTGCGCTCGCTCCTTTGCTTCTTGATCATCCCGAGAACCGTATGAATTGCAGAAAACGCTTATTGGGCATAAAATATATCTTTCAATTTTTTCTGTAGTTTCCAAATCCTTTATAATTCATGAATGAAAGTACCACCCGACGCTATATATTTAGGTACTGACGATGTTATGCGGGTGTGGATCTAAGGGAGTTCCCGTTTCATCAGTATTGTGCCATAGCAACTTCGGCTTGTAACGGGAAGTAGAAGTTTTCCTTGTTGGCACCATATCTTGTTCCTGTCATTCATAGCAGTCCTATTGTTCAAACTCAAGGTTGCCTAGAACCGCAAACATCAGAGAAGGTTCTACGTGCCCTGACAGGTGCAGTCAAGGCCTGTCGTGAGTTACTGTACTGGGAAGAACGGGAACATCTCGAGATAAGAACCAGAGAATACAGGAAGATTCTGGATGCCTAGAAATGTGTGTTCATTGCAATTTGCCTGGGCCAGCTTTGAAACCTTAAAAAGAGTACACGTTCTGGTTTCGTGCCGGGCGCTGTGCAGGGAACCCGGCCCCTTACATCGCCGTGGTTTTTGTACCTACCGCCTACCTTAACAGTCAGAAATTCTCCGTTTTGCCCACAATGTTGGGTTTTACATTATTTTCTAAGTAACCAGCTACGAGTCCCAGATGCCAAGTCCTTGCTCCTAATAGGGACTTGTGTTTTCTTTGAGATAAAGCTAAGGTGAAGTTTCTATGCACAAGATGGAGGTGAGTGGCTCATTTATGCAGACGCAGTCACAGTTGGTGACTCACACGCAGTCTTTGACGCAAACGCAGTCACATTCACACGCAGACCCTGACGCAAACGCAGTCACATTCACACCCAGACCCTGACGTAGACGCAGTCACATTCACACGCAGACATAGGCGTAGTTGCGGTCGCCGATGCGCACAGACGCTGACGTAGGCTCAGACTGATGTTGACGGTAGGCGGCGCAGACGCACAGATGCAGAGGCGGTGGCAGACGCGCACGTAGGGTGACGTAAACATACATACAGGCAGGCAGGCAGGCAGGCGACATACCATAAACCATTTTACGTAATCAGGTGGCTGAAAACGTAAATACATCAGAATCTCGGTATCGCTCCCACCCCATAACAATTTCTCGTTTTAAGTGTATGAAAAAACGAGAGGAATTATTGGACAGGATGCAGAAGACTCCGATTGCTGTTGTCAGCACAGAATGTATATAGATTACCTTTAATTAAGGCTCTCTGAGAGAATCTATTCGCGGGCACATTCACTGCCCACACTTAAGTATGAGGGCGCGTCCTCGCCACGTTTCCGTATTCTGACGGTAACATGCGTCAGTTGGTTCTTCCGAACACGGTAATGAATTTTCGAATTCCGTACAGGAAGGGGAATATCGTGACTAAGTGAGCAACGACACGTATTAGTTTCCCAATAAGAATTCTGCTCCATGGAGTTAGCGAAATGCTAGGCGTAGCGGTGACACTCATCTCATATTCTGGCGGTTCCTCAGTTCGAGTGTCGATCGAGACACTGTCTCTCGTCATTTAAGCTTTTAGTGGTTCTCCTTAGTTCCTCCAGACATATGCCTAGTTCATGACCGACTTCTTCCAAATCCTTTCCAATTTATCCTATTGTCAGCATATAATCTGAATAGCCCACAAAAGAGTTCACGAAGGTCTCGATTCGCCTAAACCTTAATGACATCATCACCATCATTACACAGGATATTGTCATTGTCATTGTTCTCACACCGCTTCCATGGAAATTAAATGTGGAAGTGATCTTCCTGACACGGCGTTTACCATTGTTTATGGTAAAGAGCAACCTATCATCATAACCGTCTTAATGCAAAGGAAACGGGAGAGGAAGGGCGATATGACGGACAGATGTAAGCTATGGGAGTGCAATACGGGACACACAGGGGATAGAAATACATGTACGAAAGTTTGCATAACAAATTAAGAGACCGTTGAATTTTCTTAGTTTATTAATCCATCGTTGCTACATGGGAAAACAGTGAAGCATTTGTTGTACTGTTTCCGTCACACGGCAATATTTTGTGATATCAGGGGCAGCAGCTCGCGCTTGTTCCATTGGGGTACTCTATGATGCACAGACATTTCGGGTAAGGCACTCCTGTGCATGTGGGGATGTCCTGCAAGCACAAGAAGTTGAGTGTGTATTGCTAAGTAAACTACAGAATGACGCGGGATATAAATATCCTCTGTTATTTTGGCAGGTGCTGCTGTCAGTCATGAAGTGTGTGTCCTTCATACCAGTATGTCACAGTGGTAAACATTTGTACCAACTTGTGAACGTTAAGGTACTCAGCATTTTGCCCGTAATGTCTATTTATGTTTCATATTATGCCGAAACAAGTCGAACGCAAAATCACGTTACAACCGGCGGTCTGTCGGCCAGTCTGTCTTGCTGTCAAACGAGATCCAGAACCCAAGACCAGATTTTTGTTTCTGTCAGAGACTTACGGTTTTGTTGATGTGGGGCGCTCGCTCTGACCAGAGGACGGGTCTGTCCTGTCCTGCGAGCAAATTCAGTAGTACATGGTCCTGTGTATGTCTGTCAGTCTGGGCTTGGCACAACAGGTCATGAATTAACTCCACGACTGCTTAGTCACTTTAACTTGACCGCCTCCACGTTTAAGTCTCGTACGTTTTCTGTGTTGCGTTCCGCCTTTTCCGATGTTGCGAACATTTGCACTGACAACATTAGCCGGTTGGGGTTTGTAGCGGACGCGCATATACTCTGAAGATGGAGGCAAATATACTGTGTCTGCTAAGTCTCTCCCAACAAACGGTGGTTGTTGCCTTGAATGACATTAACGAGTTGTTCTTTGTAATGGAGACATCGTGTGTTTTCTGTGAGATAGAAACAGAATTTTTAAATGCTACTAAAATAAATTAGCCGACCCAGGATAGTGTGGCCGATATAGCGACTGGCTACGGGCTGGACGATCGAGGGGTCGGAGTTCGAGCCCGGTAGGGTCACAAATTTTCTCTTCTTCACGTCGTCCAGACCGGCTGGGGGCCCTAGCCAGCTTCCTATGGAATGGGTACAGTGGTTTCTTTCCCCGGTGGTAAAGCGGCAGGGGCGTGAAGCTGACCAGTCACCTCCAGCTAGTGCCTAGGTTAAGAAAGTGTGGCTCTATACATCAACTCCCCCATGCGCCTTCATGGCGTAGTGCTTAGTTAGTTGCCTTAGTATCCTAGCCAGTGGTACCACTCACCTGCAGAAGTACAAATGCGAGGCAAACCGCCAGCAGAGCGAAGAACTTCATCACGCCGATCATTGTCACCAGACTGCGATCGTGTGGCTGACGTGTGTTCCTTATATGGCGCTACCACGTGACGAGTTGCTTCGGTGCGCACAGCTGGAAACTGATAAGAACTCAGTGGCAATCATTGCTTCGAGCCTTGGTCCCTTGCGTTAGCTTAACCACTGAGTAAGAACCACGCTATGTCTTCGTGGCGTGGAGATACAACAGCTCCATGCTTTAACCTTGACACGCGGTGGCGGTAAGCGGTTACCCTCACGCTTCGGTTGCTTTATCCCTGCATCCATTGGAAGGGAGTCCGATCTGAACGCTGTGAAAGAGATACGAATATGTTTCCCCTCCAGAAGCTGCGCCCATAGCCGAGTCACTATCCTGACTGAGCTATCCCAGCTTTGGTAGTAGGGTACGTTAATCTTTCTACACTTAAGTGAAGGTAAGGAAAGCCAAGTACCGTGTCCCGCCCTCCTGTATCTTCGAAACTGAAAACATCCGCATTATTTCCGGTCATTTGCCATTGCCGTTAGTGCACTGAACTTCAGTGTGTCCCTAAATGAATGGAAGAATGGTCAGGATCGACAAGTTCTACCTACCACTTGCCTCGCCTTCTCTTCGTTGGAGGATGGTATTTAGTCCTACTGCATACATTGATATGTGCTGAAGAAATAGTTCTGACGACAGAAGAATAGTTAAGCCGGAGACCTAACTCTCGAATTCAAATAAATGTGCAAGGCCGAAGATTCTTTGTTTATTGCTCGACAAGTTCACCGCAGCTCAGCCGCATCTGCAGCCAACATGCAAGCCGGCGACATCTATGCTACATCAGGAGGATACGCGTGTGCTTCCGAGCCGGTCTCGGCGCCTTAGCAGGATTAGCTCTCATTTAATGGGATGATGTTTGAATCGATGTATTTCTTTCAGTTTTACTATTCCAAATTGCTTTACAGCAAAATGCAGTAAACGTGGCAGATTTGTACGGCCAGTTTATACATCGCAGTTGGACGTAACAACAAACTAATCGGTCATTTTTCTAGATTAATTTGTCGCAAATTTTTTGGTATGTCAGTATTTATTGAAATAAGCTGCAAACTGGGCCGTGATATAAGTTCAAAGCGTGTTTCTTCCGAAATTAATTTCACTCATCAAGAGTTGATTGGAACTCTGCTTCAGAAGGCTCATAACCGTTATCACAAAAGTCCACCACTCCAGCGCATATCAAGTTGCGTAAACAAAGATTACTCCATCCTGTGGAATGTGACGCCGTGCAGTCTTGTAGGTATTTGCGGTGACCCTCGTGCCTGCGTCTTCGCGGTATAGGAGTAAAAAATTATCTGCAAGATTACACGGCGTCACATCTCAGAATGCATTATCTTCATAATCACCTCCAGCAGAACGTTCATTTAAAGAAATGTTATTTACTTTAATATTATCTTCCTCATATATTTTTCTACTTTGAGGTTTCTCAGTCAACATTCATTATTAATTCCTGATTTACCACATTCATGCTACACGACCGATTGTTCCTCTTATCGACATTAATATTTGTCAAGCGCATTGCCGAGGACACGCGATACTAAATTTGCCCCAGGATACAGAAATTCAGGACAGTTATTACTGGCGTGAGACAGGCACCCGTTGTCACGAAACGCGAGAGTTGTTTCAGTATTTGGTGACATAACGACGTCCTGTCAACTCTTGGCGTCGGCATCGGCAGGAAACTGACAGTATGACATGGTTACGTTTGGGAGTAGTTGATTTTCTGACCCTAGGCCGACAGGTTGGGCTATGATGCTTAGAGGCGGTTGCCAACAGATGGCACGGCAATGCAGCGGCACCTTGTATTGCTGAGATTCGGGCTGGCTGGCTGGCTGTAAACTTCAGTTGAAAGTTTATTGTCGTTGTTGATTTGCCGATTCGTGTCGTGTTGCTAAGGATCTGAAACAAAGCGGAAGTGAAATGTTTCTGTTTACTATCCCAACATATGCATAGAAGTCATGAGTAAAACCGTCAGTCAGTGTAGACGCCCTGTGGGACAAGCCACACCACAAACATGGCTACCCGTTTCTAATTTTACACCCTTCTTTCCTGTTGTTCTCCCAAATATTTTTACAGTGATCAAATCGAGGACGATGACAGAGTAGATAATGAAAAGTTCAGTCCAGTGTGACATACAAGCTTACAACACTTCAGTCCTCATTCACCTTACATGTTTCGATTCAAAGGAATCATCCTCAGAGGCGCACCACTACGATAAGGAAACACTGTCACATAAGATATTTTAACAATATGCACTTTAGATATGACTAATGCTCTCAATATAAATTTTGCTATCACGGTTGGTTTTGTTGTTTGTTTTAGGCACTCAAAATGGCGCTTCTTGAAGTGTAGATTTACGTATGATGAGTTTCTTTTAGTGTATTTCCTGGTTATTCTGACCGGGGTTTTTCACTGCGCGCAATATGGTGTTCACTTTTCCATACAGTAGCCTCCCAATTTATTTAAAATTGTATTAAAATTTCCACGTAAAAATTAGTTATTATATTAAAATATCTTGAGTCGACATTGGGTCATGTTGTTTTCCTCCTGATGGTGGGAGATCTCGTTTATTTCTCTTGATTTTAAGTTCTTATTATTAGTCGTGTAGTTCACGTGCGTGCTGTGTCGTTTGTACAAAACTGACTCAGCCCCGCGAAGTTAGTCTTACGGCGTAACTACGTGAGCGCTGGGTGCATGTAGGCCAGTGATAGTGGTTTCCGTGGTGACCACCAGCTGGCAGCACGCGTTCGACAGCAAACATATTGACCCCGGCAGTGAAGTTACATCCTATGTCGCTTAGCAACGCCATTTTTGTTTCCTCGTGTTATTTTATTTGCGTTTTATACTTTTCGGGCGCTGCTCTGATGGAGATGACTCCATTGCCTTTGGGGCGGGCGGGGATCGCGTTACAGGAGACAGGACAGCAGACGCAATTGTTTCTTAAGAACCCTTGTGTCTGTCCCGCGCTCATGGCATTGTACATAAGCACGCTTTGTAATGCCCTTCCACCTAAATTACCAACATGGCGACCGTGCCGAGCTATGAAATCATTTGTTTTACTTATTTGTATCATGTGGTCCATTTTCATTTCCTTACTCGTCAGTTCATTAATTAATTGATTGATTCTCTTTAAATCCTGAGGTTCGTCAAAATAATATTCAAAAATTAAGTTCTGTGCTCCGCGGAAATAAGAAAGCCCAACCCGGTTAATTCTGTTTGGGAAGAAAATCGAATTTATTATGAGAATCATACGAAACACAAAAAAGAAATTCAGTGTGTTTATTTACCAAATGCGGAGTGTCCGAATGTTAAAAGCTGTGGTACATATAGTAACCACTGTGCCTTGTGGGTTAATTGGTCACGTATTCGCAGTCGACTTATAGTTCCCGTGCTGTCCAATTATGTCCACTGACAGTCAGCTGGTACGGTGACGTCACGCTTCACCGCGTCATTAAGTCCGGACCGAAAAGTAAACAGCAGGAACGCGGACGTGATGTTTGCACGATTGCCGTCAGCACAAACATCGCCCCCGCCCCCCGCCGACGGTACCTGATGCGTCGTCCCGTCGGGAAACCACGCTCCAACTTCCCGGCTCGAACACATTCGCGCGGCCGCCGTGACAGAGGCAGATGTCCACAGGAATGCTGACTTCCTGTGGTGTCACACTCTTGCCAAGTTGGGTTACAGCCCAAAAGCTGTTCGTCTGCGTCTCCAGCTACCGAACGGAGAATCTGATCATGATTGGTTAAAGGGTAAGGATTTGGAAGAAGGCGTTCACTTCCATGCCACTCTGTTTCTGCCGAACTTCACCCTAAACAGTGCATTTTACTAACTCGTGACGGCATGAGTACATGGCACCGTAACCATGACAACGAGAAGCGCGCGATGTGTGAGATAGTTTCTGAATAGCTGCAGTGGGACGGCAGCCATTGTTTTCTTCATATCAACCGAGTTCCAACAATGCGCGTACATGTGGCAACACTGGAGATGCAGCAGATGTGTCACTGCGCATGTGTCGCGGTCCATCGCGTCGGTTTGCCGCTCGGCCGCACCATGTCGCCACGCTTTCGCGAGAAACAATGCGCAGTCGGAAGAAAGCCGAGACCATTCAGCCATTTCCCCGTCACTGGAGACCGCATTGTTGCGTCATGACCAAAGCTAATTTGATTTAGTGCTGAACCAGATCATCCCGGCACCTTGCCATTGTTAGAGGGAAAACGTGAATGTAGGTGGCACACACAGAATTCTGTGAGGGACGGTCGAAGAAGGCTGGTTGCCAAATGAAGAATGAAATGGCAGGATAACATTAAAGTGTACCTCAAAGGCTGAATGATACGAGAATGGGAAATGCATGGAACTGGTTCAGAATCTTCATCCGTGACGGATGTTCATACTGTTCAGCTACCAAAGAGTTAAATCTTTTCTAGCCAATGGTCAGTGAAGTCTACTAATTAATTGCCATTGGAACAAAATCATATCGTCTGATTCTATGCAGAGCCATTGAATCCATCTATGATCTTCACAATGTTTCTGTGAGATCTATTTTAATATTATCTCCCCGTCTGCTTTCTTGTTTCCCACATTACCTATTTATATATAATTTTCTTCATGGCAGTCCGTCGCGACCCCGCATGTTTCTTCAGAAGTGACGTACTGAATCAGAATTAAAATGGCGTAGACCCCGAACACGATATTTTATTAGTTCTAGAAGGTCGTGACGATGGTGCGTTGGACATTACTCGTCGCCATAATTTGTATTTGAAAAGTCGTTTCATAGAGCGAACGGCCTCCGATACGCCGTCTCAAATACAAACTAGGACGCCTGATAATGTCTGCTGATTTTATGGTTATGGGACACTTCATATGAACCCGCCGCACACTATCGCTGTAATCCCGTGAGGATCCCACAAGTCTGCTTCTGCTACGTGGTCCGCATGCAATCGTGATGTATCGGTTGCCACTCTTGGTTGTCCTCAGTCGCCCAGAACACGCTTCAGCATCTTGCTTCGTCACAGACCGCTC